AATCGAATTAAGAGCTGTTGCACGTTGGTAGTACAAATGCAATGCAACATGCTAAGAAGTAGGGACTGGAATGATAAGTGATAAGCGTTGGAGGTTCTAGGATTCGGTTTATTTTTGCTAAAGATTTAATACCCTAGCAAAGTAATACAAGCATCAAGGGGAAACACCCATCGGTGTTCCAACTCGGGTACACTGAACCATGCGTGCACATGGTGTTGTACCTTACCTTACCTGCCAAGGACGGGAACTACCTACCTAACGCTCTTATTACCGATAAGGGCAAGTACCTACGCACTATACCTACATCATTCTACCTGTGTAGGTAGGTGCGAACCTACGAACATTAGGTACCTATGGTGCTAGCGATTCTAACTTCCGGAGGAATGGTACACTATAACATCGGATATGCCGAGTATTTATATCATTCCTTTAACCGGTTAGGTAGTTTATAGCTTCTTCAATGTGAAAGCGGCCAAGTTGATTGCTCAAAGCTTTTTTCCTATATGTACCTATCTAACAACAACGAAAAAAAAATACATACGACGTCGCATCAATGGGCGTGTCTACGGAGATGTCTCCTTAAGGCATCAACGACCGTTCTACCTATAACCTTGATATCCCTATTATTGTCTACCGCGGCTGCTGCTAGACTATGTAAAATTTGGAAGGCATGATGATCTACAGACCGTAGCAGTCAACTACCCCACCTCGCTTATAGCCGCGCTGAAACCACTTGCTTGTGTTACTACCTGCTTACTTTATTCAGTTGCATTGATGTTCTTGTCTCAATTCGGACGCTCGGATTGCGCAATGTTAAGAAAGCCAAAAGTAACAAGTGCATGTCATGTAATGAGGCCGATTGAGGAATACGGCGTCCATTGGTACATGTATCACTTCCCTTTCAAATTATCTCGGTATCTTAGTAAAGCTTATAAGATTGAACCCCGCGATTAATAAACATTTCGATATTTAGGTCTTTAGGGATGCAAGTTAGAACAAGCACCCCATTGCATTCACCTTTAAATACCTATTCAACAATATCCTCTATAAGACTATTTATTCATAAATAGCTGACCTTTCAACTGACTTGTACAGTGCGTTGTCTGCAGATACATAGATAGCTACGCGTTGGACATATCAACACTTATACGGCTTCTCACAGCTTAACACCGCTCGGCAAACGATACTCCCGCAACAAAATCCGTGCAGTACAGATAGCCTATCATGCCCTTTGCGTCATCAAAAGGCTGACTAGGAAGGTACTTACGCTGCTTGCTTCGTATAATTGCTCACGTTACGCAAGCACTTATTTCGTTTGGTACTTGAGGCTCCTTCAAAAAAGCAAGTTGCTGCAGTTTGTACGGAATACTTACCTACCTGTTAATAAATCGGCAATAATCCCTATTCGTTATACATTAGACCCACTAGTCTAACAGACTTCCCTCTTTCGTGTACCAAACAATATGAAATAAATTAGTAACTAGATCGGATAGGTTGCTAGTTTGCTGAACCACATTCGCACATAGAGCAGTTTACCTATCTCGGCCGAAGGATCAAGTAAGATGGATGGAAGGGGTAAAAAGATGTAGGAATACCATTTGCTAGTTTTACGGAATTGGTCAATGCGACTTGTTGGTTATTCTTGAGTGATATAACCACGCATGATAGACTATCTAGATGACGTTGGTCTTACGCACTCAGACCCAAGCAACAAGTCTAGCTCTTCAGAGCTAGAAAGACTAGGATTTTGAAAAGTTCCCTTGAAAGGATAAACCGCTAAAGACGTAAGATGTGAGGCCTTGGCTTAGGTGTAAGTTATTGGTTCTCTGGAAGGATTTCCGACTGCAGATTACATGTAAGAGCCTCGACGTCGTAAGATAGTCTGTCCAATCATGGCGATTCGGGATCCTAATATAGAAAAAATCGCCTAAAACCTTACATATAATAATCAATGCGACTAAGAATTGTTGTTGGAGACGCGATAACGCGTTCCAAAGTTAGCCATTTAAGTAAGACCCATGACTACAGCATCGTCTGGGGGTTACGCCCACTAGTCTTGGCGAACATTAGCGCCTTTTTTTAGGCGTCCCAGGCGTCTGTTCGAAAGACCTCTTTATGCCCCAGATTACATAATAATAAAGACCCCACATTATACCTAAATACTTTTTATCCAATCATTCCCCTTTCTGTCAGGCGCGTCTAAGCCTACCAACAACGCGTAGGATCTGCCAGTATGATGCTATGCAAGGCTGAGACATAGCACAAGGGGTTGTTGATTTCCAAATTGCCTTACCTATCTCAGGGGATAATTAGTAATTATGTCGGGATATCAAGAAGACGATACAATTCATGGCGCAGAAGACATACGCGAAGCCCTGACAGATGTGATTGAGGGTTAGTACGCCCCTTATACAATTGTCACTATTAAAAATAATACTAACTCCAAAAGCATCTAAACTGACGGCAAAGCAACGTGGAAGCAATGTAAAGCTATCCGTAGAAAAGTTGGCTTCATTATCGTATGAGCAAGGCCTCCTCCCGGACGATCTAAGCCAACTCATAGATTTGGTCACTACTCCAAGTTTTCTTGATCAGGCAAGCCTCGGGAATCTCATAAGGAATCTCTATCCGGTGGCTACTGTGAACATCGAGCTTGTAGTTCGGATCATCGGCTGCCTCGGGCATGGAAAGCTAAAACCATCTCTTAACATTCAAGGAGCGCTCCTAAGATGGCTTGTTATGATTCATCACATTATAGAAAACCAGGCCATCTTATCTCGCGCCTACTCGATTCTATTCAATCTACTGGAAACTGCCGCAATTAGGTCCGTCTATCAATATATTATTGCTCCAACATGCCTTGCTAACTGTCACAGAAAGCAGCTATGTCATCTACTAGCTCTCATCACTCGGCGTCGGCATGTGCGACCCTATCGAATCCAGAGCCTGTGAGTTACCTTTAAAAGCATTTGGTTCACTAGATCACTTATACCTCTCAAGTTTATCCTTGTCTAGACAAACGGGGAATGATCCTGCAGTGACCGGCCTGCTCCGAGTGTATAAAGACTACTACCCCGAGATCATTGTAGGGGAAGCGACTCGTGCCAAGGCGTCGGCTTTCAAGGCATGTCTTCTAGGGTCTTGTTTTTGACGCAAAATAGCTTATTATTTTCATAGCATCCAGATCCGCAATGGCGTGAGAGGCTCGATGAAATTCAACAGGCCCATGTGCAACGAAGTACGAATAGAGCAGAACGCCCGCTGAATGCCTTTAGGGTTGCCCGAAGTCGAGCAAATGGCAAGAGCTCCGGTCCGTTCCCGGAGGTGCACACGTCAAACGCGACGGAGGTCTGTTTTGCCCCGCGCCCTTGAAGAGACAGTTATAAACTGACAATTTGCTAGAACTCTATCACCCTAGAGGAGATTGAAAACGTAGATGGCTTCGTGAGAAATCTAGAAAGGATCGAATTACCAAACCAGTTAATAGCGGTCCTAGGAGATCCATTACTTCAAAAGCTACTCGTTTTGAAGCCCGACGCTGAAGCTCATCAGAGGGTGGGTAGTTGGTTGGCTTCATACGGACAAGACCTCATAAGTGGGGAATCCAACATGGATTCTAGCGATGGCTTGGAAATACTGAATAGCTATGTGTCAAGTACTAAGGTATGTGAGAAAAGAGCTTGCGAAACAAATTAGCACTTAACTAACTCTTGCCCAGACTTTCCCCCCTATATTCTTGGCTTTCTTTATCGAGTATCTTAAGATATGGAATGGCCATGATGGACGAGGCTTGATATTCGCTATATTGTCATACTTGCCGTTGCTTAATTATCAAGGTTAGAAGCAAAATCCAAATCACGGCTATTCTAAGACTAATAAAACCCAGAACTCTTCACTGGTATTCTCCAGACGCTTGAAACCAAAGTACTCGACGATACCACAGTTTCCCAATTGCAATTACTCGAATTTTATACGATGCTGCTTCAGCGTTGGGCAATCTCCCTAGCATCACTCGAGCAAAAGTCGGCAAATGCATCAACTATCATCGCTGACCTAGTAGGTCATGTCAACAATCTCTGTCTCACTCTTATTCAGACCTCACCCACCAGTTCTACCCACTCAAAGATCTTGGATTTCTACGAGCAAACCGCAATCCTATCTTCAGATCCAAAACTGCACCATCACACTCGGATTATGATACCACCTTCTCCGTTGGTATACATCCTACACTTTAGCTTCTGCCCGAATACTCTCTCCAGACTCTGTTCCATATTGTCAAAATACAAGGCAGGGTTTCAGAAGGCTATGTCGACGTCCCGCTCCCAATACACTCCAGAGTACATCAACGAGTTCAATGGCTTTCTGATGGACATCTGTAATTGTATCTGGCGATCGCGCGCCTTCAATAGCAATGATGTGAATTCACATGGCTGCTTGGTACCTCAGTCACTCGCCGAAGACCTCGCAGCATATGCTAGTCGCCTTAAGACGAGCGCACCCCTTTCAACACTCTTCTCTCTTTCATATTCGCCGGTCCTAAGCCTCTCGGCAATTTCGTACTTTCGGGAGTTGGAAGACGAGGCGTTAGTACAAGGGGAGCTCAGCACTAGGCATGCCGGACCGATAACTCGTGCCAGTCTTGGTTCTCTAGCTTATAGTGGTGGTTTAAGAGTTGGTTGGGATGACTATCGCCTTGGCGTGCTAAATTATTTGGAACAGAGAGGCATGGCAGGTGTTGGAGAGTTGATGTACAACACTATGACAAACGTGATGAAAAGGAGGTCGTTAATGGCGATGACAGATGCCGCATAGTAAGTAATACAATAAGACTTGGTCAGATTATTCATTCGAAATCGACCGCGATCATACAAGCGTTACGCCTCATCCATTTTAATCAACCCCCCCTAGTACTGTTCTAGGTCTATCCTGTTGAAAGGGTATCTCAAATAACCCACCGCCCCGCAACAGCTACGGTGGTCTTCAATATTTATGCTAGTTCATTGACTTCATTCCAATCCATCCCTAAACGCCCCTGTCTCAGCACAAATACCCGTTGAGTCCGTTTGCTATCACCATGTTGAAAATACGCCGTGCCATGCAAGTTAAGTGCATCCACCCCTAGCCACCCATTTCTTTTAGACCACCAAGCCGGATAGGCCATAACAGACTCATCTTCCATCCAAGCGACCTACTTCCTCTTCTCGCTACTCTCAAGCCCATACCCGCCAAGACCCCCCTGCGAATACGTCAACCCCTCCGTCCCCATCTTCTTCTGATTCCTCGGCCCCCTCTCCTTCAAATCCGATCTCAACCACCCCAACACCAACTCTCCAAGACGACTGTTCCCCGTGCTCGCGCTCGTGGCCTGGCCTAGGAACTGCTCGGCGGGTCCCCACTCGCGCACGGCACCCAGGTGCATGTGGACGAGGTGCGTGGGCCAGCCGGCGAGGTTATCCAGGATATGCGTGGCGTACACGATAGTGCACTCCCGGATCTCGGTCTCGTGCTTCAGCCACCCGAGGAACTCGGCCCGGCTCAGCACGTCCAAGTCCACCGTGATCTCGTCGAGCAGCAGCACGGTCCACGGACGCACGAGGCCCATGGCTAGTTGCACGCGGCGCCGCTCGCCGTCGCTGACCGCGTGCATCCGCCACGCGATGTCGATGTCCAGCACGCCGATCAGCTCGTCCCGCCGCTCGGGGTACGCGTCGCCGCCGACGGAGCGCAGGAGCTCGGCGACCCCGATGTCGGTGCGCACGATGGGGTTAAGCACCCATTCTAGGCCGAGGTACGTCACTCCTTCCAGCCCGTCTTTGAAGGGGTCGACTCCCGACACGCTGATGGTGCCGCCGGGCGCGAGACGCTTGCCCGCTAGTAAGCGCAGCAACGTCGTTTTACCCGCGCCGTTGGCGCCGATGAGAAGGGTGCGGCTGCGCGGTGGGACGTTCAGCGATATGCCCCGGATGCCTGTCCTGTAGTCGGGGAAGGTGTATGTCAGATCCTTGACGGAGATGTCCGGTGGTTGAGTGGGCGCCATGTTGATGGGATGGGGCTGACAAGTAGTTTCTTCTTTGGGCTACTTATTCTACTTGGGTACAGATATTTATATTTATGAAGTGAATAAGATATGATATTAGCCGCTAAGTGACGATATGTATTGGGAGTAGTCGAGGAGGATGTTGACGGCCTTATGACTATTCTTTTTAGGTGCTGTAATTGTGGAGTCGATTGACGATGTTGCAATAAGATCTAGATACAGTGCGTTCAGCTATAATTCAACACGGTGTTTTCCGTCGGAGTACGCAGGAAGCATGTAGTTCCGTCCAAATATTAGGACTAAATATAGGTAGTTCACCATAGGGCGCGTACTATATGCGAGCGCACGAATTAGTAGGATCGGTAGTTGTATTCCAATACTTTTTTTCCTTGATAAGAATGTGTTGTTATTAACTCTAGTCGAGAATGCCTGAAGGGTTATTCCGTTAGCCTGGCCTATTTATGAAGTGTGAAAGTATTAAGAAGTCGACTTCCGTTACCTCCCAGACATAAACTAATATCAAGATGTTATTAGCATATTTAAACAGGTACCTATGTATAAATCTAAGACTATCAAATATTCTTTACTCTCATTTGACATCAATGTTATAACCTTAAGTAATAGAGATGTCTCTAATGAACAATGAGCATAAGATTCTCATCTATATATATCATCAATTACATAACCACAGCCTTTCTCCGGGGTTATATAAGGCAACTTTACTCGCATAATACTTGATACTGGCTAAGTATTAGTAAATAGGCTGTGTAATCAGGGGATATGCTGTACCTCTTAAAGATGCACTGTAGCCGTGTAGTTATTAATTTAGCTAAAGAGCTCTGGGTCTTTGTTCCCCCGCGTAAGAATATCCGCCGCTCCGGAGCGTCTCGGCATCTAGAAGTGGGCAAGCTTACCTTATTAAAATTCCAATACGTTCCAATGATGACACTTCGGCGTTTAGTAATAACGATTACCACCATACCTTACATAGAATGGCGACAGTTAAGTCGGAGATAAGTAATTAACTAACTTGGACATTATTAATTTAGCGGGGTCATAAACTCCATAAAGCCCCCATCGCGAACTTGAATATTTGGATAGAATTTTTAAAGTAATATATTTAATATCTTCTTTTGGTATAGACTCTTAGAATTGTGAACTGTTTAGTCCATGACATTGCTATCAACTACCGCGCGACGAACTTTCACACAAGCATTGCACCATAATTCGAAAATTCTAACAACCCCTAAATTCTCACCGGTAGTCAACATGACAACTGCTGTGTTCAAACATATTGATGCATCAGCAATTCCGCAGGGGACAAGGCCATGGGCCAAGGTCGATATCGAAGCTACTTCGTTTAAGCTAGGTGACCATACCCGCCCAGTGAACAACATCCGAGGGCAGGAAAGCGAGTTTACCACAGACAACTCCGGCTTTGCCGTTTACAATGAACCGTCAAATGAGAAGTTATTTACAGATGATGCCGCTGTGCGTGGTCCATACTATCAGGAAATCGAGGATCTCCTAAGGAAGCGAATTCCTGGTATCAAGAAGGTGGTCATATTTGACCACACCATCCGGAGACGTACACCGGAGGCTGCTCGGGCTCCGGTACAGCAGGTCCACGTCGACCAGACGCCCGCCGCGGCCGAAGCCCGTGTGCGCCGTCATCTCCCCGCGGATGAGGCCGAGGAGCTATTGAAGGGCCGCTTCCAGATCATCAACGTGTGGCGGCCCATCGAAAACCCAGCAAGCGATCACCCCTTAGCCGTCATTGACTGGCGCTCGACGAAGCCAGATGATTTCATCCCGGTGGACCTGCTCTATCCTAAGCGTGCAGATTTCACAGTAGACAAGGACGACAGGGGAAAGGAAGTGCGTCCCGACGACTCGACCAGATACTCGGCGGAAGGATACGAGGTCAGGGGCGAAACGATGTCAGTTGCGCCGAGCGACGCGCATAAGTACTACTACCAGAAGGACATGACGCCGGATGAGGTCATTCTATTAAAGTGTTATGACTCGTTCGGCGAGGGCCAACCCCAAGGGAAGGCGGGAATTGCGGTGAGGACGCCGCATACGGCTTTTATCGATCCTCAGACACCTAAGGATGCGCCCCCGCGGCAGAGCATAGAGGTGCGGTGCTTGGTCTTTTATGAGTAGCGTTACTATCTTGACTTAGCGTAGATATAGTTACGAGCGGCTCTTCTATAATACAATATTCCCATAATGGTTTTGCACATTTTATTTAAGACTAGCCCCTTTCGAGCTATTTGATGATTTCAAGACAACTTCATGTAAACTAGAATACACAGTTTAACCTTTCGAGTTTGGCGTCCCTTGCGTTTACCCCTGTTCGGTATATCATACCCCGATACATGTACTACCTTGTGCCCGAGGTCAGCTTCACTACTTCCAGGTCAACTTGACAACGTGCTTCCCACCAGCCAGCCGCTCCAGCCATGCTTCATCCCTCTAACATAGATGACGGCTTTCCGGCCGAAATTTTGCAGCTGATCTTTGACAATTTGGTAAGCGAGACCAGGACTCTCGCTCGAGTCGGGCTCGTCTCCCGCTCGTGGCGAACACTCTCACTCCCCTTCTTGCTCAAGGATGTCGATCTCAGCAGTCACAACAACGGCCGGCTTCCTGAGTACGAGACACCGTCTTTCCCTCTTCTTCGTGGAGTCGTCATGGCCGACTACTCGGACGAGTACCGCCCTCGCAGCCTGGTCCCACGCCAACGTGCCTTCCTTCGCCTCATAACGGACCGCCCCGAGCTCGCCATGCATGTCAAAGCCTTTACTTGGACTCTCGTGTGGAAAGACTTTGATGAGAACGGCCTGGCGGACATGGACTTGCGGACCTGGGACGTTTTTAGTCGCTTGCAGAATGTCGCCCGGCTGGACCTCGCGTCATTACACAACATCAGCGACCAACCGTATACCCGCCAAAACCCCGCCAGGCTCTTTTCCGCCGTCACTCATCTCCGCCTCGTTGGTTGGATGCACCGTGGACTAGTCAAAGCCATACTAGCCTCGCTCGATGCGAGTAAACTTGGTTGTCTCGAGCTTGATCACTTGCAAGACGAAGGTGCTCTGCCCAACGGCGAGCCGATACCCCAGGACTTAGCCACGAAACACTCTCACCACCGAGGTGACCCGTATGACGACGAGGGCATTGACGACAAGCTGCGGGCGCGCCAAGAGCGAGGAGACGCAGCCATCTTTCCCGGACCCATGTGGTTTCCCTTGCGCCTCCTGCGTCAACGCTGCTTGGGTTCGATGAAGCGTCTTCAGATTAGACTCGGCCCTTTCACAGATACCCCTGACCGGCGCAACTACATAACCATGTTTCACGAAACGGCCAAATTCATTCGAAGGTAAGCAGATAATCGAAATAACCTCGCTCGTTCGTGAGAAGAGTGAGGGTGTTGTAAAAACGCCCGACATGATTGCTGACGAATTCGTAGCGCGAAAGACACGCTGAAGACCATATCCATTGGACTAGGAGAACATCCTACCCTCCACTGCGAAGACGAAGATCTGCTTAGCTCGTGTAGGACATCTCGGATCACAATCCGCCAAATCTACCGTCCCTTTTGTTTTGACCTGACCTCGGCCTTCCTCCACCGCTTGCTTGCGGTACTGACCGAGGAGCGATTCCCACATCTCACACGAGTGGACCTAGAGGGGTTCCGCATCATACGGAACGGAACTTCGCGGCTGGCCCGGCCCCCAAGCCCTGACTTGACGTGGCAATACATCCGCGACTGTCCCTTTATCGACGAAGGATTTACGAAAACGGCCAATATCGACTACCGTCAACCCTTCTCTGGCTATGATTACTATATCTCAGGAATGGACCAGGACAAGCTCGACGAATTGGAAGAAATCCTAGAAAGGAGTTAAGGCACTCGTTTTTATTAAGGAGCTTTTACTTTCTAATTATTTTGGCTCTAACCTACAGGGACCCTCCAAGCGACAGGTGATGAGGGGCCGGCACGCAAGGCACTCTTCGTAGTACCCGGAGTAAAGCCACCGTAAGTGACCTCGACTAGTGAGCCCGGGGCCGTCACTTGGGGATATTTGTCTATGGGGCCCCGTACATACTAGATGAAGAAGCCGTTGGATCCTTGTAGCTCGTGCCCGACCCGCCCCGATCGGTACCCCTGAACCCCTGGATATTTCAGTGACCCTATAACATTATACTGACAGGCATACGACAACAACAAAGTTTCAGCCACCATCTAAATCTTGTTTGGCTTGTCTTTTACCGGTGGCCAGACATCGTTCCCGCATCCTTCGTTGTTGTTGTTGTTGAAATAGGCAGAGCACGAAAGTAAGCCAGAAACTCGTGCAAATCTTGCTAGAATGACAGGCACAGACCTTATCCTCATCAACAAGTTATTGATATTTAGTACTAGTTATATACTATATTTGCTGATATCAAGAACTGTAAAGAGCGCTTTATGAGACACCTCGCTTCAGATTATCTTCTATTCGAGATAGAAGAGGATACATATCAGCCTTCCCTATGGGCAACGACATTTGGCACCGATTAAGCATTTCCTTCCATATATAGAGCGTTCTATAGTGATATCATATCGGCAATATCTAACGGGCTTCCATCGTTTCGTATATGCTCTTAGTTTCTCATCTAAATAAAATATGTATGACGAGTCCCTCTCTCGGTCTCTTTACTTATCAGCTTTGCACACGACTGCGGCGGAGAGGACCGATGCGGAGTGTCGCAAACTTGTTAACGCCGCCGGGCTGAAGAAAGTTAAAATTTGGAAGCAACCTATGGCACTTGACGGCGTTATCGAGGTAGACTTAGCGTGAGGTAGGAAGGTGATCTATATACCTGACACGGGCGAGTTGATAGCACTACTGATGATGATATGCTCTTAGTTGAATTAGTAGGGTTTCGTTAGGACTGGTTATAACATATGACATTCAACAATTTAGAAATCGGTAGGATTTTAGATGAGGCATCTAGAACAAAGGATAGTTTAGGGTTAGAGTACTTTTGCAGAATAAGCAAGTTGCTTTTAAGCTTACTTCATGATAGATGTCAAAATTTGACCTCTTATAGATTACACTCTCGCCGTAATTATTCTAGCCAGCTCATTACAAATCCAGTTTAAAATTCCCTAGTCTTTTCAAGTCGTCTCAGGAGGTATAGAACACGGATTGGCTTAGTTGATGCAAGGCTTAAGCTATAATATCTACTTGACTTTAGGTAGAATAAAACATTTTCTCCTATAAGCTCTTAGAGATATAGCATTGACCATACTGAAAATAGTATGGTTTGTTTCTACCAACAATAGCACTTACATTGTGGTGAAATCCAAAAACGGACAAGAATATGCCAAAGAGATTAGATGATCTGGGAAGATTCCGGTGTAATACGGCTAGGTGTTCCGGATCTACATATAGAAAGCAAAAGGCGGTACAGGCTGACCCCACTTCACGTCCGAGGGTCCGGGGCAAGCACGTAGAATCCGACGCCGAGGACCGCGGCATAGTTCCAATTAGCCAGCAGATGTTGGAATTTCTTTTTTTATAATTATATGAGTGTTCTTTAGGAATGCGTTGCCAATCCGCATTGTTTAAACGAGGTTACTGGCTAATACAGCAAAGAAACATATGCAGTATACTTATTTTACCTAACTTTTGGAGCAAAGGTATGATAAAAGTTCTTCATAAGGTACATAAGTGGAAAAATCTGCCTATTAATTGGCCGATCTATCTATTCATACCAGCCTTAATTCTCTCTGGCTACACAAAGGAACAATAAAGACCGAGTACCTAAGGTAGTAATGTAAATTATTATACATACCAATCTTCTCTTATACTTTACCAATACTTGTCAATTGATTTTGCAAATGAATTTGAGTATATATTGCAAACTAATAATTATCATAAGGCGTAGATCTGACCTAGTATTACGGCGTCTAAGTGACTACAACGGGGCTTCTAACTATCCAATTAACTTCAACGTTGTATATTCAAGAACATGGCATCTCGGCTGGAAAATATTTTGAATTTGTGGCGTAAATATCCCGAGAGTTATGAATGACTTCGACAGTCCACCCCGGGACGGTTGGCACTGTATGATGAATTTTGACACTTTGGGATTTTGATAGCAGGATAGCCAAGGGAAATGAAATCATAGTAGCTAGGAGCGTCATATCGGACTTTGGAGCTGAGCGTTGATGATAACATTTACGCCACTTTGGGACAGTCGACACTTTTCATAGCACGTAGATGTACACATAAGTTATTATTATTATTATTATTGACAATATTAAAAGACTTGGCTAGGTTAGAATGTTGGCCGTTATCGCACGAATTATGTTTCTCAAATATCTTGATTCAGATAGGGGTAGTATGAGGTCATTCCCAAACGAGGGTTTGTTAGCTTAGCCGGTGACGTAGAATTTCCAGATTTGGCCACGGTGTCTAAGAAATTATTATCGTGATCACCGATAGTTAACATCTTCTTTATGTGACTGGTAGATAGTTGGTTCATTAAAGCAGCAGGAAATTGGCAGACCAAGAAAGGAGAGAACGTATATCGATGGGCCACTGTATATTTCGATCTCAAACTTAAGGCTTTGAAACGACCAACGCAGTGGTACAGATACGAGAGTGAGTACCACGTCTGATGTCAGATTCATATGTCATGCCGTTCCGGGATAAACGGAAGCGCAAAGCTGGCTGTCTGCATCACCTAGGATGGAAATCGATGGTGGTGAGAGTATACATGATGAGTTGACTCCAGAATACCTGAGGGTTATGATTGTTATGATTTGCCTCGGGTTTCGTCATCACGTGGGATCGCTGGGGACGAGTGAGATCAGCTTTCACCGCGAAGGTTCGGGAAGGGTTTACTTAGCGACTTGAGTGGCGAGAGGGCCGAATCGAGACTGCAAACCCCTGCTACTACATATTAGCGGATGCAGCCTTTCTGTTCCTCCCGACGTTAATCTAAAGGGAAGAAAGAAATAATTGTGTACGTGTTCGAAGTGTAGTAACTAATAATAAAAAAGATGAGCCCGTTGTTGGTAGAAATTGGCGACGACATTGTTCGGTTGAGTTTGTAGCTGACATCATAAGGCTTTGCCGTTCACACGGGACTTCGGGACTTCGGGGCACGGACTAATTCTGACCTCACGGATCCGATGGACAGGGGGCAAACAGAAAATTGACAACTGACAAGATCTCTTTTACACCTGACAACTACCTACCCGGGTGGGGGGGGTCCTAGGACAGTATGACTCTAGAATGTTGAAATGTACTATAATGTCAATTCGGGGAAAGCCTGTTAACAGAGCTGTACTATAATTGTATGAAAAAATGCTAACGTTGCTTCCGATCCTTTCCGTGAGAATACACACACGCACTGACCATACATTCCAGCACGGGCCCCCCTTATAAGAATAATACTATAATCAAAATAGCCTCAATATCGTCGACTTTATACTGTTCTAGTAGGTGCTACTGTGGCCTTGAAATTAAAATAGGAAAGAGACTCTTATGAAGAGATAATGCTTGCAAAGATAAGAAAGACTATCAGAGATAAAAAAGACTGTTAGAGATAAGATGCTATTGCCGTCGATAGCAGGTGACTCTTGCCAATATAATAGGGCTTGTCAGTACGGCTATTACACCTGCCTCGCTACGTTGATTTTATATAAGGCTAGCCAGTCTAATAGGATCATATGCCTTATCATTTCAATAGTGAGTAGGCCTTATTAGTATAATAGCTTCTAAAAGCCTGAAGCACCTTGGCTAACCTGGAAGGAGTAGGTGCCTTAGTATACCTTATATAAGGTAATAGGTCACCTTTCCACACGCGTACGTAATGTAATGTAATGTAATGCCTCGTAGTCAATTTAAATAGCCCGTAGACTTATAACCTGACTTCTAATCTGACTTGTAATCTGACTTATAATCTGACTTATAATCTGACTTGTAATCATTCGAATCCCATCGTGACTTAATAAAAAAATAAACAATCTTAAGCACCTTGAAATAAGAGGTGTTTGAGATGGCCTCTTTTTAATTTTTATTCAATATATATATATATCCCTTAGTGCACAATACCTATTAGATAAATATACTAGTGGTACCACTAGTATTATATCAGGGTGTATATCACGTTAGTGTCCCTATTATAAGCATAACATGATTATATACCATATACACTCTGTTCGTGTAACCCCAGAATTGTGCAGCCAACACACTGTTGGAGATACAATACTGGTGGGGGGATAATACTGACCTAGCCTTACCAGACTATTATTTTTATTATTATATTTAAATTAAATCCAGGACCTTAGGGATATCCTTATTAAAATAATCAGAATCTCCAGGTCGAATAGTGTCCGATACAAAACGTGTGAGTCTCTATTGTTTAAATAAATTATTTTAACCCTTTTTCATAATGTTGACAGACTGGTATCAGTCTGTCCTAGGACCCCCCCCACCCGGATAGGTATCTATTATAGGTATTTATTCATGTACCTAGGTATGCACTACGTAGCACAATTTTTCGTATTACAAGATTACAAGATTCCAAGATTACCACCTGGCCGATGTTACCGCCGTGTTTGCCCAATTATATAGAACATAGGTACATTAACATCCAAAAAGAACTTAACCTATCATTTCATCTTCATTGTCTAGATGGGTCTTTCTTAAAGATCGAGACTTTTCGACTACAACATCACTTTAACCGGTATCGGTAACCAGTAGGGAGATCAATGATTCCCCCTTGGACCCCTATTTTTTTATTTATTTTTTTGCTTTTCTGCCTATCTAATTAGGCAAGCAAGCGAGTTCTGTCGTCGGGCTTGACGTGCATCCTGCTTGGCTCGGAACTAATCCTAGCATTGCAATGCATGCTGAGGTGCAGATTTCCCATTTGCGGCCTTTCCTTTTAATTTAAACTCACGTACAACCTTCACGTATGTATTACCTACCTTGCCTGCGCGTCCCTACGACGGAAATCCTGAACTGTTAGACACGTTTTACTACTAGTTGATATGCGTAAGACATGCATCACCACCAATTGCTGATCGAAAAGTTATGCTTAATACAACACCAAGAACATAAATCTTGGCAAAATTACCATGGAACATACCTACTGGATTTCTCTCTTGTATTTGTGCTTTCGATCCGTACTAGCGGCGTTAAGAGCTGGTAATCCTCGTTCCAAGTCTAAATCAGGTTGGAATTCCAAGTTGAGGTACCTGCCAAGTCTTTTCCAGACCCTTGTTTTAGACAACGGAAAACGCAAACAAGCATGTTTGTGGGCTTTTAACGGGATATTATTATTATTTGCGTTGTTCACTTCGATGTTCTTATATGTAGGTACATAGGTACTTATGAAATTATGAGGTCGCAGTCACCGAATCGAAGGCGGTAATCCGTACATATCCTGGTTCCCTGCACGTGCTTTATTACTTTCGCCGAAATCTTATGACAGCAGTCATATGACGTCACTTTAATATTTTATTAGTTCTGCAAAAGCTTAGGTAACAATCATGGAAGTTATTCGTTACCTATTTAACATCTTCACATACAATCGATTGATGAATTATCGAGCTGGACGAGACACGGATATTCCGATAGGTATATAAAAGCCAAATCTCACCAAAGCCGCAAAAGAAGGGTTGCAAACACCCGCCAGCCGGGATCATGATTGTAATACGTACATATATTATGCTGTGCTAGTAGAGGTCTTTCCGTCCGGCCTGCGCTCCGCCCTCGATACAGCAGATGTGCCCAATAGAATGACATATGCGATACCTTGAAAGGTCGAGACGAGATCGCCAGGGTCTTTTCCCAATCGTATACGCTGATCCACGATGTAGGTGTGTTTCTCACGGGTGGGGGGAGAGAGAGAGAGACATGGAATAATACATGGCAGATATGGGAGACAGGCAGAGGCATGCTACTCCCTCTCCAAGTCCTCCGCTTTCTTTATGTCCTCACCCGTTAGCGGCTGACCGAATGCAGAATGACATGCCATTTTTTTTTTATTTTTTTTTTTATTTTTTTTTTACAATGCACAATACCCCTTTCCGCCGTGCCCGCCTTCCAATTCGATCCCAATTCGATGGCGTGGTGCTTATTAGTGATCATGGTGTAGGTATGGTGTGGTATGGGTCAATCAACTACGTAGTAGCGAGCCTGCAAGTCTAGTGCAAGTCTGGAGACTTTGGAGGGGACAATGCATCATCAGCCTTGTTCGTGGCGAAAGTCTAATGGCCCTGGTTTGGTTATTGGCTTGTTGCCTCTCACTTACGACATAGCCTGCAGGCTTGGTTTCCCATCCCGGCACTAAAACGGCGTCCCTACATGTCGATCAACCCCCATCCTGAACCTCTTAGCGTAAGGTGGTGGCAGTAAACAGCCCAAGCCATCTTCTGACTAGTCCAGAGGTCAGAAGGGGGGACTACCTAACCTACCTAGGTAGTCTATTAGTTGCCAGCCCCAACATAGCGCCTCTTCTTTGAAGTCTAGGGATAGTCCGTAGTTCCTAGTTCCTAGTTCCTCTGAGGTCACGGCCCGCTCTAGCTCAATTCTTCATATCCCCTCTTTTCTCATCTTCATCCTTACATATAAAACCTTGAGACCTCACGTTTTCTTTCACTTGCCACTACAATCTAACGATACCTACCCGTCTTAAATATATATATACTAAGTTACGAGATAGCTTCGGTCTTATACCACTATCAAACAAATAACCTGATCCTCTAAACGTTACATCCAACCCGGCTTGACGCTGTATTCTTCTATTAAACAACATCGCCAATCCTACACCATGTCCGCACGAGGTTCCTACAGTATGGCTATGCCATCTTCCATCCCCCCACCCGTAGATCTTGCAAGTTATGCTCGGTCAATGCACCTACATACCAAGAGGCAAATGGAGGCAGCAAACATGCCCACAAGTCGACGGAGTAATCGGTCGTCGCGTACCCACGTACCCAGTTTACCCAACGGCACATCAGCGACGTCATCGTCGAGGAGTCCGGATGAAGTCGAGTATCACGATTGAAGGAGATGTACGAATAAGTAGAGTCGAGAAAAAACACTTATTTTATAACATAACACAACGTACATGAATCACATGTCCACGAAATAACGGGACATCGGCGGGGGAGGGGGGAAAAAACAACCAGAAACACGAATTGGCTCAGCTCGGCCGAGTTTAGCAGCCGGATATGAACGAACTTGTGAGGCGTTACGGATTCTATTAGGGAAGCGAATAAACACGCGCGCACATGAGAGGGAAGGGAATCCTTGCATAGCCATCAGCGTCAAGGATTTACGGCGACGGCCGACCGCCCGCGAGGGAGCGCGGGTTCAGGTCACGGCTGGGGAGTTTTTTACATTACATGGGAAAGCGATTGGGAGTGTACGTTTATCAGCAACGCCAAAGCACAGCAGTTTTGGCGAAGAGCATCGGGCAACAAAGCCGTCGGGAGTTGTTGCGGTAGTGGTATTCTAGGCAACAGACGAGAGAGAGCCACTAAGCGACCGTGATAGACGAGTCGTACGAGAACACGAATCTGATTGATTGGTGATCCCCCGGATACCCGGGATGATCGCGAACATCCATCTCAAACTTTTTCTGTCTTTTCCCCGTTGTGCCTGACGTGTGCTGTCATGTTGTGACTATTGACCGCTCTTATAGTAATCTTGTGACACTTGTATGGGCCAATTTGCTTCTATACCTTGTTGCTTTAACTTTGTTTTCTATCTTCAATCTCATTAATCATACCAGGTGTCGTCTAATAGCCTCGTTGGAATTTCACATGTTGACGATATTTACTCCGATCTCGTTGTTAAGAGACGAAAACTCTTACATACCTACCCATTTAATTTCTAAATATATATTTCCATCTTTATTCCGAATCTGGATATCCAAACAAATCTGCTCAATTCATGACCGAAATTAGGCACGAAGATTTCTTTAGATTGCGGAACCGATAGATCCATGCGGGACGTGGAATACGATGTCGATCTCTGCACGTCCCTGGTAGCCCGGGGGTGGAATGTCGGTAAGATACCTATGTCGAAGCACATCACGTTGTCTAACGATAGCCGCCATTGGGGGACCCCTCATGGAATTACGATACTTTTAATTCGTATTTGGCAAATGCGTGTCGGGTTGGACGGGACAGGGGTTTGATAGAAACGGAGACTTCTCCATTATTTCTGTAGAAGAGTTGGTTGATCACCGCGGCTTGCCGGCAGACGGCCAAGTATGGAGATACGTTTGTCATGGTTAAGATTATCTTCATTATTGGACAGAGTCGCGGCTCCGTGTTGTAATTCGCAAACCGGCCTAATATCCGTCGCTATGCTATGCTATGCCATCACATGCCACCCGGGCCGTCATAATTAATTGCAATCTCGACTCATTTATACAAGAGGGGCCTTCTTCTTAATACCGAGCGCTGCCGCGTGATCCTTTTTCTTCTTTACAACCCGCTTAAACGATGGGGGTGGCATGTCCTTGGATGGCGCATTTGCCGACGACGATGACGCTGTTGCCGGTTGTGCCTCAGGGGCACTGCTACCGTTACCGCTACTTCCAGGCGTGAGCGCCGACGTCGAAGCGGACGCCACGTCATCCATTTCCTCGTCTATAACGTCTGCCGTCATGCGGTCGACCTGCCTCGCGAACTCAAAAGCCCTCCTTGCCGCCTCTGCGTCTTCTTTCTCTTGCCGCTCCGCTTCGTTATCGATGGGTAGCGCAACGCCCACTTCTACGCCATCCTGGTTCGCACGTTCTAACCGGGCATTCCTCGTGCGTATCTCATCTAGCGCGTCCGCGACCGCCATCTCACGCTTCGCGTCTACGGTCTTGGCTTCGAGCTCTACCATGGCATTGCGCTCCTCTTCCTCCTTCTCTAACCTGTCCAACCGCTCTTCGTCTGTCTCGTCAATTCCTACTCGCCATGGCTCCGTGCTCCGTTTTGCTCCACTCTCGCAGGCCTATGATTGAGGTTAGAGAACGAACGGAATTCATGGTGTTACGTTAATAGGAGACTAGGACATACGTAGTCTTGGTTCTTGGGATCTGTCTTGAATGTGATTTGTCCGCTGCATCTTGTACATCTGATGTAGAATCCTGTTTTATATTAGTATTATGTGGGGATACCTGGCACTCTAGTGCTGGATGAGATAGGTAAAGAGGAAGAATAAGTTGTAACATACTGTCAAATGTTAGCTTCATCTAGGATAGCAAAGTATGAGAAAGGTAGACGCTTAGTATGTACCTGAAAATCTGAATGCCTAGATATTTTTCGTCTAGGGGCGTCTCTTTTCGCGCGTTGAACTAATGTTTAATATTAGTATGGGTGCTATTTAGATGACATCCTAGGATTAGACTCGTACCTTTCTGCCTTTGTAGATATACTCTCCACATGTAGTACATTTCATAGAACTGCCAGGTGTTAATACGTAGCTCACTCCATTTGAAGAACTTCACATACTACGAACATATTAGCTTCTATATAATAGGAATATATCGGGGTCCGAGGAGAATATAAAAACAGGGACCACAAAGACTTCACATACCAATGGTGCCGCCAGGCGGACAGTCTGAACCTTCGGGCCAGCATTTTTAGGCCCCTTAACCCTCTTGATCTGACTTGGATCGAAGTCAGGGGGGTAGTACTTGGCTGCACACAGTTAGTACTGAAAGCTGACAAAGCGATGGCTATTATCAAGGGGTTGAAGGTGAGATAGAGCCATCGTTGGAAGACATACTGAGAACTTTTCGTTCAGACATGGTCCTTTGTTTTACGAGATGAACGGGGAAGTTGAGTTTGTGGAGCTATTCGTTCCTAACGACTTCGTTTCGATGAGACGCGTCTTATGGCGATGCGTTGAAGACGTGGATAATCGTAAGGCGATAAGATACATGTAGTACCAGAATAGAATTAATGCGATGTGTAGCAGTTGATTGGTACTTCCACTGTATGAGGTGGAGGTGTGGCGCTAGTCACGTGATAGTTCAGCCTCACCTGCTCACCTTAAAGACTGCGGCTGAAATTGGGCTTTTAGAACCTTGAAAGATACGAAGATACATCACATCTGGTACTTTGATACCTAAGATTTGCTCCACTTCCCCGTATGGGTATGATGCATGCCAAGCTTTAATAAAACGGGTCCAATCTATAATTCAAGTTCTCATTCTCGGGACAATTCCATATGAGACGATGAATCTAGCCTCTGGTCCCTGCGCTACACCAGATCTGGTTTTGGTCGAATGGGGCTAACCAGGCATGCCCCCGTCATACTAGGTCATAAATTTCGGACAGATCTGAAGAAATGACTTGCCATCGGTGGTAGGAAGCCTGTTAAATGGGATTCGTTAACGACGCAGACTTGGCCCCAGTGCCATACCTACTCTAGGAGAACGTCACTAGGTTAGATATCTTATTGAGGTCCTATACTACCTAGAGCTTAATAGATCTTACGCACGCTTATTACTACGCTTAGTTGTCTTCAACAAGGGGAAATGTACATAAACATCAGACTGTCTCATTAGTTAACCCTTTGTGTATTATTAATAACCATAGAATTGTCCACTACGTGGCAGATTCATCTTCGATCTCGAATCCCAGCTTCGAACATTTCTGCTAGGGTGTCCCATTTTCCTGCGGCGGCGTCGCCACTGGCCCGTGCAACTCCTCTCAACCCGCTACAAATAAATTTCAAGTGGCGATCCATGTCCGCTCGTATGTCACGTAGAACTTCAGCGAATGTCTTTTCCTTATCTTGCATCATCGAGGTCTTGTCTTGATCCAAGAGAAATGTTTCGTCTTCCTCCTCGCCACTCCCCATATACCGTCGACTATGCTTCGTGGGTGAAGACATTACTGATAATCGTGATAACTCCTGCTCCTCTTCCTGTTCCCGTTCGGATTCTAGCTGGCGTGCATCCTGAAGCCTGATAGTAAGATCAAACATGTCTAGAATGCATTCTCGGATAGGATCAAGCTTGCTGCCTAAACACACTTCACTAATAATCTGTTTTGTATACGCACTGTGCAATGCGGTCATAGCAGTTATGTCCTCTGTATACCGAAGATTCTGGTGAAGCTCAGCCGTGAGTGGTTCTAAGACCAATGTAATTAGGTAGGATCGAAGCGTATTGCAGAACCACAAGAGTTTCGCTCTGAGACTATAATAAGTTGTTTGGTCTGATGACGTATTTGGTGTACCCGCAATGCTGTCAGAGACTAAGCGGTATTTGTGAAGGACGTAAGTAGCTCGACGGAGCTGTAGTAAGAAGGTAAAAACTGCTTCATATTGGGCAAGACTCTCGTCTGATAGGATAATCCGGATCGGCCAAGACAAGCGATAAAGGATCCTAACAAGCGGTAAACCCTTGCGAACCGATCTTCGAATGTCTTTCACATCATCTGTAAGGCTATCTGTGGCCACACTAACGACTAGTCGATGAGCGTTGGTAATAGTACCGAATGTCTCATGCGCTAGAGCAGTCAAGTTGAAGTGATCATGCCAGCTTGAATTGAGGAGATCCATATTGTTGAAGATTGCGAAAGCGAAGAGGTCGGACTGTGCCCCGTTGGACATAAGGTATACTTGCTGAAGCGCATCCAGGACTGACCAGAGACTACAAGACTCGAAGAGAGTCCGCCGAAGAGTTGTAGATGCGGCGTGATGCTTACTCTCCATCCATTTCTCGAAAACATCGCCAAAGACATCAGAAAATGGTGCGAAGACGCCATACGTCGATATAAGGTCTCTGTTAACATCTATGGGCGAGTCCGTCATGTGAGTATTAGTTAATTGATACTTTCCAAGGAGCTTAAGTACAACGACGCTCTTGCCGGTGGTGAGTATCCTCGATGCCGCTGGCCGTAGAAATCGCGGTACATATAATGTGCCATCGGTTGTTTTTCGCAAAGTGTACTGATTTGACCATACTTGGCTCATGGGAACTTTGCTCGGCGAGCTAGAGATGAAGAAAGCCTTATCATCACCTATCAACTCTCCAGCCTCCATCCAGAGACGAATAGATCGAAGGTAAACTTGGAAACACTCGAAAAATAGGGTAGCAATGAACTGATACACCGCATCGTGTCCCTCCAATTGGGCAAGTTCAGCAGCTTCGAAAAGAAGTTCCAAGTAGTAAAACGGACGAGGGTATCTTGATCGTTGGAGCTGCTGGATAATTTCCGAAAGGCTAACGAGTGGTTGCAAATGAGGTTTTATGTCATCTAGAACTCTGGCTAGACTAATAACGACATCTTGCTGAATATCTACGTATCGGGCTTGAAAATTCGATATTTCGTGATTAAATGATCGAAGCCGCTCCTCAACTGCTTCTCGGAACACCTGCAATAGCGGAATATTCTGGGGCTGCTTTATAAACTCGCGAAGAACGGATAGCTGCCGGCCAGCTTCGCTGAAGGAGCCTAGTAGTGCCTTGTAAAGTTCCCAAGAGGTATGCTTCAGTTGGAATTGTAATGAGGGTACTCCTTGTCCGTCGAATAGGGTATTTTCAAGACCATTTAGCATGAAGAGTACCTCGCGCACGACCTGAAACTCGGATAAGGCAATCTTATGGGATCTTCCTGTTGGTTCCTTCGATGGCGTAGCATTCCTCCAAAGCTGAGTTGCTCGCACTTGTTCTAATCGTTTCTCATCTTGAGACTCGACAAGGAAATCGGCAGGAGACTTCTGATATTGTGCTTCGACGGTTGATGCCGAGGTGAGTTCGTCGTTAGAGGATAGATCAGACACACTCTCAAGATATTCGTCTTCAGAGCTATCCCCGCCAAATTTGACATTTTTCCAGAGGTCACGATCTTGATCCCAACCTTCTTCTCTAGCGATGTCTTCCCATTTAAGAGGGGGGCCAAGATGTTCGCTTAACTCTTTGAGCAACTCCAGGTCAGCTAGCTTAGATTTCTGAACAGGCTGGTCCTCGAGTAGCAACAAGAAGTGGAGGGCTTCGGGTGTCCATTTACTAGAAACATGTGGGAGAGCGTCTAAACGCTCTCTTAACGCATCTGCCAACCCATCTTTGCTGATGACACGAAAATGCTCTTCGAGTCCGTTGAGTTTATCCTCAACATCAAATTGGTTCGTGCGTAGAAAACTGTGATGACGAAGTCTTCGCAAGCTGGACTCTTTAAGAACATTAAAACGTCCAGGATCTGACTATCGATATGTGTAAGTGAGTGTGAAATAGAATAAACAGTAAACTTCTACCCTTACCTACCTGACTTGATGTCGAAGTAATGACCTCGACCAACTCCTCAGTTAATGCGCCCAATGTCGCGGCGTGTGCCATACCGAGTGTTTTATTCGTACAAGACTAGAATGAAATATTATGAGGTTGATTCATTAATCCGACATTTTCCCAATCGTGTGTTCTCTTATATGGATGTACACAAGTATCCAGGCCTTAGTTAAGGCCCATTAGGTATTTAGAGGCTTATCTGACAAAAGCTTATCGAATTGATACGCGTCGACGCGATCTGTAATTACCGGGGTTGTACCAGGGGTATGAGTTTTACAGTGCGGATAATATACTACTTCATATATCACGTGCTTCCAACACTGTGGCTCCCCCTTTCCACTTGCTTATACGGTACCCACTTTCGATTTTATGTACAACAGATTACAACGTAACCAAGATTTTCCGATGCCTCATATCCCTCTGAACATTCTGAATATTCTAAACATGTGCCATTTGGGCCACGACTCCTGACGAAAACCTTCTATTCATCTGTACATTTCCCACCCCTTAATTGATTCTGTTTCTTTGCCCTATTATGATCGCTTCTGCGATATTCTAGGCTATTCATTCTTTGACATCATTCTCTCCAAGTAGACACGAACTTGGGGCCGTAGACCTTTTGGTGAAGTTAATGAATATAAAACAGCAACTACCATAATGGCCATCGCGAGGCCCGTCCGCGCGCTTGCGCTAGCTGTCTTCATAGTCTGCTGTTTTTTCCTATACACGATATGGCGCCCGGCTTCTGGCGTGCCCAGCATAAAGACATCTGCCGACTTCCACGGTACCATCGAAAGGGATCCTAATTTGGATCGTGAGTCTTCCCTAGTTTGTTTTCTATTCGCCGTGGGCCACGTCTAACAATCCGAATAGCCACAGGAGAGCCCGAAGGTAAACTCGTACGCGCAATCGAAGGGGGGTACGCCCCCGGCATCGCTGGTACCTCGAGAATCAATGCGACGATCCTAACGCTAGTACGAAACGAGGAGCTAGATGGAATATTGCAGTCGATGCAGGACTTGGAACGAACATGGAACTCCAAATTCAATTATCCGTGGACATTCTTCAACGACGTCCCCTTTACCGAGGAATTCAAGCGAAGGACACGAGCGGCGACCAAGGCTGAAACGCGATACGGTAAGTGTGATGTGATTATGGGCTTCTCGACGGGGCTTATACTAATTCAGCACCGTAGAACTTATCCCGAACGAGCACTGGGATACACCGTCTTGGATCAACGACGATTTGTACAAGGAATCAGTCAAGATTCTCGAGGAGAATGAAGTCCAATATGCCGACAAAATCTCGTACCACAAGATGTGTCGATGGAACAGTGGGCTTTTCTATAAGCATCCTGCGCTAAAAGACATGCAGTACTACTGGCGTGTCGAACCCAATGTCCATTTCTTCTGCGACGTGGACTATGACGTATTTCGTTACATGCAGGACAACAACAAGACATACGGTTTCACCATCACCCTCTACGATGCTCCTAAGTCGATCCCGACTCTATGGCCGGAGACAACCAAATTTATCACTCAGCATCCCGAATATCTACATGAGAACAGGGCCGAGCAGTGGTTAACCGATAAGGAACGGCGTCCTGTCCACTGGGAACAGGCAAATGGTTATTCGACATGCCACTTCTGGACCAACTTCGAGATCGCGGATATGAATTTCTGGCGAAGCCAGCCATATGAGGACTACTTCAACCACTTAGATCGTGCTGGTGGCTTCTTCTACGAAAGATGGGGTGATGCGCCTGTGCACAGTATAGCACTTGGTCTGTTCGAGGACAAGAGCAAGATCCATTGGTGGGTACACTCGTCCCTACAGCAATGAATTCAGTATGCTAACCTCTTCTAGGTTCCGCGACATCGGATACCAGCACATTCCTTTCTTTAATTGCCCTAACTCGCCGAAATGCAGAGGCTGCGTTACCGGTCGTCTAACTGATGGCGAGAACTGGTTGAATAAAGAGGACTGTCGACCTAACTGGTTCAAAGTTGCTGGGATGGGCTGAATGTGACATAGAAAGGGGTGTTTTAGGATACGTAAAAATGGCTGCACGATATTGTCTGATGCTGTACTAATGTCTGGGAAATCCCATTATGGATAAGAATAGCATGACGGCATGCGGTGTTCGGCGTAGAAGGAGAGAGCGCTTCATAGAAGGAGGGCTGTGTTCTCAGGTTGACATGGTATAATCAACCAACTATTTTTGCCTGGACATGATGTTGAGGATTGTCTGTACTAGGTGTCAAAGTATGCCGTTTGATACGTTGGATATCCTTTATGAAATCGTAAGACTATTTGAATGATCTAGGGAAGACTTGCATCAATTATATCCAAATACCGTGACAATACCGGATGTGCCACTAACACAATATTGATCCCCAAATCCATTCTCCCTCCAAGAAAAGCAACTTAGAACATTGCTACGTTCCTTGGGCTTACCATCTTTGCCAATGGACTTCTTCGGTTCAAGACCAGCAGGTCCCCAGGGGACAGCTACTTTAGCTTTCAACTCCCCCGTGAGAACATCCCATACCCACATCCTCCCTTCTCCGTGCCGACCAGGCGCCCCTGTCATCTCATCCCCCGCCAGAACGAATTGCTCTTTCCCACCAAGAATAGACTGGACACGTAGGTCTTCATTTTTCCATTCAGGATCAGAGTATGTCTTTAGACATCCTCCACTCTCCCTATCCATTAAGCGGAGCTTGCTATCGAGACTGCCCACCAGAACAGCCTTTCCGTCTTTCGTCAAACACAGGCTTGTAACGCTAGGACCAATGACATCAGTGGTACACCGCCCCATACGCACATCGTACGTCCTAACGCGTCCATCAACGCTACCGCTAACGATTTCAGACCCGCGCACGGCAACAGCACTGATGGAGTCGCGGGCTTCGGTTAGGACCTGAATCGGCTTGAGGGAATTGCTCTTCACGTCCCAGATTCGCACGCTGGTATCAAGACTACCGCTCACGAGAAGACTATCGTCCTCACCGGCGAAGGCTACGCAGTTGATACGCGCGGTGTGGCTTTGCTGGGTGCCGCCGAAGCGCCGCAGCGTCTGCGCCGACGCTACGTCCCATAGAAAGACGGCGCGGTCGCCGCCTGACGATGCGAAGCGCGCGTTGTCCGAGGCGACGGTCAGCGATAGCACCTCGTACCCGTGCGCCGAGTACGTCTGGATAAGGCGACCTTCCGGCACGGCTAGGGGCCCGGGGTTGCTCTTCTTAGTGATGTGCGAGTTTGGATGGATAGACGTGCTGGGCTGTGGGTTGTATAGCCTGATAGACCGATCCGCAGAGCCGGCTAGGATGTACGTCCCCGGCGAGGCCGAGTACGCGAGCGCGTGGACGGGGCCTGTGGGTGGATGCTTAATTAGCAAATTATAGTTGAGCTGTCTTCGGAGAGGGTTGAGACTTACCATTAGAACCTAGTAGGTGAGCGATTGGCTTGTCCGGGAAAGTCATTATTTGATATCGTGTCGATATCCATGACCTAGTTAGATTCCAACCACTTATACGCCCGAGATCGAGGCAAGTCACCTCTGCATCGTAGAAATTATCTCCACTTTTCCTCGAAGCTTAGAAATTCCGAGAAGAAAACTCTGGTAGTAAACTCCGGATTTATGGATTGGTAATTAAAAATTAAAAGCAAAGAATTCGTTATGGTTGAATGAATGAGCGCGTGGTTGAGTACCTAGAGTCTGTCCCGTGCCGCCGAGTGACGTCTTATCTTATCAAAGGCGCCGCCACTAATAACGTACCGTCAAAATTGAATACCAGTGCTTATCGATAACTAAATACTTTTTTTTTAGCTTTGCACCAGCTCCAGAGTCCGGAAATTTTTTGTAACGCTTCAACACTTAAGTTACTTACATTGCTACGACTTGTATTAAAGATCGAGTGCTTTTCTAGGAAATCAGACTAGAGCTTGACGCAAAGCGTTTGCAATGCTTCGATTGAGCAGCCGAAGCGCACGCCGTATCGGAACCTCTTACATATGCACATCATGTCTTGCTTGTCATTCGACAAGGTCGCTGGCATTCCGTCCCACCTTGATCCCTAGTCAAAATGGCCGACATCTTTCAAGCACATCCCGTCTGCTTGCGCCCACGACCGAAACCTCAACACCGAATTCTAATGGTGCCGAAAATATAGAACCCCCACCACCAGAAGCGCCGAAGAAGAAGAAAAAGAGGAAGCCTAAAAAGGATGAAAAGAATGTCGCCGCCCAGGCCGAAGGTGAACGTCAGCTACAAGTTCTACAAGGCGCGCTCCAAGCATTAAAGAATGTTCTCGCTGCGCAGAACATTAATGTAGACCATATCGGCAAACTTGGGAATCAGATCAGCCAAAAAGACTTAGGGCCAGAAGGAATCCCTAAGGCTAAGGCTAAGGCTAAGGTTAAGGCCAAGACAGAATCTGCGGGTGATGATGGAGTGACTCAAAAGTCACAAGGTCCTTCAGAGAAGAAGGAATCAAGGAAGAAGTCAAAGCGAAAAGTATCAAGCGAAGAAGATATAGCGAAGGCTGATGGTGTACCAGAGCAGGCTGCAACTTCAAGTGGCCGCTCCAACAGGGCTGCGAAGAGGGCGGCAAGCCGCGAAAAGTCAAAGCAGAAGACGGCTCCTCAGGTGACCAAGAAGCCAGTTGGACAGGCTTCAAAGGGACAAGCCAGACCTAAAAAGGGAACCCCGTCTAACACTCTCCGGGAGCGAATGCGAAACATGGACAGCGGTGATGTTTGGGGTGACTATAAAATTATCGGCGAAGATGCATCGGAAGCACAAGAGTCAGGAAAGGGGACCAGGTCGAAGAAAAGACCACCTTTAGATATCAGTACTATATCCGCCAATAATCTTCATCCAGAACCCGTTAATACGGTTCATCCGCTAGTCCCGGGATTGTCCTATGGTCTTGACAGGGTCCTGTTCAACCCCGGCGTCTATCACTTACAAGATCCTCGTTCCCGAGTCTACAACTTCGACCCATATCTCTCAGAGATTATGCCAATTCAAGAATTCGACTTCAACGCTTTGAAACAGTATGTGACCTCTTCTAAGGACTCTACACTTATTGGCATTGCGAAAGAGCATGGCAAGAGATACACGGGTTCGACCTCAAGCATGACATCCATGCTTTCTCACTTCCACTATCTCCTATCGTCTTGGCGAGAAATCAACACGTCGATGCTGTCAAAGGGTTTCACCACAGACTCTCTTCAGTTCACGAAGATTATGAAAGGCCCGGCGGCAGTATTCTTGCATTGGAAAGATGGCACTTACGCCATAGATGCTGATAAGGAATTTGACACGGCCAATATCTTGAGCATGCTTGGGAAGTCCATGGAGAAACTTCTCACTCTCTCCAAAGAAGAATACGAGAGGTACAGACATATCAACTCCGACCAGATCACAGAGGAAGAGCGAAATGCCGAAGAAGCCTTTCACTATACCAAATTCCTTGATTTCATGATGCGTTCCCAATTGGATGCGCACGATCCAAGGGTGCCTGGGTCAGGTATGTTTGACCTTAAGACGCGTGCAGTTGTATCCATTCGTATGGATGCGAAAGGATTTCAGAAAGGTCTCGGCTACGAAATTCGTAACCGATTTGGCCAGTGGGAGTCATTCGAACGAGAATACTACGATATGATTCGTTCCGCATTCTTGAAATATTCTCTTCAAGTCCGTATGGGTCGAATGGACGGTATATTTGTCGCATTCCACAACACCCAGCGTATCTTCGGCTTCCAATACATCCCAATAAGTGAAATGGACCTTGCATTGCACGGAACATCGAACGTCACTCTCGGTGACAGGGAATATAAACTCAGTCTTGCCTTACTTAATGATATTCTGGACCGGGTTAGCAAGAAGTTCCCAGAGCAATCTCTACGACTACACTTCGAGACAAGGATGTCAGCGAACGCGCCGTTCATGTATATTTTTGCGAAGCCAGTGTCCCAGGAAGATATTCACGAGGTTCAAAATGCCAATAGGGCATCTATCGAAGCGTTCGAAAGGGAAATTCTTGGTTTAGCTAAAGATGAGGCAGAAGCCGAAGTTGAAGCCGAAGCTGAAGCTGAAGCCGCAGCTGAAGCCGAAATTGAAGCTGAGTCTGTTGATGAAAATGAGAACGTGGTTCAAGGAGAGGTTGAGGGAATTGAAAAACCTACCTTATCTCAGGAAATGTCGAGTCTGGCTGCTTGGAATGAAGTGCGTCAGATGGTTGAAGATGCTGTGGATGACGACGAAGTCGGCGTCGGCGCTGTGCGGGAAGCAATCGAAGACGCTCTGGAGCAGAGCGGGCTCCTTCACGCGAAATCGTCCACAGAAGCGCGAGGATACGTTGATGCCTTACTCAGCGCCATCACCAATAGCAGATCTGCTAAATCAGAGTCGACACTGAGCGCGCCAACCGAGGGAGAGGTGACTGCCGATGAGGACGACCCTACTTCTACTCAAGAGATACCGGAGCCGGAATCAGAACCCAGTAGTGAGCAATCTGTATCCGAACCCGAACCCGATACAGAGCAATCGCAAATCGAAGAAAAGTCTAAACACGCCTCTGGCGAAGGTGATAATGCGGATTCTCAACCAGAAGAAATAAGCGTGCAACAAGATGATGGCTTAGAGACGCAGACAGAGTCTGAAACATTTACATCACCCGCGTCTAATGATGAGCCTACGAATGCTATATCTGAGTTAGATAGTTCAGCCTCTATAGAAGAGACGACATCACAAGTACAAGCTGACGTTAATACAACTAGAGAGGTTGAAGAGGAGGAGGAGGAGGAGGAGGAAGAAGAAGAAGAAGACCAGGAGGAAGACGAAGACGAAACTGAGGATATTGACGACGAATTGGATGAAGGTGAATCTAAGAGAGATCTCAATGCGGCTTCATCTATGTCGCCGTTGAAAGATCTCATTGTGAGAATGGCCCAAAGGATTGACGAGAGAGCGCTGTCTGATCAAGCCGAGGGTTCTATAGACGATTCGTCCAAACTTAAAGAATTTGAGCGGATCCTCGGTCAGCTCATTGCCCGCTCCAAAGAAGAACAGAGCGAACCTCGAACCGACGGCACTAGTTCTATCTCAGGGGCTCCGATAGAACCGGGGATCGAAGGCCAAGCGGAGATCCTTGAGACTGGGACAGAGAAAACAGAGGATACACAAGGTGCTTCTCCAGAGTCGACCTCAGAAGAGGCTTTAGGAGATGCTACGCCGGCTGAAGAGGAGATCGACCAAAATCTACTAGGTCTGATCTTAACCATCAGAAACAAAATTAACGGGGAATATGTGACAAGGCCCGAAAAATTAGTTCGGGCTGATGATTGGGTTGTGGAGTACAACATCGAGGAGATCCCGACCAAGCGCGCCAACACCATCTACCGACAGTGCCAGGCAAGGCGGCGCCAGGTGTTTGAGGACACGGGCAACAAAGAATCGCAATGGTACAAGATGTTCCGCGGCAGTCTCGAGGAACGCACGATGGCAGGCCGTAAGTTTAGAGCCTCGGAGACCATGAAGGCCCAGCAGCGCCCCGTCCATGTTGTTGGCCAGGAGAAGCCGCTGCGATGGGAGGAAGTGTTCGGGACGCCGAAAGAGACGATGCCGGCGGAGGGTCTAGTAGAGGATGAGATGGAGGATGAGCATAAAATGGAGGAGTAGGTCGACCAGGGAAAAATAAGTTAGATCTTATGTCGGCCGTAGACTTATGCTGTCTACGACGCTACTACAGAGTCCATTGTATAACATCCGGCCTACGGCGCTATGAATTTATACGATGGTGGGTGGGTGATTTGGCATAAAAGTACCTAATGGGTTCACGAGGGGATATAAAAATATTCGGCTATCTCCCGTGGTGGCTGGTATGCTACACTGCGCGGAAGCAGACCGTCTCAACTCTGTACATTTAACGCTGTATATATGATGTGTACCTATGAATTCACATCCCGAGGACTCGTTAATGACTAGGTGGTGGTAGGGCGACCATGATTGTTTACGCTTTACCTCTATATCTATACACTTTAGATATATATTTATCTCACCTCTCAAAATATATACTTACCTATCTATTCTAGAGTTGCACGCACATATCTATTTCAATGATGTCGAATTGATTTGTTCTTAGTACTACTACTACCCGTATGTGAAGTCGTTTGTATACCTACGACTTACCTAGGATAAATCTTCATGGTTCGGCCCAAAGTACCTACCATCACACTCTTATAATCCTTCTCAGGTGAGATGTTTATAGTCTCGTGTGAGGTAGGGTACCTGTTAAAACGACACGAAGGAAGCATTAAATAAATACCTTGGGCAAGCTTTGAAAGTTATAAGGAGCAGAAGTAATCAATTCCCTAGGGTATCTACACGTAGCCAAGCCTCCCCCTCCCCTATAAATAATAGTCATCCTATCGTGCTATCATTAATGCCTAGGCGCATCATCCATACACCCATACATACCTAGGTAGAGGTAGGTAGGTAGGTAGGTACTTATCCACAACACCACCACCACCACATTCACGCCCCAAGATCGTAGTAAATACACTTAGTCGTCCTAAAATTATACACAAACGCATGACGACTAGCCCCATCCGTGTTCTCCCACTCGGCGCGCCACGCCAGCAGCATCTCGTGGATCTCGCGGAGATACCTGCGCTCGTTCTTCTCGACGGACTGCTCGGCCCTACGCCAGCTCTCGGCTTCCGACAGCGACGTCTCCTGTATCAGGTCCAGGATCACGTCCGACGTCTCGACGGCTGCGATCGGGCCCTCGAGGAATGTCTGCAGTAGGCCGGCGGCGTTGGCCTGCGCTTGCTCGATTACTACCAGGCGGTTGAATTTCTTGGACTTGGTGCCGGCGACTAGCACGCTGACTTCCTGGTTCGGGTTCGCGGACACGGTGCCGCTTTGGGCGACGGGGGCTGTGCTGCCGGTGGCGTCGGATTGCTTTGTGGTTCCGCGCTCGCGTTGCGCGGCGCGTAGCCAGGGGAGGAGTTGGGATGTTGAGATCTCGGCGTCGGGGACGTCCTTGCGATCCATTGTCCTGACTTTTAGTACATTGTCCTGCTTTATAATGACAATCCATGAATACGTCTCATCGCGATTCCTCGACGTGAGTTCTTCCGGGGACCGGGAATCCCGGGCTAGCTCGGCGCTGATGTCGTGAGACCACAGCATCGAGAGGATTTCGATGCCCGCCGTACGGAGAGTTTGGGCGTCAAAACTGGCTACCAGTACATCGCACTAGGAGATTGTTAGGTAGTGTCGAGATATGGTATACAATAATATTGGCGTTGGACTTACTCTCTTAGTGTTAAAGATTCCTGATGTTTCTTCCTCGGGCTTCTTTAAGAATTTCCCACCGGATTTCGGTAGCCGTGCTAGCTTTTCCCATGCCAAGCTGAAACCAACTGCGTGTGGCCCTTCGCCTATCTTTGGCCGATGTGCTTTGATTAAACTATCATAACGACCGCCAGCGGCAAATACATCTTTGAACTTTTTATCATATAGGCACTGGAATAGCATTCCGCCCGAGAAGAAGTTCTCTTTAATGCTGCTTAGGGGGTTGATGTAAATTTTCGCATGGACGCCGAGGCGTTTCGTATACTCGACTACATCTTTCAAATGGGCAAGGGTCGGTTGTAATTTCTCATACATCCGACTTCCTTCGAAGATTGCCTTGAGCTTAGCGAACGCTTTCGCTGGGGTATCTAGCCTTTTGTTAATTTTCCACTTGAACTCTTCATTGGGGTTTGGGGGTTAGACGCTTACCTCGGAAATCAAATCGTCGGAGATCTTCAATACTAGTTACAGATATTCCAATCATAGGTGAACGAAGCTCCGCCCGAATCTTTTGAAAGGTGTAAGAGTGGATGTTCAGCTTACTGAGAGATTCAGCCGCCAGTTGCCTTGCGGTCAAATCCACGTTACAAAAGTCAAATATAAGCTGTAGTAAGTCAGAATGGCCGAGATGGAAGCACATTGGTGATGTCGAGGGGAACGCGTTTATGATCTCGTCTAGCACTTTGATAACCTCGGCTTCCTTCAAAGCCAGATCTAAAGTGTCTGTAGAGACAATGTCAAAATCAACTTCGCCAACCATGAGAGGCTGTCCGCCGTTCCGTCTATCCCGGTAAACATTACCGAAGGTGAAAGATTTCCGAACTTTCGAGATATTGGTATGTTTGGCCAATGCTCTAGCATTTCCAAGCATCAGGTCGAATGGCAGCTGGACTACCGTGCCGTTCTGATCCAATAGTTGAACGATATCCTGATTCGGAGAGTAATGCGGAGAGCGGGGATAGAGCGAACTGCGAGGTGTTTCGACTGCGCCATGACGGCGGAACACCGATACCAATTCTTCCTTAACCGCACTTTGATGTAGTAACTCCGCCGCCGTAGGATTAGGTGTCGTCATATCCCACGCGTAATCTTTCGTAGGCTCTAGGGGTGCCGAAAATAGAGCCGAAACGACTTTTGGATAATAAGGAGAAGCAGAACTGGTAAGACTCGCAAGCGCCCTCCGTGTCGTCTCATTCTCCATTTGGATAGGCAACTTCCCACTTCGTAGCAACTCAAGGCTACTCGGACGCTCTTTCACGTCGTGCGTGACCAGAGATAGTACAATATCTGATTTTACTTTATCACCTGGCTGAAAATCGTCGGGAAGAAGAGAAGAGGTTCCTAGTTTTCCTAACTTGTCCGCTCTCTCCATACCCAGGATCGGATGATAACACATTTCGAAGAATATGATCCCAAGAGAATACATCTTGAACTAAGTCAGAAAAGAAGGCTAGAGGGTAGAGTGATAGGGTGACTTACGTCAACTTTTGAGGTGTACGAACCCCCGCCCGTCCTTCGGACTTCAGGGGCAACATAATAGGATGTTCCAATGCTTCTTGTTAAATCGCCTGTATCCAAGCTACCAGCGGCTGATTTATCGACAGCAAAATTACCGGCGGTAGCCAACCCAAAGTCGCCAATTTTAACATTATTGACCCCGTCAGGACCAAGGCCTATGAAGACGTTTTCTGGTTTAAGATCACGATGAACTATATTCAGGCCGTGGATATGAACTAAACCCTCCAAAATCTGGCGAAACAATCGCCAGACCTCCTCGGCTTCCTTCCAGAGGTTCCTCTGGATAAGATCCCGGAGCGTCTTACCTATGAGGTTAGTAGTCTACAACCAGCTAATAGGTGGTAAGATGAAAAAGCTTACCCTTTTATCACAATACTCCATGGATATATACATTACAATCTTGTAATGTCTTTGGCTACTCTTAATTCTTGTAGGCGAAGGCATGGAATCATGTATTTCGGAGTCCACATCTGACTCGTCGTCATCATCTTCGTCTTCCTCTGTTTCTTCATCGTCCTCGACTTCTGAGTCATCGTAGCCAAATTCTATATTGGGATGACTCGAAGATATGAAGTCCAAACCACCAGTACTAGTGGCGAATTGGATATCAATGCCTTGAGAAGCGGTACCCTTAGAATCAGTGTTGGCATCTTCAGTTGATGTATCTCCTTCAGAATCCGGCACGTCGGGTATTTCTTCCAACCAAGTGTTATAGTATCTCACGACTGCTGGGTGACTTAGCTGAGAAAGTAGCCTAACCTCTTTCAATATCTCAGTAAGGCTTGACTGGGAACGTTGGGTAATCTTCTTTATGGCATAAATTTGGCCATCGAGCTTTTTCCGCGCCTTAACAACTTCACCAAACCCTCCCTTACCTAGCCGTGCTTCTTCAACAAAGTCTTCCTTATACCTTGAAAAGGCCGCCCCGCGAACAGAGGAGTCACGCCTTAATCGTGTAGGCAAGGCCTGTGTCAACGAGCCAAGAGACTGCGAAGGGGAGAAAACAGCAGAGGTATCGTCGATAATGATAGGGGCATCAGTTGCTAAAAACTCACTGGAGCTCAACTCAAATGCACGAGGACGCTTCTTAGGATCAAGTTTGAAAAATCTAGCCACTAATTCGTGCAATGATCTAGATAGAGAGAGCGATTCCATTAGAGCAGCTGGAGACTGATATTTCTGAAATACATCTAGGCCAAATATCATTTGTAAGAAAACGACGCCTAGGTCCCAGATATCAGTTTTTTGGGTAAATTGCGGTCGTGAGCTCCCAGCGACCTCTGGCGGCAACCAGTAAGTAGACCTTGCTGCATTTGCCGACGAATTCTTTTGAGACCTATGGGAGAGATTGTGCATTTCTCTCTGATATGCCGCATCTGAAAGCTTTGGAATGACATCACCAGTTGGCTCTCTAAATAGGAGTATGTTACCGGGATGGATGTCTTGGTGGGTAATTCCATGACTGTGCAAATAGCCCAAAGCGTCGAGAAGGTCTGCAGTCCACGAACGAACCTTTCCAACATCAAGTCTTCCTGCAAGATCTAACAGCTCACCAAGTGGACCCTTATCTGCTAGCGGAGTTAAAAGTCGAGCGGTCCAAGTCATTGACACCGACTCGGTCTTTCCGTGGTCTCGGTCGATCCGGAAATTCAAGAGCTCAAGAACGTTGCGATGTGATAACTTCTTGGCCGACTCTAACTCCCCTTCGAGAACTTGTAACTGCTTCTTGAATTGAGAGGATTCCTTAGAAGTCGATCGTAATTCGAATTCTTTAAGAGCCAAACTTGGTCCGTTTCGTTCGCCAGAAATCTCTGGCCAGACGAGATACGTGGTTGCTACTTGCCCCTTTCTAAACTCGCTTCTTCCAGTGACGATGTTGAAAAGAAAAACATTACCAGCAGCATCGGTAGCCTCGCATGTCTGGTCGAACTCAACTTTACCGGCTTCCAGGATACGGGAATCTTGGGTGTGACTTGAAGCAGTTAGAGTTTTGTTTCTCTTTTTAGATTCCTTGATTTTCGTTCGTTGCCGGTCTACCTCCTTCTGTATCATATCTTGCATCACTCTTTCTTCTTCTTTCATTGCGTCTTGTCTTTTACGATCCTCCTCTTCCTGCTGCTCTCGAGCTTGCCTTGCTAATTCGGCCTCATGAGCTGCTCTCTCTTCCTCTAATGAGGGCAATTCCAGTCCTTGAGCCTTGGCCTGAGCAGCATCTTCGAGGATATCTTGGAGGCCTTGTGCTAACTCATGTATCATAGGTTCTGGCTGTTCAAGTGTAATTAAGGACTTGGGCTTCGTCTCGATGAATTTTTGCAGCTTAAACACAGTAGACTCTTTTAGACTTCCCTCATCCTTAAGACTAAGCAATGGCACTGACTTCGGATACGTAGCTGTAAGCACAACACTTAGAGTAACAGCCACTTCTTCGTCAGACAAAGCCCTAACACGAATGTCAAAGGACGGCTCGGACTTCATCCACGCACTATGAGCAGCTTTGTGCTCGATATAGTCGTCGCCATAGATGGCCTGGAGAACCATGATTTCTTCATTTTGAACGTCAGTATACGGCGTCTTATGGCCTACGTCCGGGCTGGCGGACTTCAGTCCGGGGTAGTTTGAGTCATTGTTGGTTTTGGTGGTGAGCTGCTGGGGCCCTTTCCATGGAGCAGTTGACTTCCAAGCCATTTTGATATTTCAGTATCATTCGTGAGTGATAGAAACGAACGAATGAAGACTCATACAGCCGGAGCTGTATGTTGTCTACTGAACTCTGGCCATCTTACAGCAATACTTATAATATAAAAATTCGGTATATCAATGATTGATAGATGATTGATAGCGGTGTAACAAGTCTAAGTCGAGGCTGAGATTCACTGATGGTGGGGTGAAATTCATACGTGTAACCGGCCTATGAGTCCCACGTGCTATGTAGCTAGGTACATCCTAGCCTTGATTATAGGTACATGTACATCTGTATATATTTTAGTGGGTACATCAAGCAAACATACACCTCAAGTACCATAATCTTATGTAAGCTTATCTTAGCAGTGCATCAGCATTCAGTCGTACATGAAAGTTTAGAGCTTAAAAAGAAGAGAAAGTTTCAATGAACAAAAAGCTGTGACTAATTTATATGGCTTATGTATATGCACGCAGCACAGGTACCTGCTGAACTTACATAGCTGGCTTAAGTTGGATTTTAAGCACATGTGCTAGCGTGTTAGCGCATTAGCGTATCAGGTGGATCAATTGAAGTACCTACGGCGTCGGATGCGTTGCCCCAGATCTGCGGGCTGGCAAAGTAAACATATAACCAACATATAACCTTTCTTCATACTAAAATTCACGTCGACTTCAATTCTACACTCCCACAAGCACCTATTAAATCTCTGGCGCCAACGATTAAAATCCTTTCGCATCGAGCAAAATGCTCGGGTGGGCTCTCAAAAAAGGGTTCCAAGGCGCCACCGGGGCGAAGGACGCGTCCGGTGGTAATGGTAAGACGCCTTGTAGCTACTATATTGTTGACACCCGCTAATTTCCTATTTCCTATAGAAGATACAACACAATTCGAGGCTCCAGATACACCCGCCCCTGTCTTTGCTGCTCGAGCATTCAGGAATGCCCTATTTGGAACATCTCGCTCCGAAACAACTAGCAGCAAATATACGAAGAATAAAAATGATAATTCAACACCTAATGACCTAACTTCCCCGACCAAGCAGTCCCCAAGCAAGCAACCGACGAGTATCCTTTTAACTCCGGGTACTGGAACTGCGCGTCGGAAACGTGTCTCATTTAATCATGATGTTAAAGCCGGTAGTGGCGGTGGTGGTCCTGATGCCAGTCCCCTTGCCTCAGCGCGTCTACGAAGGAAATCAACATTACAGCAGGCACTGGAGAATTCTCGCTCGGCAAGATCCAAAAAGCCCATCGAGAAAGAACAAGAGGACCCCCCTTCAAAGCCAGTTGACGACGAGTCCGAAGAAGAATGGGAAGATGATATTTGCGACCGTGATATAACAGTGGATCTTAACGAGCCACACTCAGAGTCAGGCAAATATTGGAAAGCGGAGTTTAACAAATACCGTGACGAGGCAATGGCCGATATCGAGCGTATGGTGAAGTTTAAGGCTCTAGCTAAGTCCTACGCCAAGCAGAAGGATACCGAGGCACTCGACCTGGCTCAAAAACTAAAAGATGAGCAACTAAAGGTAGCCGAGATGGAGGAGAAGATTGCTACTATGTCCTCCCAGGCCACAGATAAGAGGAGACGTGGCAGTGGCCGCGAGGACGCCACTCTAGAGAAGGATTTAGAGAAGCAGACTGCCCTTGCTACACGCTATCGAGATCAAGTGAAAGAACTCGAAGCTCTCATTCAGGAACACAAAAGCGAATCCAATTCTAACCAGTCCGACCGCCGGCGTATCGATACGTCACCTAGGACTGAAAATACACTTCTCGAGGTCAACCGAGAACTAAGACGAGCGCGATCCGAGTTAAGGCAGATGGATAAGCTTCGCAAGGAAGTCAGCAAGCTCAAATCAGATCTAAGCGCAGCAGAGGAACGAGTGACAAAACTACAAGATGAGCATGTCGACAGAGGATCTGCCGATTCTATGCAAGTAAAGAAGTTGGAGCATAAGCTACAGGCAGCTAAGGAAGAGTCGCACCAAAAGGATCGTGAGATTCGACAGCTGAAGAAGGATTACGAATCCCTAAAGAACGACGCCAAATCTCGGACTGCCGAAGCTATACAGGTGTTGCAAGCGAAGAACGACAAGATTGCCGAGCTAGAGAGTACTATCAAGGCAATTGAGGTAGCGAATCCCTCGATTAAGGCGACCCGAGCTCTAAAGTTGGGCATCGAGTCGCTCAATAAACCCTCCAAATACGAGAGTGACAACCCTGTACGCAATCTCAAACGTTCAGCCTCAGTTGAGGACGTCACTCTTGATATGACTCAAAGATCTCTACTAGGACATAAGGGGGAGTTTGACGATACACCCAAACCGATCAAACGCAACACTTTCCTCCCCCCTGACTGGTCGAGCGGTTTTAAGGACATTAAGAACCAACTGCGAAATGACAAGAAGGATCAAGTGGAAATCAACAAGCGTGAGAAAGACTTAGATATTACCCCGCCTCGTTCCATTACAAAACCCAAGGCTTCACTATCAACATTCGACTCCGGGAGAGCCATGTCCAATATTCTCTCAAACAGAATGAATCAGTCGACAACGAGGGATACGATGACTTCGAGAGAGCTACTCGATCAAAAGCTTGCTGAGGCACGTGCTGCTCGTGCAGCCCGCACGGATCGTGTAGACCGTGTAGATCGTGTAGACCGCGATGTTGAGATGCGTGGCTCTTTAGAGAGACCAACATCACGTCGTTCAAGACCTAAGTCGTATAACGGGCGTTCCTTTTCCTCGGGCAGCGAAGGGCTTGGTTATGATCTCGTCCAGGACAAATTCGCCCGTCTCGGAGGTCCCGAGGCCGAACACACTTCGGGGAATACTTCTAGATGTACCCTGCCTGCCGACCGACAAGCTGCGGCTCGAGCTCGCTTGGAGCAAAAGAAGCTCGAGAGACAGCGGAACGGTGGTGGTCGCGACAAGGAGAACATCAAACCATGAGGCTAAATCTCATGTGACGCTGGACGAAGACTTGAATGACAGGTACAAGCATATGGCACGGTTGAAAACAAAACTTGGGGGTATAATATGGCATGGCATGGCATTGCATTGCAGGAGTTTAGTAATTCTTTTGGCGTTTTCCCCCTGCCTCGTATTGGCACAGGTACGGGATTGTTCAGGTTTAGGTCGAGGAGTTAAGTTAGGTGGAGATACCAGCCGAGAGATAAGGCTTTTGTAAGATTAAAGATTGCCATGAACTTCAATGCTAATGGGAATGGATTAAGATATTTTTTTTAAGTTACCCCCTTACTACCTACCTATCTTAAGTGATGAGTAAATCTCTTCTAATAATGCCATTATGGATTCAACCTTGAACAATGAATCCCAGGAGGTACTCGAAAATGAAATCGCAGACTTAGAACTCCGCCTCCAAAGAGCCAAACATCGCCTAGCGAAATCAGATACCGCGAATATTAAAAAACCATCTCTTTCCTACCCGTCATCACAATCCGCACACCACTACCTCCTCCTACTCTCAGACTCGGCCCTCCCACTAGGATCCTTCGCCTTCAGCTCCGGACTAGAATCATACCTAGCACACACGCGGCGCGGACCCCGCCCCGGCGGCCCCTCATTCTCCACCTCGGCGTCTGCGTCGGCGTCTCCGTTCTCGTCTTTCCTCCCGCTGTCCATATCCTCCTACGCCAGCACCGCTCTACCCTTCACACTCGCCGCCCACCGCGATCCAACACCGGATACAGTCGCCGACCTAGACGACGCGCTAGACGCGGCCATCGTGTGTGCTGTCGGTCGCCGCGCTTCCGTCCAGCAGGGCCGCGCGCTCTTGGCTATTTGGGAGAAAAGTATTGCTGCGGCTGCGGATCCGCGTGGGGTGCTGGTGCCGTATGCGGAGGTGTTGCGTGCCGGTACGGCTGGTGGTGGTGGTGGTGGTGATGGTAATGAAGTACTACCGCCTCCTGCGTCGGCGCACCTGGCGCCTCTTTTCGGCGCCGTGGCTAGTTTATGCGGGCTTAGCTTACGACAGACGGCGTATGTGTTCATGCTAAGTCACGTCAAGGCGCTTGTCTCGGCCGCCGTCCGAGCCGGGCTGTTTGGCCCGTACCAGGCGCAGCGGATTCTCGCGGGTGGCGAGGTGCAGAGCTTGCTGACGGAAGTGATTGCGCGGGAGTGGGATACGGCGGTTGAAGAGGCGGGGCAGAGCGTGCCGGTGATGGATTTGTGGATTGGACGGCATGAGTTGTTGTATTCTAGGATATTCAATAGCTGATGAGTGTTAGGCAAGGGAGATATAGGAAATGGTTACGGTTGAGGGTGTGTGATTATGACAATTTGAGGGCGCTTTGGGCGCTGGTTGGTATCTATTAAGTACGGAATGGTAGTGTATGGTATGGTATTATATACAATTTGGCATGTGTCTGCTTGCTCCTACAAGGCAATGTGATCTATCCATGTGAAGCCTTATTCGTCGTCTTCGCTATCGCTTCCGTATGCTACTAACGGTCCCGACGATGCTACTGCCTTGGCTTTCGGAGCCGTGGAGACCTTCGACGTCTTCAGTGCTGCTAATGTGCTGCTTGAGAAGATTCCCCCTTCCTGTTCTGCGGGCTGTTGTCGCCCCCCGATTATTGCCTCAATGCCACCACCGGCTTGGCCATTTTCTATCATTAATCGTTGCTCTTGCTCAAGTTCGTAGCCTTGTCGCCCGGCTGGATTAACCGCCTGCGCGCCACGGGCGAAGTACACATCGTCGGGTGCCTCGTATCCTTCTAAGCCAAAGCTACTCTCGATCTTCCGCCGTTTCCTTGCCTCCGGGTCTCGACCTTCGATCTCAGCCACGAACGCCTCCGGCAACGCCCTTCGAATAGCTTCGGCAGCCTGTTCCTCGATGCGTCTTGCCTCTCTTGCCTGTGCCATGGGATTTGGGTCTGATGTGGCCCACCGCACGTTTAGAATCTCCTCGTGGTCTAGAGACTGATGTGCCATTGCCTCCTTTGCAAATTGGGCATTGGCCTCGTTGGTATATGTGATAAAAGCCACGCCGCGGGTGTTTAGCACGCGTATACGCTCGACCTGACCCCATTCGGCGAAATGGCGAGCAACAATTTCCTCGATATCATCAGTAACGTGTATCCTTCCGACGTAGATTGTGCGGTTTTGACGCATAAAACTACCCACGCCACCCATGTCATCACGGTAATCGGAATGCTTGTCGCGACCGAAGCAGTCGACGTTGGGGTTGAATAGGTCGTGGATGCCCGGAAGTCGGTGTAGGTACTCGCAATCCTGGCCTTTGGGACAGATGCCACGCGCGAAGAAAAGACAGAAGTAAGAGCCGGGCACCTTATCGGCGCGTGTGTAGCCGCTGTCCTTGGCGATGTTACAACGTCCCTTAGCGTGGGTCTTGGAGAGGTACTTATCCTCACGGTCACCGCCTGACCACTTGTTGTACCATATGTTGAAGATTGTACCGGTTTGCGGTGGAGGTTCGGATGTTATGAAGGAGGAATCGACTTGCGGTCGCGCGGGACGTTTCTTGCGAATAATCTTTTTGACCTTTTTAGGTGCCGCTACGGCTACCTCTGTAGATGGCGTCTGATCGGGTTCCCTTTCTTCTGACATGATGGATAGTGTTGGTTGATGGAGGTTTGGAGGTCAGGCTGAAAATGATTCGAGTTATGATGCAAGGCTGTAAATTGATTGACTGGAAATGTTTTCTTGAAAGGTTAGTATTCGTTAGTCGCATTTCGGATAATGGGGCAAATCAATTATTCGTTAAAGGAGATTAATCTTAGCTTGATTTTCCCCGATTTCCCCAGATTACTCCAACAATATAAGCCTTATCGATAACTCGGCTGTTCCTCTTGGCTCCTGTCAGCTCTTGCAGCTAACTCTCAGATAGAAGCCGCTCTGCTGTTCCTGGTTTGATCCCATCCAATGGACGCTCGTAACAGCTTGAGGGTGCTACGCGGACCCCGCTAGGCGAGGCGCGTACCTCGGTTTATCGACGTGAAGCTAGTCTTTTATCATGCCATCACCTCGGAATAGGGAGCTTTCTCCAACTTCCATTCAGATATTTAAATTCATAGGTTCAACCATTTTCGGCCCACTTAGATATTTAAATATATCAAATTATTAAAGCGTCCAATTATTAATTGTACATAACCCAATTAATCTACACAACATGTCTGCCAGGATTCCTGATATTGTAAGAGAAGTTGACTACATATATTCAATGCAATGCTCAAGCTTACAAAAGCTCGTAGGTAAAACATCGCGTTAGCGAAAGGGCGAAGAAGACATTGGATATCGTCGCCAAGTTTGTTGAGGAAGAGTGCATACCGTGAGTCGTAAAACTCGCTCGCATTTGAAGTATCGCTGATAATTAAACCAACTAGAGCGGACCCAGTCGTAGACGCCCAGATCGGCGAAGGTTCTGCACGATGGGAAAGCCACCCTCCTATTATCGAAGAGCTAAAGGCAAAAGCGAAGAAGTTGGGGTTGTGGAACATGTTTTTACCCAAAGGCCACTATAAGGAATCACCAGGCTACACGAATTTGGAATATGGTCTGATGGCCGAGTGGCTGGGAAGGTCAAAGATAGCCTCCGAGGCTACCAACTGCGCAGCGCCAGACACAGGAAATATGGAGGTCTTGGCTAAGTACGGCAACGAAGCTCAGAAGGCCCAGTGGTTAAAGCCATTGATGGAGGGCGAGATCAGGTCAGCTTTTCTTATGACTGAGCCCGATGTCGCCTCATCAGATGCGACAAATATCCAGCTTAGCATAAAGAAGGAAGGGAATGAATATGTCCTGAATGGCTCTGTATGATTATCCTCTGTTTCTGTGCTATATGTCATACTAACGAATTTTTAGAAATGGTGGTCAAGTGGCGCCGGTGATCCCCGGTGTAAGATCTACATTGTGATGGGCAAGTCGGACCCCAACAACAAAGACCCCTACAAGCAACAGTCGGTTATACTTGTCCCGGCTAACACAAAGGGCATAACTATCCACCGCATGCTTAATGTCTACGGATATGACGATGCGCCTCACGGACACGGTCATATTTCTTTCCACAATGTGCGGGTCCCGGTGAGCAACCTAGTCCTCGGTGAGGGTCGTGGTTTCGAGATCATCCAGGGCCGTTTAGGACCAGGCCGCATTCACCACGCAATGCGCAGTATCGGCGCCGCCGAGCACGCGCTTGAGTGGATGTTGATGAGAATCAATGACCCTAAGAAGACCCCCTTCGGAAAGCAGTTGAGAGAGCATGGTGTTATCCTGGAATGGGTCGCCAAGTCGCGAATAGAAATTGATGCGGCACGATTAATCGTCCTCAACGCCGCCGTGAAGATGGATGACCTAGGCCCGAAAGCGACGTTGAAGGAGATCGCCCAGGCAAAGGTGCTCGTCCCGCAGACCGCATTGACAGTCATCGACCGCGCCGTCCAGGCATTCGGTGGAGCAGGCGTCAGCCAGGACACGCCTCTTGCGAATAGCTGGGCGCTTATCCGGACCTTGCGGCTGGCTGACGGGCCAGATGAGGTTCACCTGCAACAAATGGGCCGGAACGAGAATAAAAGGGGCAAGGAAGTCTCGCAGAAACTACTCTGGCAGAAGGAGAAAACGGAACAGCTGTTGAAGCAGAACAATCTGAAGCGGTTTCAACCCGGATCTAACATCAAACCGAGGTTATAAGATAATCACAGGCGCAACTTGATTTAGATGCTGCTGGTCATACTCAGACATCCATAATTTCATTATCAGTTGAGATGTCAAGAACGCTAGGTAGCGTAAATGTTATGCTTACAGCCAAAGAAAGCTTATATGTATATTATAGTCGTTCTATAAGTAGGTAGCTTACTATACCGCGTACCGAGTATATATTTGGTTCTTCTTAATTAGTGCCGTTATGATCTTTTGCTATGCCATAAAGTGAACCCTCTCATCATTGTCTCTATTTTCTCTATTGCTGACATGCATGTAACATAGACTAACATCATGCCCTAAATAGAATCTACTATTAGGTAGGTGTTTATTAGACCGTAAGAAACGCTTCGCCCCCAACCGTAAAGCGGAGCTTTGATTTGAATCAAAGCACTGCCAAAGAAAAAAGACTCCGATATTGGAGTGGCTCGTATGGGTATCCCTGACACTGTTCCGCCTGATGATCATTCAATCAAGAATTAATACGATGAGATAGGGGCAGGATCCCGGTTCCCCTTAATAATCGTGCTGCGGTTGGCTCGAGCTTACACACTAAGTAGGTGAGCTAAATGATAACCTTGGTTTGCTATGTGCTTTTATGCTTATTGCTTGAGATCTTCAATCAATAAAAATTTTCACCGAGATTTGAAACCCCTGTTCAAGAAATTAGACGCGTTGTCGTGAGTATGGAACCCTGAAGATACTGATATTAAACTGGTCTGATAACCCGACAACACCCATAACACAATATTCACCGTCTAATAATTCTCACATACAAAGGGGTTTTGAAACTATTCTGCACAATGGCGACTAGAAATCAGCCTCAGCGAATAACGATCCGAGAGCAAATTAAGCAGAAAACAGATGGTATCCTAGAGGAAACACCCTGGAACAAGCTCCCTAGAATCACAATTTATGATAAACAATATATCGCTAACGTATGGCTTCAAACGACTACCAACTCCAGTATCCTAGAGCATGGAGACTACCTAATTCCGATTGAGACGGAGGTCAAACATGGTGTCCACCGGGAAAAGAAAGGCATCAAGATATGGCTCTGTCATCACTGCGACAAGCTAGGTCGAATCAAGATCTTCAACGGCGCTTCCACGAATGGCCCAAAGGCCCATCTGGAAACTAAGGGGAGAAGTGGCCACGGCTTGGTCGTAGGGAGGCGTGGAGATAACTCAATCATTTTGAGTCCCCAGGCAAATCCTTTTGGTCGTGATGTTCTCCAACAAGTTCGACATCAAGGACTACAAGAAAAAGCTGAGATATACAAGGGTATGTTGCTCAGACTGATCGTCAAGCATGATATCCCACTCGATACTCTTACAAAAGAGACTTTCAAGAAGTTGGCTTGCTGTTTTGCAGGAGACTGGGTTGAGGGGTTGCTTCCTAACTCAATCTCTACTGTTCAATCTTGGCTACTTGATGCTTTCCAAGCAGGCCGCGCTGTCATTAAAGAACAGCTTCGAGTAGAAGCTCGGTCAAAGATTCACCTCTCTTTCGATACCTCGCTATCTCCTTACACGAATAAAAGTGTTCTCGCCGTCGTAGCACACTTTGTTGACAAGAACTGGAAACCAAGGGCGAGACTCATTGGACTTAAGAAGGTTGAAGGGGCTTATAGCCCTGAAAACATAGCTTATAGTCTCATAGGCATGGTTGAGGAGTACGGGATCCATGACCAGCTAGGCTTTTATGTCGCCAATCACCATACCAGTTAGTAAAAGCATCCGAGTCGCTCTATATTTTTTTTTTTTTTGGTAGCTAATCTTCTTTGATAGGAAATGACCGGGTCTTGTGTCTGCTACTACGGCATTACAACTCAGATCTTACTGAACAGGATGCAATGAAGCTCGTCGACCAAGTTCATGTGCGAAGCTGTGACCACGTCATCAATACTATCGCGACGAATTTTGTATACAAAATCAAAGACAACGAAAAGCATCGATCTATTGCCATTCCTAGCATTGAAAATGGCTATAGAATGAATAATTTTATTCGGGAAACTCCACTGCGACGGAAAGACTTTCGCGAAGAGGTGGTGCAAATAGATGGTATAAAAATGCTAGTAGGTAAGGATGCCGAAAGGGAATTGGACGAATTTCTCGACGAGGATGAGGAACTAGATACCGTCGGCTCTAACACGGGAGGTGATGAATGGCCCGACACATCTTCGAGGGGTATATGGGATATTGGGGAGGGGGAATTAGGAGTGCGCAACTCCAAGGTAGCCAAAGTTGAAGGGGACACATGCTGGAACGGTGTACTCAAAGGGGTTCAGAGTACCCTGACGTTTAAAGAGGCCATCGTCCGCTTTACTGATAAGTATCAGCCAGAAAGGAGGCAAATGAAAGGACGGATCAGTTTGAGTGAGAGGATCTGGCCACAGGACTGGGCGTGCCTAGAAGAGGTTGGAACTATTCTAAAAACGATTGACGACTACATGATTCCATATGTGGGTAATGTGGTGGACCTACCAACGGTGATGGCTCTACTATACGAACTTAAAGGTCATTTCCTCAAATACTATTCGATATTCGACCTTTCGGACTCTACTTTTGACTCAGAAGTTTGTTCCCACTCCATCAACCCCTCTGATCTTGGCTAATTTAATATTCACAGACTGACCCCGAGGATTGCTACTCCATTCTAACCCCCCAAGCTACCTCCCGACGATCTCTCCATACACCAATTCAATGTGGTATGAAACGAAAGAAATCGGTCGATGGACCACACGAAGAAGTCGCAGTTGATCTCGACACGCGACAGAGGAAGAAGACACGTACAGAGAGGAGGACCGATGTCGGGGAGCAGGGTAGAGAAGACATTCGCGATGGCTTGAGACGTGTAGATGACGTCTTACAGGAATATTGGGATATGTTCAATGGGATGCCGGCGTACTGGGCTGCTGTTGCCTTGGACCCTGGCAAACGCCTCAAGGGACTTCGAACACGCGACCCCCAGTTAGCCAAGGAAGTCAAAGAAAAAGTCCTGGCTTACTGGAGAAGCCATTACGCTGATCCTGCAACCCTTGCCAAAGCCAACGCCGAAGCGGTAGCGTCATCCTCGCAACTACATAGTCCGAAAAGGTTTGCCTGGCTGGCACACTATGACAGCTTTGATTCGGACCCAGAGGATGAAGACGAGTTTGAACGCTACCTGAACATGGAAAAGACTGGATTCAAGCGCGGCCAAGAGCCTCTTGTATGGTGGAGGGATCACCAAAACGAATTTCCACGCCTGCATCAATTTGCTCTTGACATTCTTTCGGTTCCAAGTACGTCTATGAAGAGCAAGCGCATCTTGAAGCAATCGGAACTAGCAATGCATGAGCCTCGACGGATGAAGTCTGATGTGTTGGAGATTACCCAGTGCCTGAAATATTGGGTGGAAGAGGTAGAGGAGTTAGGTTAGGAGTATATAGAAGATGAGGTTATGGTTTATAGACAAGTGAGTTCGTTTTATTAAATAGTTTAATCCGTTCTTAAAGGGATCCTGAGAATTCTTTGACTTGACTTGACTTGACTTGACTTGGGTACTTGTTAAGATAGTCACGTGCTACAGCGAAAAGAACTTATACCCATACTTTTGGTTCTGAATAGTTATGTTTTCTATTAGAACAGAATGATTGCTCTAAACCTATTGGCAACTCTATTCTTATGACTACCTGATTGTGTGGTCTCTTCAAGGCCAACGAAGACATGCCGTTGACATTTAGCAGGTACTCTAAGGTATATACGCGCAAAAATATATGATTATAATCGTGTTAATCAGAACCTGTATCCAATACCAATTGGCAAGCAAGCCATAACCTCTTCACCAGACGCCATGCACTTTACCTTCACCCAAGAGGTTTTCAAGTCGTACGACGCCCTGAGTCCCTAGGGGCAAGTTAGTAAGATAGCTTGAATATTGGATTGCGGATATGATCCAAAGTAAACACGTACTCTGACAAGCCCCGTAAATTCGTCGAAAGACTCGAGAAGCTGTTCTAGGCAGAGCACCGATTAGATACCAAGAAAAATTCGGTATCCATGCTCTCCATGAGGCAGAGGGTCTCTACATCAGACGCCTCATTCTTCTTCTTCGCTAGGTGCTGCGTTTTCGGCTACCCATTTTGGGAAGTCGTGACGGAGAATGAAGACACAAGTTCATGGTCAAGACATAGTGCAAGACTGGAGTATTGCCGAATTCGCTTTCGTCGCGGTTGTTGGCGATAGCAGTTGACAGTATTACCAAAGTTGGAGGGTATCCAAGAAGTCTCAAGTTTCCATTTTTAATAGTGACATAGTGACATAGTGTTAGGGGCCACAAGTTAGGAAGAAGTAATTTGTGATTGTTAGACGCGTTGCTGTCTGTTGTTTGTAGATGTTGGAGTTGAGCGCTCGCATTGATCTGATGTTCTTTGGTATTGTAGAACTGGTCTTGTGTTATGGATGCGTTGTTGATTCTAAAAGAAAAAGGATTCTAAAAGAAAAAGACTACGGGACCTCGTCTGTTTATATATTCAGACCTAAGACCTCGTTCCTGCCCTCGATGTCTTGATCGTGACTGCCTTGATACCTGGCAAGTGACTCACGACTGCTCGCAGCTGCCCACAACTGTAGTCCGTTCTGATGACGTGGACCACCTGCCAACAGGTATGTTACGAGTTGCATCATAGAAAGTAGCAATTAAAGTCGCCATGCCCGGATCAAGGTATTTTTGGTTGGACCTTGGCCGATTTGTTATTGTAAGGATTTCTTGGGTAGTCCGTTGCTAATAACGGTGTTTCCGTGGGTAGGAAATTAAGTGAATGAGTCATAAAAGTCATATTGTTAAATCATGACTTTAGTACGTTGTCCGGAATGTTTCGTTGCTAGGATGATGAAGCATAGATGACTTGGCGCGGAGAGTTGTTGATGAGATAATGTTTGACGTAGTTGTGGCAGCTGTGGAGAATGTTTACAGTAAATCAGCCCCACATGTGCATAGAAGCATTAAGGAATTTCAACAGTGTACTTCGTACATTGTACCCAGTCACAAAGCTGCAACCACTATGGGAAGCTGTCCGGCAGCTAAGAGCAGTGACCAGGGATCCCAGCTGTTGCCGGGCCAACTCTCTTTATTTTCTTCCCGGCAGGTCCACAGTTGAACTTTTTCTAGACCACGCCCCGCCTGACTTCTTCATCTTTCACATGCACACTCTTTCATAAAAGACTTTGTCGCATTCCCTTGATTACCTCACAAATCTTTCTACATTTCCACAGCACATCCTCAAACAATTGCAACCGAAACATCCAACGGTCACGATTACAAGTACGACACGCGCTACTCAATCTTGCTACCTCTACAGCCTCATTGATTAGCTTCAACAAACATCTTCGTTGTTCCTAGTTCTCGCCTACGTCTTCGTCCTTCGCAATCTTACAATCTGAAACCTCTAAAAACTTTCAGCAAATAACTCGATCTCGACATAATGGGTGCTCCTCTAGCTACCAAGGACGTCAACGCCTCGGTCCAGACCCAGGACGCGGCCGCCATGGATAACGGCAAGCCTAACAGCGCCCAGACCTTGGAATACCATCGCCAGGTCCTGCATTCCAAGATGGAGGAAGAGAAGTACGGAGCCAACGTCACCAACACAGCCACCTCCACCTCCGTAACCGTCACTGTCACCAGCGTCGACGCGGCTATCCCTTGCGCTATGAACCCTCAGTACCGTCGCATTGCTAACTCGGATACCACCAATGGCAGACAGCAGGAATACGTCTCTCCGTCGGACAACATCATGAGCCCCTGCACCGCCAAGCTCAGCGCCTTCAAGGGACGAGTCGTCAGCAAGTAAGTTTTACAGTCCTTGTCATATCCCGTCTCCTTGGCGATATCCGGTATACTAATTATTACTTCTACGTAGGGCCAAGCCCAAGTCTCTCTTCGCCCAAACGTCCGCTAAGAAGTTCGATGGCAAAGATATCTTCGGCGGCTCCAAGACCGTCCTATCCCAGGCTGGACCCCAATCTGGAATCTAGCTGCCAGCTAGCTACCTGGTTCCCCTCGGTTTACGGGACGGCGGCGTTACGGATCACTCTTGTAATAAATGGCTTTGCTTTAGGATGGTACAGAGACCTCACCACGGCGTTGGTGAAAGGGTACTATAGGGTATTCAGGGGTAATTCTAGGACGGGAGAGTACGACGATACCCATTCTTTGATGGGCGGACATCATCAATGATTCATGAATAATTCACTGCCTTATTTTTCTTATGCTTTACGTATAATTGCGTGACGCGATTGATTATGCTATTATACTATGCCTTATAACCACTGACTATGTATACCACGTCCTCGTCGGCCACTACATGTCCCAGACCAACCCTCTGCGGGATATGTCTAGCACTTGCGCCCCATACCAAAGCATACTTGTACGTATCCTTCAAGGTCCGGTGGATTCGGTCGCAGACGTCTTCGATAGTAGCGTTGCTGCGCACAATGAGCGCTTCGCTGAAGTCAGGATCGATACCTTTCCGCTTCGTGTAGATTCTGATCAATCGCAATTCCTTCCAACACCGGTCTACCACGTCTTGAATGCCCAGGTCTAACTCGCAACTCATGACGACGGTCTGCGGCTCGCGCGCTAACTTATCCAGGAAATCGAGGGAAACACTGTCTATCTTGTTGTATACATAAAGACATTTTATGTACTTGCGATGGTCTTTCATGATGACATCGATCAGGTCGTCGACTGTCGCCTCATCGTCTCGAATCAGGACTTCGCAATTTAACATCTTGTAGTCTCGCAAGATGTTGAACACCATCTTTTCGTCCAGGTTCTTCGGGGATGACTGGAAGTTGATCTTCATGCCGCCGGCTTTCTTGGCCTTTAGATATATGTTCCTATTTTTTTTTTTAATCAGTATTTCGTACTACAAAACAGGGGTAGGAAAGCCCAGGCCAAAAGCTTTCACTCTAGTTCTAAGAGCAGTGCAAAGATTTTGGCCTGGACCCTTGTAGTCCATGAACTTACGGTGGCTCCCTATTTAATCGAATCCCGACAGCTTCCAGCTCGGCCTCTAGCAGGGCCCTTTGCTCCGCCCTCTTCGTCGCATCGAGGACCATAAGGATGAGATCACTCGTCTTGGCGGCCGAGATCACTTGTCGTCCTCTACCCTTGCCTTCCGCAGCGCCCTCGATGATTCCCGGCAGATCGAGCAGTTGGATTTCCGCGCCGCCGTACTCGAGCACACCGGGGATAGCTGTAAGGGTTGTGAAGGCGTATGAGGCAACTTCGGACTTCGTTTTAGTCACCTTCGATAAGAACGTCGATTTACCGACGGATGGAAACCCGACCAGCGCTATTCGCGCGTCGCCGCTCTTGCTGACATCGAATCCCGCGCCGCCTCCTCCACCTGCTCCTGGACCGGGCTCGAGGAGTTGCGCTCTTAGACGTGCGAGCTTTCTGAAGAGGCGCATGGTTAGATTATCTCCCCTAATGACCTTAGGTGAGCGGAACTGTACCCTTTTAGAAGTCCAAGGTGGTATTCTGGTAACTAGCGTTAGCACCCAATTCAGTATAAGGGTAATAGTAGTAGTCTCACCTGTTGCCTTGTTCTCTATATACCGATTAATAAGTTAGAATATAGACTATGCGACAGACATAATGATGCGCCCTTACTCTGCGTCCTTTTCATCTCATCCTCAATCCTATATAAAGTAAGTAAACGAGGGCTCACTGCAGGGAATATGCCGATAAGCTCACTCCTTGATCTTTTCCGTTATGTTCACCATCTTGACGGCTTTAGATCCTAAGGACCTAGTCTATGAATGGGTACAGTCTATAATCGTAAGTCCGGAAGTCGTTTATCGACAGACAACGCCTAATTTCTAAATCTAGGGTCGCAGGTATAGACAAATTCCCTTCGCAGAATTAAAACGAGCAAAGTTTCGTGGCTAACAAGAGACAGGCCTGACAGATATTATATATAAAGAATGTTAAAGTCGCGATTCTAGTCCGTGTAGAGTCTCACCACCCCACTTCGAGCGGCAGAATTTCAACGTGGGGTTCTTTAGCAAAGTATTATTTCTTCACCGCCTACCTTATTACCGCTTATACCCAGGTATTCCTAAGTCACTCATTATCCATATTCGTACTTCACTTTCCAATAGTAAGCGTAGACATTGATTTATGAAAATATGACTTTGAATACGAATGCTAATGATAGGAAAACTATATGATGTAAACTTCGTATTTGATTTCGTTTGTTAAATTAAAGATATACAAACAGTATCTACCCGGTACGTATCCGGGACTAAACGACGATAGGTACAAATGGCTCTTTAAACCATCTAAAGATACATGACCTATGAACAAATTTAATACAAAATATGATATGTTCGAGTAAACTTGATTTAGTATATGAAAATCCCCTAGGCATCAAGCAGTCGGCTTCATATGATACAGTAGAATTTGTACCGGGCATTTCTTATTTGTAGTGCTTGTTATTAGCATACCAAGCTCACATATATAATAGCTACTTACAAACCTTCAATCACAACCGGAACAAAGAATCTCCGTGTGGCATCAGTGGTTTAGTGGTAAAATCCATCGTTGCCATCGATGGGCCCCGCGTTCGATTCGCGGCTGATGCATCTTGACTTTTTGCAACCTCATTTTGGAGATTGATTGAGAAATATTTTTGTTTATTGACCAAGATGTTTGGAACGTCGAGATCATGTCTATGTAGTATGTGACTACCCAGAGGTATTTACCGGTTAAACAGCAATGCCCGAGTTTACGAGGGGTTATTGTGTCGAATTTTTTCCATGGCCCAAATAGGAAAGTAACTCAATGGGCAGTATATGGCACGTGCGCAATTATGTAAACTCGGGCATATTGTGCAGCCCGCAGGGCTGCCTCCAGTATTCTATACCTTAATCCGACTCTGCTGTAGTTCCTATACATATCAGGTGTAAGATTGTGAGACTGCGCCTCGACGATGCTACTTCTTTCTCACCCGCAATTTACGGAGCAGTCAAATCAGAAAGACATCATAATTCAATGTCACGGCGGCAAGGACATATATAATCAGACCCGTTGAAAATAGGCGATCATCCCCATATCTAAAATCGCCGCTCCTTGCGCGCTCAGCGATCTACACTTTGCCATTCCGGCTAATTCGTATTTCGCCTTGGCTACCTTCACTCTCGCTCGCACCTTATTCAGAGACGCAATAAGATGTTTTGATGTTACAAGCTGTTAACATTAGATGTCATGACTGCTTACAAAGAATGTTTACTCGTGAAAATGATGTGGTGTTCGCTTATGCTGCTCGATCCGAGCAATTTCATTACCTACCAACCTTATCGCTAACACCACTGCTTAAGACGTGGTTATGAGGTGTTATATGCTGATTCTGGCCCTCTGGCTGGGGAATATTGTTGCCGAGCCTCAGCCAAGCGATATACCGGACTGGCTTAAGAACTACAACTTCAATCCTCCTGGGGAATGCAATTCTGATCCTGCGGGTCCGTTGAACCCTCGGGAAACAGATTTAATGTGTCCTCTCCTTGTTGATGATGAGACCGCATTTGAAAGACGTTCATGGCTTCCCTGGACATATCCTCCAGTATGCGCGGAGCCTGAGAAACCGGGGGACTCTAAGTTGTGCGTGTTCACTTATATCAACCTCAGAGGAGAGGTAGGAATCAGTCTCGTCACCACGCCGGAGATTGCTGCCGGTGGTGTTGGCATTCTCGGAGACCCGGACCCGATATGGGAGAACTGGGCGAGAGGCCGTCCACTTGTTGTATCCGGTCCGCCTCCATACGAGGTCAGGGATCTAGAGGACAAGGGCATGGGAGTTATTGCGAACCGTACGATTCGTAAGGATGAGGTCGTGCTGCTGAGATATCCGGTTATCCTTCGGATAATGGACTATAGGCCATGGAGAACCCAAGACGTGATGAAATTGCTTCATCGAGCTGCCGTTCAACTACCCCAAAAAGAGGCAATGCAGATGCTGAAGTTGGCTCATTCTAAAGGAGGCTACATCGTTGAGGACATTGTCAATACAAATTCATTTGGTGTTATGTTAAATGGTGCGGACCATTCGGGTTTATATCTTGATGTGTCGGTAAGTAAGAAGACATGAATCTCATGTGAGCATTACTAACTGACATCATTGACAGAGACTAAACCATGCTTGTAAACCAAAGTAAGCCCCCCTTACCCCTTCCCCAATAGGATACCTACTAGGAGTAAGGGCACTGCCGCTAACATTGTTCTTAGCATGTACAGTCGGTTCTCATCGACTACACTAGGAATGGAAGTTGTGGCGTATAGGGATATTAAGCCAGGCGAAGAACTAACATTTAGCTGTAAGTACTCTTGACATAAACCTGAACACAGCATCTAACGTAAGGACAGACCTGCCGTTGAATCTCCTATCGGAACAACGCCAAACTCTTATCAAGGAATGGGGCTTCAACTGCACGTGCTCACTGTGCACCTCCCCAGAAGCCTCAGCAGCTTCAGACCGTCATCGAAGTCGCCTACAAGAACTACTAGCAGAGCTAGATCTCCCCGAGATACGGAAGCGTGCGGCTGTCAGTAAGAGAGTCGATGAGATACTGGACTTGTGCGAGAAAGAGTCGCTGGAGGCTCAAGTCGGCGACTTTTATACCATCGTCGCGGAGGTCTACTCTGGTATGGGCGATGTGGATGTGGCGAGAAAATACGCTAGGCTGGCGATTAAGGAGCTGACGCATTATGCTGGGTATGATCATGAGCGTACTAGGAGTGCTATTGCTTTCTTGGGGATTTTGAATGGATAAGAGGATGTATAAAGGATGTGTGACATGTTAAAGAATGGATTGCTCCTTAGGTAGGTAACTAATAGAGACTAGAATCGAACTCCTCTATATTAATATGATCACTTCATTTACGAGGCTAGGTCCCGGCTTGTTCAATACTCCTATATATAGCTAGGTGTCACTATTTTCGGAAGACGCTGTGGAACAGTTAGCCAAGATTCGTTCTGGCCTCCGGTCTCTCACTGGATGCCGGATCTGACTGGTACAACCCAAAAAGGGGGCTGGCGGTCATGGCCCTTCTAGCTTTTTCCCTTTCACTGGAGATGATTGATCAAGATCCATACAACATATAACCCATGTTGAGCAAAATTACGATTTGGTGACGTATTCATATGGCTGGTTGGCCATCTCATTAACTTAATCATAGGAGTCGACAGTGCCTTCGTGATGATTATTTGGCGTTAACATTCGAACATTTCATTGCGTTTAGCTTTTGTTGCAATCTGACCTCCTTTTCTATACTTCCGCATGACGGTTCTTACCCATATTTCGAAGGATTCACCAAAATGTCCCAATAAACACGCAAATTAGAGCAACGAAATATCATATATCCCCAATTGATTCTATCATATAAATAAATGTTTCAACGAGTGTTGGACTCATGAAATCGCATCCCAAAATCCTTTTCTAGAGTAGTTTTATCCTCAGAACGCCCGTATCTAGACATCCACTACTCGACGCAACTATCCAAGACCCTCACGCTTCGGCGAGCTTTCCCTCGACATCTACATCGGCTATGGGGCACGTGGTAGAGTCGCCGGCTTGCGACGGCTCGACCAAGCAGGCCCCGGGAGACGTGTCCCTCTTCAAAGCAGCCTCGCCGGACGCCGAATACGTCTTCTCGTCCCCTTCGCAAGTCCAGCTGCTCTGGATGCTCAAAACTAGAGTCTCCATGTTGAGTTGGACGGTGGTGTTTAAGGGGCTTGCGCCGAAGTTGAGGCATTCGTGGGTGGAGGTGGGATCGTAGTCGATGATCTCCCCGTCTACGTTTAGGCGGTATTCCACGTCGCAGTCGGCCAAGGTACCCGTGGGAACGTGGCGGGCGAAGAGCTCGACTCGACCACTCTGACCACCGGGCCAGTCCGAAGAGGCGGCGTTCGATAATTTCCAGTTGGGTGTTGTCGTCGACAATTCGGCGCAATCAGCCCGTCGGACATGGGCAGGGGCTGCGAGAGCTTGTCCCGCGAGGGATAGGCAGAGAGCAGCGCGTCCTCGCATAGTGTCTGTTCGTTTTGAGGCTTTTTTTCTTCTTCTCTTTTATTACAAATCGAGCTCGTAATGTTTTCGCTTTTGGAGTTTCCGGAGATTTACGTGAGAGAGATTTGGGGATGCCGACAATTTGAAGTTCTTCTCCAAGCTCTCAATTTAATATTGGTTCAGGATATGTGCTTGCATTTAGCCTTTATTCTTTGCCCGTTACATACGACTCACTTAACCGTTAGGCTGTATCTAAATTACTATAACTGTTGAAGCTTGATCTTAATTATATGCTACCTCTTTATCGCGTTGCAACTGTAGGCTTGGTGTCCCTGCGTTTGCCACGCTTTTTGAAGGGTATGTCTAATAATAACTCACCATATAGATAGTGTGGCCTCTTCATTGCAGTATTAAAAAGAGAGTCTAGAACGTATGGTATTCTTCATTGAGACCCCTACGCGGGCAAACGGGGGTACAATTCTATTTAGACAGCCTCGGCGATGTTTGGCGGGCTTTTTTCTTGCACTTCACTAGGCGGGGGTGAAAGTGTTGTTGGTAATATAGGAGTGGGACTTAGTCTATCATATGAGATTGCGAAGAAATGTTTTCTATATGATCTCTGGATCAAGAGCACTTTGATTATTTCTCTTTCACGTTGAAAGGACTTATTGACATGGTTGAAAACTTTAATATACTTGCTGAAAGCCCTTTTGTACGCTTCCCCTAGGGAACCATTCTTGTCCCACTCCACGCCAACACCGGAATATGGCAATACATTCGTTTTACTTGATGATGTCTATACTTCATTCAGCCTCTTCCTCCTGTAGCCTAAGAAACTGGATAGCGTGTTCTTATCGAGCAAGCTCACCCCTTTCCGTTAGTTTCGGCAGCGCCCGGGTTAAGTTCTTCAACAATAAAATTGTCTTACGCATACCGTCGCTCTTGATACACCATGCCGTGTTGAGAAGGTAAACAATTGTTGTAGATATCTCAATAAGATACTGGCTGAGTTCAGGGGCATGAACCCCCTTTCGATCAATCTGAATACGTTGAAGAACTAGCTCCTTTAGAGCTTCCTGGCCTTCATTAGAAGTAGATTCTATAGCGTTTAGAATCGTCAGAGCGAAAGTGTGCAAGCGGTTGGGATTAGTTCCTTCGGCTACTGCGAACAAATTGATAACAGCGTCAAAAATTCTTCCGACGTCAAAGTCGTTTAGATCGCTCTGTTGGGAACTATTAAAGGCTTGTGCCGACTGGCTTCTTCCCAGGTATGTATACCAGGCGGCAAAGAACTCGATTCTTTCTATTCGTGAAAAATATACAACAAACTGAGGAGTTTGGTAGAATTACATATCTAGGTATTTACAGGTAGGTAGTGTTGTAAGAAAAGTCCTTATTAAGTACCTAGATATCGTCGGCGATTAAGCCAAGGCAACTTACAAAGCCATATTGATATCTCTTAAATAGCTAGAGAGAAAAAGGTCGAAGAAAATCTAATCTAATATTATTATATATTACCGCTTTGCCCCTTTATAACTTGAACTTTAGATTCTAAAACCGGATGGGTTTCTCAACATTGTCTAGAATAGGGGTAACCATAATTGCATAGCCTAGGTACCTAAGCATTACCTGTTATGACAATTAGTAGTTTCTAAACACGACCAAATACAACATTTGAAGCCGTACTGTTTCCTTTAAATTATTCTGATGCTAGCGTGTCTCCCTATTCGATACCCTCTCGACTAGCCGTAGCCTTTTGATCGACCGGGCCCAATCTAACTCCTAGCCTTGCTCTAACGGTTTATATTTTCCCAGGCAACACACCACCCGACGCCATTACCAAACGCGCATATGTACCAGTTTCCATTGGAACACTCAATTCTACATCTTCTACTTTTCCCTTCACTCATATCGCGTAAATGATTCCTCCAACTCCAAACTAAAGGGCTTCGTCGTACTTGGAGCCTGGCCTACTTATTGACTTCGCTGTCCCCATCGTCCAGCTCTATGTCGTCGATTTGGAACATGATCTCGTCATCTGGGTCAAAGCTAACCATATTACTGCTGCTGCTTCTTTTTCCGCCGTCGTTGCTTCCAGTGGCGTTCTGCTGGCCGCGGTTTTGCTGGCTACTGACATTCCCCTTATTACTCGTGTGGCTTTGGCTGATTTTTTCGCCACTAGACATCTTGGCTGAATGTCACGAGTCTCGTTTCAATGATTTAAAGTAAGATATTCTTGGAAGAGAGAGATCAGAATTTCAGATGAGGATTTATAAAGTATGAATAGCGGTCTATAAGGTCGAGAGTATTTTTATGACTTCAGAATTGAGGTGCGGGGAGAGTATGCGACTTTTCAGTTATCCAAAGAGATGTAACATCCATCATGGCACATGTATTATTGGTCAGAGATTTATGAACGTATCCTGTGACCGATCCAATTACGTAGTGAGCGCACTCAAGGTTTTCATCGTATGATTGTGAGCCAAGCACTTCTACTCGCAAGTTCCGTTTATGCTTTTGATACTTGATTGGAAGCTATCGACGTAACTGCGTCATCGCATGACTATAAGTAATCCACAATACGAAGTACCCCAGAGTCAATTATAGAGCTGAAACAGCCTCATTCCACATATATTGCCTCAACTTCCGCACCTGACTATCACTACCTGAAGCATTGGTCACCTAATGACCTCTTAGTGCAAAGGTTAGATTATTATACTTTTAACACCTTTAAATTAAAACTATATATGATAGGTACCTAAGTCACCGGCAGTTCCTCTTTGCTAATGGAAAGGGAGAGTAATTAAACGTATAATATATTAGCTTTTAAATTCAATTAATGATGCAAAACATCGTCTGACCCCTTTGCATGGATTGTCGAATTTAAATCACACAAGCTTAACGCCAGCTATCTCCTACCCATTTCTAGTACCAAGGTGCGCTGCAATTCTTATGAGACAGTGAATAAAGAGATTGGCTACGACAAGGCCCAAGAATATCTATTTAACTACTTAAAGTGTTGATGCTTGACACTGATCTGAGATGATGAAATGAGTGTACGGGTTCCCACATTTTCACCTAGCACTCGCAGCCGTCGAGCTATGCCTCTACTCATATTGTATCATTTTCCCAATCATAAAAGTCTCCACAGGATACAACTTCATCCTCGAAGCTATGATGAATGTATCTCAAACATCACCATAGTCGCTGTCGAAGTCAGACACGTCATCTGAAATTGTCTCCTCCTCACTCTCAGTAGTCTCCATGAACTCGGTAGTGCTGGGCCTGAGCTTCGCCTGGGGTTCCTTCCTAGCACGACCTCTGGTATTGTATTTATTAATATTGAAAGGCCTCTCGTCCTGAGTAGCAGCTTCCTTTTTAGGGCTCAAAGAAGATTTGGACTCGGATTTAGACTGGGAGTCAGTCGCGGTGAACCAATTTCTCTTTTTGCAGAGAATACGGAAGGTTTCCTTAGCTGACGGTTCATTTTTCAACCCTAATTTGTGTGCGACAGTAGTCCAGTCTATTTTGGGTTTCGCATGAGGAGGGCAAGCTTGCAAGATAGTGTCGATGATCTCGGTATCTCGAGGTGTCAACATTTGGACTTTATTATTTGTCCTCGTGGGGGGCATTCTGGAACCGGATACTGTTAGTGTTGGCACGGAAGAACAACCCAAGGAGACGACAGACATGTACTTATAAAGTCTAAATACGCAATAGAGGTAGCAACTTACGTTGTTCAAAGTATAGTGTAATACTGTAGTATAGGTTGTATACGATAAGCACGAAAAGTAGTAGGAACACTTTGAGTTACTACAATAATTTGAATATAGATGGCTTGGAGGTGGTAGGTCAGTGGGGTTATATAAAATATTAAACTGTTGTACATAAAAGGGAATCAAAAACATATCGGGTTGCATTAAGCGAAGTACATTATCGCAATGCGTATTGGTGTTAGTATAAGTTAAGCAACCAATATTTAAACATGTATAAACTCTTTTTACTTTTCGATAAACTCTTTGCTTTTTCCCCCACGCATACAACCCCAAAGGTCTCGCCACGTCCCATAAAATACGAAAAATAGTGGTTAAAGGTATATACAAGGTATATCATTTTTCAAATACTTTACGTATCGAGATATACATGCTTTAATATAGAAAAACTTCCACTTATATCTAGTTTCCAAATATTATATATATCGATAATATGTCGTTCTACGATACAGCTGCCTTAATTCTTCTTTATTTTTGGTTCCTTGCGCATCGTGAATTCTTTAACAGATGCAAGTTAATCCTTGTATCAGCACCGGCTAGTAGGGATAGCTGGACGCCACAATATGACCATCAGGCGCGGGATACATAACAATTCACTTTACAAGTAGTAGATTGTTCACGCCAAGGATGACCACTTTCAAATATGCCATAAATAGCCGACATGGTAAGTAGAGCAGAGTTGTCCGGTCTTGAAAGAGCTCTACTATACCGTATTACGTTGTAAACATGGGGTAGGTAAGGCTGTGATACCCCAACCTGTCAACTTCGAGGGCAACCCGCAGCCTAACACACCCGAGCTATCGGAATGAGTCATCCCCATCACAGGATACCACGGTATAAGCGGAATCATCCCACCCGGGAATATTCTACGCAGGTCTAGGCTTGGAGATCCGATCGTAGATGGCGTTGGGGGTTACCAAAACCATAACCGGGACTACGGAACCCCTTCCATTAAACCAGGTAGACTTTGGGGTTGAGCACACCCGGTTTAACAGCGATAAGAATTATGCATATGATAATTCACATTAGCACCTCATCATGGTTAAGTGTTTACCCCCCCTTGGACGTAAACGAGTATATACAATGTACACACAATGGTATAGTACGTTGACAGGTTGTCAGGATTCTAGATGAGACATCTAGAACAAAGGAACTGTTTAGTATGTATAGACGAAATATCTTCATAGGTAGTTTAGAGTTCCTTGCGGAACAACGAAGTCGTTTCCATGCTGTTTCGTTCCGCCTCGTGACACAGGTACCTTTTAAAGTTGTAGGATTATGATACCTGCCTTGTTTCCGATGTATCTAGTATGTAGGCTATTGGACGAATATTCGTAATTTGCAGACTACGGCTTCAGTTGTATGCTCTTCGATGATCCGTGGCACTTCTCATAACATGGAGTCTTTGACCCTTCTAGGCATTTCCTTCTAGTAACGTATCTTCATATAAATGAAAACCTTGTACGCCCGAGAGAAGGCAAGGTAAAAGCTCATGTAGTCTTTATCATCGTCTTAGAGGAGGAGCCAGTAACAACAAAAGTATTTATAGTAATATAAACTTTTAAACCCGCATCGAGCAGCATGGTCCACCTCGTTCTACACAGGAAAATCGGGGTCCAGTGCATGAACTGAAAAGGCTGGAATTTTCTAATGAACTTTTTGAGTAGCGTAAGTTCGAGCTTTACTACGTGCATTTGAGAGATCGCCTTATATAGTAGCTCAGCTCATTACGTAATGCAGTGAGCCAAATCTATAAGGCTAGCTCCGTGACATAAGAGCAAAAGGTTCATCCAGAAGGAAGCTGTTAATGTATTCATGAAAATGAGGTCATATAGCAAAAGTTTCGAGGTATTTGTACAGTCGATACTACGAACGAAATAGGAGGTTTGACTACCTATTCATATAGCTCCCGAAGATCATGGGAATCCCCACGATCCTCACTTAGAGAACTACTTCGTACACACTTTGAAATGTCCCTCAACTCCATCTCAGACTTTAACCCGAATCTCTTGTCTAATTTTTCCTTTAAAAGATACTATTGCTCAATACCCCGGTATTGTACGTTATTGTAACTTTCTTACTGTCTCTTAATTTTGTAACATAAATAACCACACGAAATAATTAATAAAGTCTGTTGATGTAATAGGTGTAATTTACTAATCAATACATCAAGTTAAGTCAATCATATTTAGTAATAGCTTAGGAGTATTCCTTGCGTGGAACCAAAGATAACAAGTTGAATCTATGTGATGGTTTTATGGAGACGAGAAAGGCTGTGAAAAGAGGGGCTACAAGGGGGTTGTAAACAAATATGGAATTTTGATTGTGCGCAATTTGCTGGTCGCAATGTTGGCTGATCGCCCAAGTCGCTTTAATGAAACAAGCATATCAAAGAGCCTCAGATTTTCCGAGGCTTAAAATTTTGGGTTCGGTAATAAGCAACAGCGAGATTTTACGCGACTAAAAATCCCTCCGCTCCGGTCCCATGAATAGGTACCTGTGTTTTTAATTTCTCCATTCGTATTGACCTTCTTGTATGTACTTTGACGTTGTACCACCGACAGACGCTCCGGGCCGAACACGAAAAAACACAGAAAACCCCACAAAACGGCCTTAGGGATCATGGATGGGTCTCGCATGACGGCAGAAGGAAGAAAAAAAAAAGCTTGTTCTCTGATTCCCCTGACGATCGTCCAGCCAAGCCTAGCCTCCCTGGTAATTAGGCCTCTAATACTAGACACAAAAGCTTGTTTACACAGCTTCGAGGCATATCATGATAGTTACGCGTACTAGATGGGGTCATAGTGGGGCCCCCACGCCAGACTGCGATCGCTTCGAAACTTGTGATATGGAACCGACCACTTCTATTCGATATCACTGCTCAGCGTGACCAGCGGGGGGTACGTATACAACGTCTGACGTTTCCCATGTCATTGAAAATGGCGCAGCAATGAACATGAAATTGTTCCTCAAGCTAAAAGAAACGGAAAGACTCTTGCAATGAGTCCTACTTTCTAGCTGGGTGGTCCACTGAATTTATATCTAATAGTACAAGTACTTAGACCGGTCTCAGGCCCACAGAAGCCGCGTCAACGAACACGACGGTGTGGATTCTCCCGTAGCATAGTGTATGTAGTTGTAACTACGTAGATATGAAGACCAGGATCTGCTAGGTCCACAAGTCGATGAAGAGCTGTAGTGTATGGTGGATGTGGCTGGCCGATCACTTAGTTTCTGACACCATCGGCCTTCCAGGAAGGTCCGTTTACTTAACCACTCCCTCGTGTCTACTCCAAAAACCAGCCGGTCCCAATTCATACACTCTGGATTCTATTTCTTCCAAAGCGAGGCCGTCATGTATTCCTTGTCGATTCTAGTTGGCGCTTTAGGGTTGCTTCTCAACTTGGTGGTTGCTATCGATGTAGACTGGACAAGTGATTGTAAGACGACACTCCTGTATAAATTGTACCGTGTCCATGACTAACGCTGAAAAGCCTCGATTAAGTCGGCTGCTAGTACGATTGCTTATGGCCTTGTCAAATATTATACAGGTGAGCCGGATCACCGGATCGCACAAAAAAGGATTCTACTAATTGGCCTTTCATAGGAAATAATACGGGTGATGTCCCTGGAAACTTACCTGATCCATACTATTGTGCGTGTAGTCCATATCACCGAGTAATTCGGCTCTTAACTAATAGAGTTGACAGGGTGGGAGGCGGGCGCCATGTTTGGAACCTTGATAGACTATGCATCTTTCACGGGCGACAAGACGTATAACGACATCACATTCCAAGCTCTCCAACATCAGGTCGGAGATGACGCGGACTTCATGCCTTCGAACCAGACAAAGTCCGAAGGCAACGACGATCAGGGGTTTTGGGCCATGGCAGCAATGACCGCCGCCGAGACGAACTTCACAAACCCAGATCCGGATCAACCGCAGTGGCTAGCATTGGTCCAAGCCGTATACAACGAGTACGTCAGGCGGTGGGAGCCCGACACATGCGGCGGTGGAATGCGTTGGCAAATATACACGTTCAACAACGGTTACAACTACAAGAACTCCGTCGCCAACGGATGCTTCTTCAACATCGCCGCGCGCCTAGCCAAATACACCGCCAACGAGACGTATGCCGAGTGGGCGAATAAGATTTTCGAATGGGAGCAGTCGGTCGGTTTCATCAACGAGAACTACAACGTGCTAGACGGCGCCGGAAACGCAGGCAGTGACAACTGCACGGAGTTAAACGGGGCCCAATTCACTTACAACGCGGGTTTATTCCTATGGTATGTATGAAAACACCTCGTGTTGTTATTTTCGAGCCCCCTTTCTAGAATGGTCTTGAAACACAGTGGCTAACGCTCAGTAGTAAGTGTGATGACCCTGTCATTTCGACTCAATCGAAAAAACAACGGTGAAGATTCCAGAATCGTAGTATTGCAAAGCTAACACGAAATATTTCCATACATTAGACGGTGCCGCAGCCATGTATAACCACACCGGCGGCGCCGAGCCGTGGAAGACACGCCTAGAGGGACAAGTCAAGTCCATAGCGAGTATATTCTTCGATGATGGAGTCATGTGGGAGCCCAGCTGCGAGAACACGCCTGCGAAGTGCAATACAGACCAGCAGGCTTTCAAAGGACATCTAAGCCGCTGGATGGCTCTAACCACGGTCATCGCCCCTTTCACGTCCGACACCATCACGCCCCTGCTTAAATCGTCGGCCCAAGCCGCTGCCAAGCAATGTTCCGGCCCCGCATCGTCGGATTACAAGGGCCCCGCGGGGACGGCGTGCGGGTTCAGCTGGCTACAACAAGCCACCTACGACGGCATCAGCGGGGTCGGCGAGCAGATGAATGCGCTCCAGGCGGTTATGGCGCCTCTCGTCCATCTTGCGCAGGCCCCTTATACGTCGGAGACCGGAGGCTCGTCCCAGGGCAATCCGAATGCCGGTGCCTCCGATTCCGACAAGATCGCGCAGCCGAGGCCTATCACGGCTGGGGATAGGGCCGGAGCTGGAATACTGACGACCCTTGCTCTTGGTGGGTTATTAAGCGGTATGTGGTTTGTGTTGAAGGATGAGAAGTAAATATTATTATTATGGAGTTTTTCATGTTTATTTAGAGCGGTTATGTGGAGGAGATGGCGTTCGGAGTCCCCGGATTGGGATCACGGTATACATATGTTAGATTTATACCTAGCAGTTGCTGGCTGCCATGATATTTTTTGGTGGATCTACACAAATGGGTTCATGATAACTTCATATATTTAGACTACTTTGTCTATCACATTGAATAGGTAGGTAAGGCACATGTAAATATTAGTTAATTGGAAACAGTATAAAGTCTAAAACTCTGGAAACCCCTAATCAACTGAGGAATTAATTGCCATTTCTAGGTACCTAAGGTAACTAACTAGTTGCGATACGAGTTCTAAAAGATATCAATTCGCAATAAAGTCAATCTAATCCGCCTTGATCCTAAATCGAGTCTAACTTGTCCTTAAATGTTCTAGTTATATATTATATTGCTTACTGTACCCCTAGCAAAGCCTCGGAAATAACCCGGCTACGTTGAAAGAATTAGATGAAAGGGGTGCACATACGAGTTAGAATGACGCGTCACCGTTGCTAAATGAATTACCCCGAAATAAGTTAGGGAAGAAGGCGGGTTTAAGACATTAGCAATACCAGTAACACAGATACGCCATCAATGGTACCTATTAGAATAGGGACACTATACAGGTAAATTGAAGCAAGATAATTCACACCTATTATGGATTGATCGAAATATTAAAATAATAACTATTCTAATTACCTGTCTAAACTTAGTTATAAATAGGTAACTATAATACTGTCCACTTAAAAGGAATTTAAGCCTGCGAAGATCTAATACTATACTCGCAAGTGATCAACCAGCTATTCCACAATGGTCGATTAAAAATAATTGTTCACGAAGAAGTATATATAAATCTTAGCCAAAGCTCTATTATGCTACGGCCGGGTATGAATTCTAGCATTATCATGAAGTACCTCCAAATCCCTAAGCTTCAAATACCAACACGACGCCGTCATCACCCGCCGTCACAACTCGCTCTCCGGTTGTGCCCTGCACGAATCCGAGTACTCCTCCACCCTCGCCGTCTCCCCTGTGACCCCTCCACTCTTTTACCAAACTTGTTACCGCCGAGCCAGCCGCGCCTCGGACGTCCCACCGGCGAACCACGCCATCCATACCGCAGCTCGTTAGCAGCCATCCGTCGCCAAGCCCCGCTACAAACTCGACCTTCACCACGCTGAACTCCTCATGCGCCTCTTTGATATGCCGCCGCAGTGCGAACCGTCGCGATGTGTCGTATACCGCTATGCTGCCGTCCACACTACCCGCTGCTAGTAGTGTTTGTTTCGAAGAGAAGCTAAGCGTCTCAATTCCGTCTGACTGCGTTTGCAGATCAGCTAGAATAGTACCACCTTGCGCGCTTCCCGCCTCCCCGCCTTTAGCTTTGGTTTTGCTCTGCTTGCTAGACACGGGCTGGCTGTCTACGCCTACTCGTGGTAGTCCTACGATCTTGATCGAGCCGCCCGCGCCACCAACGGCGACAAATGTAGATTTGGGGTCCACAGCAACTGCGTACAGACCACCCTCGACGCCAAAGCGCTGGTCTTGGCCCGTGAGTGATACTACCGTCTGACCGTTATCGTTGACCAGGTTCTTGGCAGCCGCTTCGCCCCACACGTCCCAGACACACAATGAGCTGTCCTCCGATACTGTAGCTAGGAATGTGCCGTCGGGTGACCAGGAGCCGGCCGTGCACGACGCGGTATGTAAGAAGTAGCTCTGGACGATCTGCATCGGGTTCGCGGAATCGGAGGGGTCGATCGTGTACACCCAGACGGAGCCGTCTGAAGCGCCCAGCGCAATGGTGTTGGGATACTTCGGCGACGGGCACGGCGCTAGCCAATTCACCTCGGGCACCTCCTGGGACTCGGCGAGGAAGGCAAAAGACGGTTTATTGCGCGCGTCTACGGATAGCTCGTACGTGCGCAATCTACCATCTAGACCTCCCGAAACCAAGAATTGCCCGTTAGGTAGCGTGAATGCAAGCGTATTAATCGAGTCGCTGTGGCCCTCGATTGTGAAAACCGGTTTTAACTCTGTGCTTTTTTGTTGCTGCGATGACGGATCGGCGTTGTAGCTAGGCGGAAGAACAGGTCGGCCAACGACTGGGCTGGTGTCGAAAACGTAGCCTTTTCCCGGCGCATCATCTCCTTCGCCTTCACTACCACCAGTTGCGATGAGCGAGGGTTGGGTGGGGTGTTGGGCGATGGCGAAGACAGAGTCCTTGTGAGCGTCGAAGTAGGCTATACTGTCGTTTTGTAAAGTGATCTCTTCTGGCTCGTCGTCCGAGTCCATAGCTATATCGCCTTCAACATCTTGGATCTCCTCAAGCGCATCTTCTGCGTCAAGCATCTCGGGCGCATCATCTCCATCGTCTCTGTGAGGGGCAGACATGATGAGGGGTAGATAGGTAGGTTTCGCGCTTGGGTATCCTAGGAATTTGAAGTTGTAGATTGACAAATTTTGCTTAGGAAGGGAACAATGATAACGGACAAATAGTCCTAGCTTATAAACGGCCTGCGGATTATCTGGTAAATGTGTAAATAATATGTAAAAGGAAGTTGACGCCTGCTTGATAATCAGTTCAACTTTTTACTTTTTGGTGGGGCAATATCCTGCCGGACCCCGCCACGCCTTTTAAGTGGAGATCGCTTTTATACATGATCTGCCTGTCTGCCTGTGGACGTCTACCCTGAAGTATTAAATAGGGGCCTCATGCACGTAATGGTGCGTCGACCTTCTATTCTTAGCAGCAGTGAAACCTCCAACTACGATGTTTTATTCTGCAAATGCCCGCCTGTAGATAAATACTCTACATTAAGAGGTATGTTAGTAACTATTGAAATAGAGGAACAAAGACATTCTCTACGAATAAACAATATCAAGCTACTTCCTGGTATATCCATGATCGTCGACAACTATACAAGATATGCGCTCAAAACGTTCAGCTACAAGCACGTTCGACAGAACATATTGAAGGGATCAGAACAGTCGCTTACAAATTATATTCAATCCCAACACTAAACAACGCTGGGAACTTAAATGTATATGTACAATGAAGCAGCCATACCCCAAACTCCTAAAGATGCAGAAAGAAAGTAAGAGACACCGAACCCCTAAACATGCGCGATACTAGTTGAGGGTCTTAGACGGGATAAGTCTCCCAAGTTAATGTGCTGTTGCGGTACCGAACAAGTTCATCCCCAGACATACAACCATAACACATCCGCCGTAGATAGACAAGGCAAACGCCGCTCCTCTTAAGAGCTCGGGGTTAATATGCTCCATATCCCACCTCCACTTCCTCCACCAGCGCCATGGAGACTTCGTATTCTTACTCTTAGCACTCGAACCGCTCGCCACGCTGTGGATGCTGTCTACGCTCCCCCCCAGAAGCCCTTCGTCCCTGTCTCCCTCTTCGGAATCAGAGCTAGGGGGAGACAGCACATCGTCATCTTCTTTAGTAAGGCGTTGCTGGTGGATCGAATTCGGGTCTGAGATTTTGTAGTAAAACAGACCTGGAAGAATGAAGCTAATGCTCGTGCTTCCCGTAGAACCGACATAAGCCAACATTCGTTCCAGGGAGACCACGGTTAAGGAAACGATATAAGCTAGCACTATGATAATCGTGCTTAAAACGGCAAAGCGCACGTCTGACATAGGCGTGCCCGGTCCATGATCCGATCGTGATTGAGCGGGGTTTGGGAGAAGCGGTCGGCCGCCAGGGGAATTTGTCCGCCCTTGTGGGCGAGACACATCTTTGGGTCGCCATTTAAGAACTGCATCTACAGATGCTCGGCACGGATGTATTTGTAACGGGATCGAAAATGTTACAAGAACGACAATAGCCGCCTTGGCGATAGTAGAGGCAACCGATGCGGGATCTAACGTATATGTTAGCTTAATTGCGAAGTAGAGAGAAGGTAATATTGAATGGCATACACATAGAGACGATATTGCCTGTAACATCGTTGCCAAAGGTCAAGTAACCAGTAATAGCGACTAGTATATAGACACCAGCAGCAGAACCAATGCTAGAAAAGATGATGCCCATTATGCTATGGTCCTTGTTAGCGTGGTATCACGAGTTTTTATTGCTAGGGAAGCGTACCTGGCGGGGGAATTATTTGAGATCTCGTTGAGAATGGAAAACATATTTTGGTGACAGGTGTATGCATAAATAACCACTGGTAAGCTGGCGAGAGCTTCCACGGGCCCTCCCCACGAGACAAACCGGACTTTTTCTCTGGGTGCGAGAACATCCGAAGCGAAGTGATAGACAACTAGCACGATCAGATACCCTATTGAAACCAGGGCAATAATACTGGTGTACTTCAGAGAGTCTAGGCGCCTCAAGAAGCTTAGAGGAATTATAACGAGCATGAAGACGGTGATCCAAAAGTTACGGTCCATCAAATATGGGATATCAGCCGCTCTGCTGTCAAAGCCTTCTACCACACCTGGCATCAAGTCGCCGATAATAATTATATATGATACACTAACCCCGAAACACTTTATGGCAATCGCAGCATCGAAAAGAACAGCGGCGTTAGGATATGTTATTTGGGATAGGGCGAAGAACGACGAGGTGCCGCGGTCGAGATATCGTGCGCATCGGGACTGGAGATATAGGCCGAAAGCAGATGTAAATCCTGACCATAGGATTACGATGACTCCGGCTACCATTCCGAAGTGCGACATGGCCGAGGGCATCGCTAGTGTGCCGGCGCCGACAACTATAATGCCACTTACGTTAGACTCCGGCCGACGACATAATGCGGGATGTGACTTACTAGTATTAAGAAGGTTAATAACACTGCTAATCATGGTAGCCTGCCCTCCTCCAGTGTCTTTTGGACGGCCGCGAGCCCGCTTTTGTCTGTAGAATGATATTAGTATTGTCCGTTATTATTTAAGATATCGGAATCGCAGCGGCTGACTGTCGAGGCTACGCACCTTGTCATATCGCTAGCGGAGGCGGAGCTCTCTCCAGAAATGGTCGAATAATTCGGCATAGCCCAAGAGGGACTGTATAATTCCTATTGCTATCCTCCTCAGCAGCAGTGAGCTGCGCTGAAGATCTGTGTGTCTCAATCTTGCCTCGCTGCTCGAGTAAGACAAGACGGGTTTCTTGCTGGCTGACCGCTTTCGTGTACACGCGACTTGCTTTAGGGTCTCGGTATCCTCGATTGTTTTCACGCACTTAGCAGTTGATGAATAGCATATACATTTATTGTATGGTACAGTCGCAGCATTAAGGCGATGACGTTGTCTTGGCTATATTTGTATGATGATGTGAGGGTGGAAAGTGATCATTACACGTCAAACACTAGAGTAGAATTAGATTTAACTGTGACTGCTAGTTGTCGTTAAGGCCACCCGTAATTTCCTCCCATCTGGGGACTACGTCTGCTGACAGCTCTTTCTGACCAATCAATTAAATCACGTATTCCTGGTTAGGCTATTAACGGCTAGCTTTCCGAACCGGGATCCCGAAGCTTCCCAAAGACCGGGGAACTCAGCCTAGATTAGCTCAGCCTTATCCTTATCAATCTTTCATAGAATAACTACCTGAAAGAGAGCTACCTATTGTTCTACAATTGCCAATTACCATTAATTCCTACTATCATTTGCCACGATAGTCACTCTTTTAGAATCTGCCTCATTTATGACGCTCGTTACCGATTCGCCAGTTTTCAATCACGGACACCATGGAATCGACTCTAGACAACACGACTCTCTCTACGATATCTCTCCTCGAAGCGCGACTCTTGCGCATTGAGCATTTATTATATGGCCATACAGCTCAGCAACCCAAAGTATCAACCATAAGAAGTATGCAAGAACTAGAGCACCGTTTTGTGACTCTCCTTCAACGAATGCGCGTTTATGCCGAACTTCTTAAACTCTGTACGTTTTGTTTTCCTTTCTTTTCACAAACGCTATGAGCGATTCAACTAACCACCCCTAGATAAATCCCAGCCAACTCTCTTCCAACCACCACCGCCGTCCCAGCCACCCTCTGAACTTTCACCCGAAGCCTTACGCGCCATCGTTCTCGCCGCTGCGTCCTCATTCCCGGCTACAGCTTCCGCGCTCACGGCCATATCCGACACGCCGATTCCAGACCCGGCGCACACGACTACTCTAGCTGCTCTATTACCAAAGATGAAGGGAATCGAGGCGACACAGATAGCACAGGCGGCCGAGATTGCGGAGCTGAGAGCCCGCAGCGAGGTTGTCGTGCGCCAGTGGTACGAGCATAATGTTATGAGCTACTCGAACTTCGTGGCGGGCGTTGAGAGCCGTGTCGAGAATGCCGAGCGCGTCGTGAGAAGAGTAGAAAGGGCAAGGAATGAGGTTTGAGACATGTGACCTATGGCCATGTCCCTTGGAACATAGACGTTCCTATGGGGGATCGAATACTATTCCGAGTTATTATTAACCCTCCCGCGCTCCTCGTATTGCTACGTCCTCGACACTATGGATGCTACTTGCTTTGTATGCGGTCCTACGAAGTCAAAGTCGATTTGTACTGCGAATAGGCACAAAGTCTCGCAGCGGCGGCGACGAAATTAAAGGGGCCTGACGTCACCGAGGACCAATATTGCTAATATTGGGGAGGGACTTGGAAGCTCTTTGGACAGATAGAAACAAACAATAAGGCCCTCCCGCTACAAATACTTCTGCTGATTTGTAGTGAGATATTCCATTGGTTCGTATAGCATTTCCATGCTAGTAATAATGTTCATTATGGTTCTGTTCAATCTTGGTATGGAAGATTAACACGAGAAGGGCAATGGACAAACATAGCATACCCCCAGGAGTATAGGAGTATAAGTCATGTTAGACTGGATTTAGTATTCACATCTAATATTATTCAGATCGGTGTAAATTGAAGTAATATCTTAAAATACCCTCAGTGTGTTATTAAGTAAAGCCTCAGATTGAATACATATCATGTTACAAACAAGATACCAAGTCCTTGTTGAAGTAACAGAAAATTTACGATATACTAGTAAATGAAGCTAACCACGAGAGACTTCGGTGTTCTAATTAAGATAATGCTGATTTGGTCCAATTCAATTTTCGGTGGTGGCTGAGTTACTAGAAGTCATTTCCTAACGTTCCATTCTATGAATTCCGAACTGGAAGCTGTTAACTCCTTTTAAGCCACTTGTGGCGAGTGCGCTGGCCGCTCTAGCTCGAGCCAAAGCTCAAACGCGCCGGTTCAGACGGGATCGGCGGCCTGACACGACCAGTCTTAAAGCTAATGCAGCCCTTCGGGACCGCACTTATAATTGAGTTCCGGAACGATGCATTGGCCATGACAAGATGTGCATCACGTCCTTTGGATATTAATGTACTGTTGTAGTGAACCACTTGGAAGTGGTCTCAAAAATGTGATAGGCATATCAAATTGTCCTGAGCCTCCTAGGTATCACTTTTGCTTAAGGTACCTATGGTATGCATGAAAGGTCGCAATGAAGATCAAAAGGCCCAGATCCAGGAGACTTTTTGGTCCGCTTGGAAGAGACACATCCAAACTCAGAACTGATCTAATCTGCAGGTGCAGAGCCTCTTGGCCTACTAAAAGGAAGGTCTGTGCCGTCTGCAACGATTACTAGAGTAGGAGTTGAAGGATGATGCATGGCACATGTACACGTGTATGTGATGCCACTAACTTCTTAATACCGGAAATCGGGACGGGTGTTGATTCATAACTGATGCAAAGATGGCTTATGATCAGTCTTCATTGATCTTGATCAGACCATACATACGTAGGTAAGAGGGTATGATCTCAAGATGGAGTTTTAAAACTACGTTTGGCATCATTCTCTTCGAAGTATGTGTATTAGATCCATACCAGATCCACTTTGAAACGTGTCGCAACGCAGAGCACGTTCGCTGATGTAAATTCCGATATCGTTCAGACGATAGCAACATACACTGGTATTCAACTAACGTGACCAAAAAGTTGTTACGACTAGTCAAGCCTTAACCATACTTACATCATTGCAACCCTCCACTATGTATGGGAAGCCCTGTAACTACGGGAGTCGGAAGAGCGTTGTGAAATGTGAAACTTCTACCGATCTTGCTCCTAGAGGTAGGTCACCACCTTACGTCTGCCTATCGGAAGCCATCACTACCTACCTACCTAGGTAACTACCTCTCCCAACTTACTCTGCACTGGCAACCCGGCGGGGAATCACAGACGCCATCGGGAACCAGCCGATTTCATCTCCTAGTCTAATACGTATATGCGGCTGTTACTTATCCCGCCCTAAATATTACCTAGATCTATCAGATTTGTAGTCATTAATAAATCTAAGAAAGCGTACAAATTTGAGCGGTGAATAACTACATCGTTCGAAGGATTAAGGCAGGAAAAGTTAGGCTGGTTCTTCTATATTTTAACATGTCAGATTTTCACCGAAGTAGCAAGTCATCCAGAGGTCCCGAGACTTTGCATCCCCTTCTTCCTTGGCAGACTTCTTCCTTGGCAGACGCCCTTAGATCCTAGCCAAATCTCAAACACCAGTCGGCCAGCATGCAACTCCGTCTTCCCCAACTCACGGATCGCCCAACCATGGCCAATTCAACCTCTGCATTCCACCACATTGCCGCCACCTAGTTCGTCGTGTCCCTACCTTAGCGCCCTAGTTTACGAAAACAAGCGGATCATCTCTTACGTCGTTAGTGTATAGTTATTGTAAATTTCTTTACTAGTAAGTATTCGGAGATGTTGTCAAGAGTACGAAGTACCTAAACTATAATACCGTGTAAGAAAAATTGGACGGGGGCCAGATGTAAATGGCACAATGGAAGATACCTAGGTACTGCGTGTTCGAGGCCAATGATAGCGCATCTAAAAGCCTAGCTCATTGAACTTCCCTGGTCAAATCAATCTGGAGGACTAGGGTAAAATGAGTAGATGCTAGGTCCACCTAAGAGACCTGCTAACTTCAATAGGTATCGGCTAGGTACCTGACCAGGAATTTGCGTAAGCCCCAATTGTCCCGTTCAATTAATTCAACAGAAGGCCTCCTGTATATACTGTTAGCCATAGTACGAACCCTAATTAGATCTAATACAAAAGGATTGTATGTGGATACTATAGCTGCTTTTCGTACTATAGGTATAACTAAGTGGGCATTTCCTTGTACCTTCTGCCCCTTCTTATACCATGCATTACATTAATTACAGCAGTTCGTCAGGAACTTAGATTGCGATTCTGTTTAACACCCCCGGGAAGACGCACGCTCCACCCATCCAACTTTACATCCCCCTTCTCCAGCCGATTTGATTGACTGGTTGAATTTCCTTGAACCATTTACCACCCCATCCCTTCCCATTCCTTTCTACGCTTCTTTTGCCTGTCCCTTCTTTTCCCCCCCCCATTTCCCTCCAACCCCGTCATCGCGAAGACGAGCCTATTCTGTCAATCATTTTTCTTCGATTCTCAGCTAGGCTTTGCAACTGTGGGACGATCCAACTTCGCTTCTCACGACGTACATATTGTGGCCGGTGGTTTCCAGTGAAGGGTTTATAGCGCTGTCAGGAACTGCGAGGAGAAAGGGGTTGCTGCAGCGTGTGCGTTGTTTGCTGCTAGTCGGGAAGAAAAAAAGAGAAGGGCAGCCACGGGCGCATAAAAGAAACTAGAAGACAGACCTCGACGACAATAAACTCCCTCCGCGCTTCAACTATAGGCTTTCTCCACCCTCCATCCGACCTTTAATGCTTTTAACGACTGGACTCTGGATCGCATATAACAGAATTGACTTCGATTTTTGATTTCTCTTCGACGTGGAAGTACGCGGTGGCATAAACCTCAGACAATTTATTACAGCGCGCGACGACATCTACCAGCACGTTATTTTGGCGACCATCCGATAAAAAAGCAAAAACCTTCCCACGTTTTATTCAACGGCATTTTCCATTTGTTCGCCCTCTTTAACGACACTCAGCCTATTCGAATCTCCCACTCTAGTCACTCCTTTGTAGATAATTTAACCCAGCCGACATCCTGCCAAGCTTAGGGTCCTCACAATCAACCATCCAACGAATCGCTCAAAGCACCAACCAATTATTGAAGTTCCAGTCTCCGCAACGCTTTTGAGCACAGCCACGTTCTATTCTACCTACGGGAGATCGACAAAGTCCACGACTTGATAATACTTGCGTATCCCCTTTGCGCCGCACGCTCAAATAGCCAACTACGACTCACCAGGTTTTGAATATTGATTGCTCGATTGAAGCTCAAAAGCTTTTTCCTCTTTCCTTATGCCCTCGTACGGCTCTTTGCATTCTCCTTCGCTGCGCAAAATGGAAAATTCTAGGGCAAGTTATCGCCGTAGGGGCATGAATATGTCCAATGTTATCGGTGATCCTTTTGCCCTAGCAACGATCTCTATCGCCTTGGTAAGTCCTGGATCTGTTTCTTTGGATGGATATCATCATATCGATCTAAGCGCCTTTTTACTAATTGCATTCCTGTTTATTAGCTCGCATGGGTCATCTCTTTCATCAGTTCCATTATAGGTCAAATACATGCAACCGCCAGGAATCCTTTCCCAGCGTATACATGGTTTGCAATCGTTTTCATGTTACCTTTAATAGGCGGCATATTCGTTGTAATAGCATCCAATTCTATTCAGACATATCATGTCGCGATTGTCGGCTATATATCTGTCGGTCTTATCGCTACAACTTCGTCTGTTACGTCTCTAGTTTATTCTTCTGAGGGGGCTAGGGAAGCTGCTGCCGCGGGTTTCATTTTACTCTCCATGGTCAATGTGAGTATCCAATTCTAATCATCTTCACCGCATAGCCTTTCAAGGTGTGAAGGCAAAGATTCACGCAACCAATATACTAACTCATGTTGTAGATCGTATGGCTTGCTTATTTCGGCTCTGCGCCCTCCGCTGTACCACGTGCCTACATCGACTCCTTTGCTCTAGCCAAGGAGTCGTCAATGAGCCGACAAACCATGAATGGAGGATATGGTGGTCGCCCCGAAACATCTACATCCGTCCAACCCCCGCAGATGTATACGTCTGCCCAGCTTAACGGGTTTGAAAACCCATCTCCCGTCGGAGGATTCAATGGCAATGCCACACGTAATTCGGGTGGTGCTTCTGGCTTCCCTGGCGTTATTAACAAGACGCCATCGCCTGCGCAGAACGAGCCAGAAATTGCTGCCCCGACGGAGTACCCGTACCGTGCGAAGGCTATCTACAGCTACGAAGCTAACCCCGACGACGCTAATGAAATTTCCTTCTCGAAACATGAAATACTCGAAGTGAGCGATGTAAGCGGCCGATGGTGGCAAGCCAAGAAAGAAAGCGGCGAGACAGGCATAGCACCCAGCAACTATCTCATATTATTATGAGAATATTAATTAGCTGACGTACTTTTGCTTGGATTTATTTGAATTGGGACGCAGCCGTTTGAATGATATATCCGGAATTTCCCTCCCATACAACGAGGGGAGAGCGCTTGTATTTGAATGGGTTTTAGAGGCTGCGAACGAAACGCTGGGCCACGGACACGCGTTGGAGTAAAATCGGGGTTTACCAACATTACCGGATGTAGCTTTTCCCACTTTTGCAAAGCTCTTTTTTCTACTATTATTCACACGATGGCCGGCTAATTGTTTATTGTCTTTTTATTTTATTTTCTTCCCTTTTGACCTCTCTGCCGACGACCGGGTCGTTCCGGTGCGGCATACACACAGAGAAAGACAAACCTCCTTCGTTGCCCTGCGAAATAACTTGCAGGAGAAACGCTCGTTTTCGGCGCCCCTTCGGAGCATGTACGTATATTTAGTTGAGAATCGGCGAAGTTAGGGCGAGTAGGACGGAAGCCTTGTGGACGAAAGGGATTTTTAACGAACGTCACGCCATTGGTTCACGGATTCCAGGAGATAGGTGGTTAAGCTCTGGTGTCAATCAATGAAAGAACACTATTAAAGACTTGTGTGCGTGTTGAAGGTGCTGCTGTGTACAAATACCCCAGGAAATCTGTTCTGATGTTTTTAAGCTATGGGCTTCCATCTGTAATTCAGGATTATAAGTGTATTACAAATGTTGTCATATGTACTAGGTGCTTTGGATGAATTGTAACATTATGTATTACAATGGTGTCAAGTTTAGTGAAACTCTTTAAATATAGAGGCAGTGCTTAGACCGTTGTTAAGAGGTGTGGTTTTTTACTGAGTTAGGTTAAACTAACCCCTAAGCAACCGATATTCTTCCTCGACGAGTGACATTATAAATGCCTTCTTCTACTTCTTCCCTCAGATAATATGTATTTCTGGGTATCTCTTCACTTCTCCTACATGACTAGAACCCCTCTATGTCGTTAATTTCCCCATCACCAATGCCTAGTACACGTAGTCTAATACAGAAGACCAACCAAACTCCTCACAATCGCGGAGAACCGACATAGCGGACAGGTGCCGCGCGCCATCATTTACCCTTCCATCCTACCCCGAGGTATCTAAAGCGTGCCGAAGTGTAGGAGCAATCATAAGGGTCCATACCTACTCCTAGTATGTATCTCGCGGCTCCTTCGTGCGTGGACGCAACTTCGCCCCCCGTTTAAACGGGACCGTAGTGTTAGTTACCTCCTCGCAGTACCATCTCATCTATCTTGCCATATGTATTACTTCATCATACCGTAGAGCGAGCATAAACCCCACCCCCCACTCAAGTCGCCGCATCCAGCCTCTTCCGCAGCTCCCGCTCCTTCTGCAAGACCTCGAGCTCCAGGCGCTCGACGCTATACTGCAGGGCCTCCTTCTGCCGCGCCTTGAGCTTGCCCTCGGTTTCGGTTCTTCGTCGTGCGGCTCCGCTGCCGTTGCCCTTGCCCTTGCCTCTATTGCTATTGTTGTTGTTGTTGTTGTTGTTGTTGTTGTTGTTGTTGCGGGCACACGAGGTAGGCGTCGGATTGGAAGAAGTAGAATGCATGCGCCCCTGCTGCAGCTCGGACCGCGCCCGCAGCGCCTCGATGCGCCGCTCCGCGCGCTCGATGTGGGTGTCGGCTCGGTCGAGGAGGGTGGTTATGGCGGGGCCGATTTCGTCGCGGAGAGAGGACTCGGCTGCGACGAGGGCGGGTTGGGGGATTAGTTCGTAGTGCTGTTTTGGTGCAAAAGGTAGGTGTTAGCTAGGCAGGTAGGTAGGTAGGTAGATAGATAGGTAGATAGGAGGGTGGGAATAATGGGGGGGGAACGTACGCGGACGCTCTTGAGCACGTTGACGAGGCGAGGGTAGTCTGCGACGCCGGTGCCGAGAGTAGAGACGGAGGATTCGAGGAAGGAGAGCGAGGTGCGAAGCGCGGCTACGCAGTCCCCGTATGTGGCCGCGTTGGTTGAGGTTGTTGTGGTCGCCATTAGATGTAGTAGTTTGTTCTGGTTGGTAGAGAAGCTACCTTAAGGTATGTATGTAAAAGAAAAGGTTGCGCCTAGATTTCGAGCTAAGAGTCGGATAAGTTGGAGTAATTAGTTCTAGTTGCGCATGCGCAATCGCATAGTTACTGCTTCTTTTGATAGCTTGTAACTAGTGTTTACTTTGTGTAAAATTGACAGGTGTGACGGCAACAATTGCGGGGCGGGACACAAGTATAGTGGGGCTTTACGGCTTTATACTGACTTCGTTGAGATTCGATTCATGTCTTATACTTTTGCCTTGCACAATCCACTTCGCATAACTCAACTCTTCTTAGGATTCGAGTAGATATAAGCTCATCCTACCTTGCGTATTAATTAGTTACTAAATTTTGTTATACATATTAAACCATATTATCAAGTTGTACGAGGTTAAATTTATGTATGGTTCTACCTTCTCATGTTTATGTATGCTCTACTTCAGGACTTGAGAGTCGAGCGCGGAATGGACGATGCTGCCACAAAATAACATGAAAGCCAAGATGAAGCCCCCTATCCCAAATCCACCTTGGACGTCTTGTTTAATAGCGGACCACCCCACGGCGACTATTAAGCAAGCAAGGAACAAGGCGCACCCGAATATAAAGAACATGAAAGAATCTATGCCCTCAACAAACTCGATTCCCCATCCTACTGACATTCCTGTTACTTGACACGGCGTCAACTTTTGTCGCAGTTTTTTCGGTATCCTTTTATATAAATCCGGAAGTACGCTAGCGTGCGTTGGGTTCTCGAAGAAGTGTACCAGCATATTGGGCCCAACCGGAGGAACCAGATGCGCAGGCATTGGGTCATATTGATACTGGTCCTTCAACTCCTCAGGCGGCAAGGCCGGTTTAGAACGTACCGCCGCAACGTCTGACCGGTGAACATCGAACTGAATTTTATATCAGTGTCTTAACTAGCATAATCCTCGAATCTCATACCTGAACGAAGTCGATGCCGTTTACTCTCCTCATCCAAGATAGTGAGAGCCTGCGACGGTTGGTATGGTATAACATCCGCAGCAGTGAGAAGAAGTCCTGATCAGAGAGTATAGTGCAAATCTCCTGCTGGTGCAGTTTCGAAACCCATCGCCCGAATGGAACGCAGGCAAGAAGGTAATTGTGCTCCTGTTCAAGGCTTGTTCCAGGCGCCCGACGACATTTCCCAGGTTCCCAGTAGTCTTTCCTCAACCAAAAGCGTGGCAGTTTAACGTCGAGAGTAAAAGAACGCCATATGTTTGACAATCCGCCCTTATTTGACTTGCTGCTTAGTGGTGGATTGTTTGACTCAATATCACCCGAGCCCCTTGACCGCGCGCCATAGCCGGATAAGATCTTTTCTAGATTATCAAGAGCGCCCGATTGAGATTCGGCATAGTCGTCGTATATACGAAGACCGCAGCTCTATTCCCATTAGGACCTTTCAAATCTTAGACTAGAATATTCCTTACACATGTCCAATAAAGCCGTCTCATCCCCGGCCGGGGACTTTTACCGTTGATACGTGTTATCATGTTGTTGAAGCCGATCCGCATAGAACCAAGCCAGGTACTCTGCAGAGGACCAAGAGAAGACTGCTCAACAAAGATTCGCACGTTTTCCTTGAAGATACGAAATGGTTCTGTATCAAACAAGAATGACTTTAGGCTGATAAACCGATCAACGTCCGGTTGCTGGTCGTTGTCCGAGTCGGACTCAACGCCAGGATCATTCTCTGGCGCATCATTCTCATCCACAGGCTGCCCGACTGCTGACAGAGGTAGCCAAAACTGCTTGTAAATTTCTCGTGACAAGTAATGTCGCTTGCACTTCACGAATTGACTCGCTTTTATTTGCAGATTTGTGGAGTCTTCTGAAGTTTCTTGTTTTCGAGCCAATCTTTGCAGGTCTAGGCTATATCGCAAGATCAACGACGATACTTCCTCCTTCGCTTTCGCCGCGGACAGCGACCGGAGGACTACCTGAGGCCATAGGTCCTGGAGGTATCCGTCGTATAGGAATCCATCTGTAAGATGCTCGAGAGCTGTCGAAGATCCAACCGAGCTAAGAGAGGTTAAGCTAGATTCGTCATTGTCATCAAAGAGGAACGCCTCTATAGAAGAAAGATCATCGTCGGAATCTTCTTTGCTCCCAGAGCTAGCACTAGGTTTATCATATTCCGTAAGACTCGGATGCGCTTTTGAGTCTGACCAACTTCGATTTATAATTTGCTGGATCCCGCTTGGTGGGGGTTTCTGATGTACTACATCTTCTACATAGTTTACCCTCGACGAACGAGGTACCCTGTTGTGTCTGCTACGGGCTCTAGAAGCGTTTTGGGTATAAGCTGGGCTTGACGTTTCCTTAGTTAGGAAATCGGAGTTGGCCTTTGGGCTGCCTGGTGATATGGTGTGTGTTTGGCATGCATACCCGACGAGAATCGACCGTGTTGTTATATGATGTTCTGATTGGCCATAGGCAGAGCATCTATCTACAGCATGTCGGTAATATAAACAACGACAAGCGGTATATAACTCGACGAGCTGATAGCACATTGCGCCACCCGCTATAGCTATTGAAGTTAGAAGAATAAACTATTTAGAGGGAATACTTAGAAACACAGAGGTTACCTGAAATATTTACCTATCTAGAAAGCCAAACTTATAATGCATACCAGCCACTTATAGTCTATATTATACCCTAGACTTTTGGTGGCTTAGTGGAAGCACAGCCTCTATGTGAATGCAGGAGATTCTGCAGGCTGTGCAGGGTCAGAATCCTACGTGCGAGTAAAGCCGACGAGTAACAGCGTCTATCTGAAATATTATAATATGCATTAAATAGATTCTCGAGGTATATATATGATGGATTTTACATCTTAAACTAACGCATAAATGATTGGTATCACTTCAAGCCATTTAAGTACTACCTAGTGGATATCTGTAGGTAATGATAGCTAATAGGGGAAGTCACATCGATGTTCTCGAGAAAGAAAAAAGAAACTCCAGAGGTATACTAGAGTAGGAATCCTATGGATAAAATGCAACCGGAATTCTGATTTTAGATCCCAACATGAAAACACATCTTGTAACGACACACCTAAACCCCTCCAGAGGTATGACTACCCCAGATTCTCATCTGATCTCAAAGAGCATCCATGTGTGTGACTGCGACAGCGCTTTTCCGCCCATCATGCCGTCGACATAGCACTCGCCGATAAGCTGGTAGTAGGTGTAAGGGTCGCTCTCCAAGGGCTTTTTATCCATCATCGCATTTACGCTCGCTGGTCCCCCCTGACTTCTGCATTTTTCCTTGTCGGTTGTCGTAGATGCTGGGTCGCTGGCGATTTGCGCTCTAGAAGTTCTTGGGTAAGAAGTTGTCGCTTTACGCTTCTGGCTATGTTATTGAGTACCTAACCTAGCTAATAACATAGTGCTTATATCGCTTAGATAAGACGGCTCGATCTTTTAAGCACCTAGGTAGTATCTGACCTCCAGTATGCTATTGGCCATATTATTCATACCGCATCCACTAAGAAACAATTGATTCTAGGGCACGGACCACGTATTATATTTGGTATAACTTAAACTGTATACGGCTATGGTTTTTTTAGTAAATATTATAAAAATTTTACGAAAAAAATTAATTTTTTATAAAAATTATTGTAAATAATGTAAAATAATGTAAAATATTTTAATTTATTTATTAAAAATAAAATTAATTTTTATTATTGTTATTATTATATATTAAAGTAAAAAGCGAAAGTTTATTATTTAAAATAATTATATATTATTAAAACGAATTTTTCGAATTTATTGTATTTATTTTTATTAATAAAAATTTAAAGTTATTTTATTTTTAAAAAATTATTATATATTATTAAAAAGTAATAAAATAAAAGAATATATATATTTAAAACGTTTATTAAATGGTGTATTTATTGTTAAAAAAAGTTTTAAACGATTGTATTTAATTAAAGTTTAAAAGTATTTTTTAATAAAAAATTTATAATTTATATTAAATTAATAAAATAAAAAATACAAGTTATTTAAAAATAAAAAGTTTATAATTAAAAAGTATTTATTATAATGGTTTTTATTAAAAAATTAATTATAAGTTTAATTTATAACCGTTTATAAAGTTTATAAAATAATTATATAATATTAATTTTAAAAAAAATTTTAAATGTTATTTTAAAATTTATATTTTTAATATTTTTAAATTTTTGTTTTTTTAAACGGTTAATTTATAACTTTTTTTTAAAAATATTAAATTATAAAATATTAAATTATTTATATAATTTTTAAATTTTTTAATAAAATAATAAAATATACGAATAATTTTTTTTAATATATTTAAAAAGTTTTTTATAAAATAAATTTTATTAATATAATTTTATTAATATAATTTTATTTAACAATTTTATTATTAATTTTATTTTTTACCGATTTTTTTTTAAATTAATTTTTAATATAAACGAAATTTTTTTACCGTTTAAATTTTTTAAAAAATATATATATAATTTAAAAAAAATTAAATTAATAATTAAAAAAATAAATAAAAATGGTTAAAATAAAAAATAAGTTATTTTAATATTATATATTTTTATAAACAGGTTAATGTTTTTACGTTTTAAAGTTATTTTTTACGATAAATATAAATAAAATAAAATATTTATACGGATTAAATAATAAAAAAAAATAACGTAACGAAAAGGAAAAAAATAAAAAAAAAATAAAATATAATACGAAATAAAGTTATTATAATGATTATTATTGTATTAATTGATTAATATTATATTAAATTATAAATTATATATGTAAATTTATTTTAAATGACTTTAAATTTAAATCTCGTAAAAACGGGTTTTGCCCGTTTTAACGCCACAAGCGCCACGCAACGTATGGCCCGTGTAATTGTATTTATAAGTTATAAACGAGGCGTTTTACGAATTTAAATTTAAAGTTATTTTAAACTTGTAAAAAACATTTAATATAAAATTATTAATAAAAAATAAAAAACAACATTTTTAACGATTTAATAAACCATAATAACGTATAAAATAGTTTTTATTATAATAATTTAATTTTAATGTTAATTTTTTTTTATTTTTTTAATTTTTTTTTATATTTATATAACGTTACATTATTATATATTAAGTTTTAACGTTAAAAAAAACATTTAACATAAAAATAATAAAAAATTAACACAATTAACAAATTAATTAACAATATAATTAACATTATATATATGTATAAAATGTTTTTTATTATAATTAATTTAATAATATTATTATTTAAACCTTTTTTTTATATATTTATATAATTTTATTTTTTTAAATACCATGTTTTAACGCGTGTTATAACGCGTATTATAATCGATGCGTTATAACCGATATATTATAATTAATACGTTATAACCGATGTAATTAATATAACCGATACAATTAATGTTATAATTAATGTTATAATTAATTTTAATTTAAAATATATATATTTAATTAATAAATTTAATAATAAAGTTAATAAAAACACATTAATATTATAATAATTATAATAATAATTTTAATAATTTTTTATATTATAAATTTAATTTTTAAAAAAGTAAGTTTTAATAAAACTTTAAATTAAAAATTCGATATTGTTTTAAAAAATTATTCCAGGATTATAATTGGTTAAAAAATGGTATAATTAAAAAAGTATAACTTTTTAAATTAATTCGAATTTTTAGTTTAAAATTACTTAAAATAAATGTAAATGCCATTTAAAAAAATTGCTTTTTATGTGGGAAATAATTATGTATTATTTTATTTTAATAAATTTAAATTAAAATTCGTTAAATTGGTAAGTTACGTTTATTAACACTTGACGCCATAAACGTTATAAAACGTTTGGTTTGTGTTATTATATCTGTGGGTTTAAGGCTTAAAAAGGTAATATAAAGTTAAAGTTTTAATAAATTTTAATTTAAAATATATTTGGCGTGTTTAATTATAATTAAAATAATCTTTTTAAAAATTAAACTTTATATTTACAATGATTTAATATTTAATAATAACGTACGAAATAACTTTTATTTTTATAATTTAAAGTTAATATTATGTTTTTTTTACTTTTTTATTTTTTTTACATATTTATACGGCATTGTGTTATAATATTATAAACTTTAACGTTTAAAAACACGTAATAATATATTAAAACAATATTTATATTTATATATATATTTATAATTACGTATAAAATATTTAATTTTTTTTGATTTAAAGTTAATATAATGGTTTTTTAAGCCTTTTTATTATTTTGCATGTTTATACGGTATTGTGTTGTGATATTATAGGTTTTAACGTTTGAATTAATGGTATATTTTTAAAAACGTTACGATTGGTGTTGCGACCGGTATTGCGACCGGTATTGCGACCGATATTACGGTTAATTATTATTTTAAAAGCTTTAAAACGCGTGTATTTATTATTAATAAAGTTAGTAAATGTTTTAAATTAATTAAAACTTATTTTAAACGCATTAATATTATTATTTTTAATGTTATTTTAATGTTATGTTTTTAATATTAAATAATTAATTGTGGTAAAAATTACTTAAATTATTTTAAATTAAAAATTCGAGATTATTTTTAAAATTATATTAAAATTATAATTAATTAAAAAGTTTTATGGTTAAAAAAAGTATAACCGTATAAACGATTTTAAATTTGTGGTTTAAGTTTATTAAAATAAATATTATTATGTAATTATTTTTATGTAATAATATTTTATTATTAATAAATTTTTTTTTTTTTTTTTTTCGTATAACGTAATTATATACAATTTAATTAAATTTAATTAATTTAATATTAATAAATTTTTTTTTTTTTTACCTTTAATTTGTTTTTTTTATATTATAACGTAATTGTTAATAAATATATAATTAAATTTTTTATTAAACTTTTTATTTAATTAAATTTTGTTAAATTTTTTTATTTAATTTAATTTTACATTTAAACTTTTTATTTAATTAAATTTTATTAAATTTTTTTATTTAATATAGTTTTTTATTAAACTGGTTAAAGTTAATTAAAATTAATTAAAAAAAGTTAAAATAAAAGTTTTATTTAATTAAAAATAAAATTATTTTCGTATCGTAAATCGTTTAATTAAAAACGAAGTTATTTTTAATTAAATTATAAAAATTATTAATTAAAGTTAATTAAAAACAATTATATATTATAATTAATTTAATATAATTAATTAATTTTAATTTTATAATAAAAATTTTTAACGATTTTAATTTTTTTATTTAATATATTATTTGTTAAGTTATATTTTTTATTTTTGTATTTATATTTATTATTATTATAATATACTTTAATATGGTTAATAATATTTTGTAATTTTATCGGTTATATATACGTAATAAATTTATTAAGTTTTAACGGGACTGTTTATAAAATCGGTTATATGTTTTATAAAGTTAATTTTAAAGTTGTTTATGGTATTAACTTCGGTATTATCGATTGTAAAATTAATTATGTTTGTAAAATCGGCTTTAATATTGTTAATTATTTTACATTTATTTTATTTAACTGTATTATTTATATTTAAAATGGTTTAAATGTTGTTTTTAAACGGGTAAATATTTAATATATTAAGATTTAAAATATTTATAATATTTTAACCGTAATTTTATTAAATTTATCAACGTAATATAAATTAATTATTAAGATAAAATTATCGAAATAACGTTTTAATAAAAATGTACTTTTATTAAATAAAAATTTTGTAAATTTTTTAACGTTAACGATTGTTTTTAATTTTTTAAAAGTGGTTTTTTCGTTAAAGTATATTCCGTGGTATAAAAAATAATTTGTTATTAATTTTTAAAGTAAAAAGTATATTTTTTAAAAATATTTTGTTTATTATTTCGTAAAAAAATTTTTAAAATTATTTTATATATTTTTATTATATTTATTATTATGGTATTTAAAATAATATATAAAACTTTCCGTATAATATGTATTAATTTATTTTACCGTTATTTTATTTAATTTAAAATTATTAAAGTTAAAGTTAATGTTTAAATTAATGTTTAAAATATTATTATCGATATATTTATTTTATATTAAAATTATATTAAATGGTTGTAAATGTAAATATAATAAAGTTATTATAAAATGCGTAATAAACGTAAATTTTTTAATTTATTTAAAAGCTTTAAAATTTTAAAATAATATAATGGCTGTTTAAATTATTATTTTTTTTTGTTAAAAAAATGAAAAAAAAACGTTTAACGTTTTTTTTTATAATTTTTTTTAATTTTATTAATTTATAATTTTGTTTTTTAATTAATTATTAATTAATATAAGTAAAATAAAGTATTTATACGGATTAAGTAATAAAAAAAAATAACGTAATAAAAAAAAAAAAAAAAAAAAATGAAATATAATACGAAATAAAGTTATTACGATAATTATTATTGTATTAATTAATTAATATTGTATTAAATTACGAATTATATATATAAGTGCCATTTAAAAAAAATTGCTTTTTGTGTGGGGAATAGTCACGTGTTATCACGTGACTATCCTTACGTAATGATATTCCATTAATAAAAATATTATTAAAAAATAATAATAGTTTTATTATTTAAATGTTATTATTAAATTTAATAATATAACATATAATAATAAAATTTTATTTATATAATAAATTAATAAAAAGTTATTTTTATATATTAATAATAAAAAAGTTTTATTAATTATAAATGTAATTATATTTTATAAAATTAAAAATTTAAAATTAAAATTAAAAAATAATGGTATTATTATAATAATTATTTTATTAAAATTAACTTTTTATTTTTAATTTTTTAACGTTATTATTAATAAACTTTTTAAAAAAGTTTTTTAAAAAAAATAAAATTATATTTAAATAAATTAAAAGTTATTAATAAGTTTTTTAAAAAATAAGTTTTTATAAATAAAAAATTTATAATTATTTATATTATTAAAAAATTATAAAAACGTTTTAAATAATTTTATAATAAAGTTTTAATTAAAGATTTTTTTATTTATATTAAAATAATTATTTATTTGTTTAAAAATAAAAATGATTTAATTTATATTAAAAAAATTAATTTATTTTTATTATATTTTAATAATTAGTTTATTTTTTATTTAATTAAAGATTTTTAATATAATGTAATATTAAATAAATTAAATAATATTAAAATATTAATTATTATTAAAAAAGTTTTAATGTTATTACGTAATTTATACCGTTTTTTAAAAAAGATTATATTAATAAAGTTTTATTATTAACGTTAATTTAAAATTAATAAAAATAAAATCGAATTAATTAAACGTTTAAAAAAATAAAATAAAAAATATTTTTTTTAAAAGATTTTTATAAAGTAAAAAACAGTTATAATTAATTTAAATAAAAATTTAAATATATTTAAAATAATAAATTTAAATTTATTAAAATTTTTTTCCTTTTAAATTTTTAAATTTTTAAAAGATTAAATAAAATTTTAATTTTAAAAAAATATTTTATAATAATTTTTTTAAATTTAATAAATTTTAAAAAATTATTTAATATATTAAATATTTTAATTTTTAATTTTTATTTTTTATATATTTTATTTATATATAATTTTTATTTATTTTTATAAATTTTTTTTTAATTATTATATATACGTTTAATTATTAATTAAACGCGTTTTTTAATTTATAAATATAATTTAACGTAATAATATATTTTTTTTATAATTTAATTATAATAAATTTTTTAAAAATTATTTATAAATATTTTTAAATTTAAATATAAAAAAAAATATATAATATTATAATATATATATATTAAACAAAAGGTAAAGACTTTTGTAAAATATGGCTTATTATTTTAATAATTTAATTTTTGTAAAAAGCTTTAAGCTATTAATAATGGCGTTATATTTTAACTTATAAATACGAATTTAATTGATTAATGATCGAGGAATAAAAAGTAATAAAATAAAATCGATATAAATTAAAAGTTAATATAATTGTTAATTGAAAAATGATTTAAAATGAAAGTATATGTGTTTTTAATCAAAAAAATAAAATGATTTTAAAACTTTTATATAATCCGTAAAATTAAAATTACGTAATAAAATACCTTATAACCGGGTTTAATAACACCACATTTGTTTAATATTATAAAAGTAAAAATAATTAAATTTTAAAATTAATTTTAAAATATTTAAAAAAAATTAAATTAAATTAATATATTAATATTTAAATTTTTAATAAATAAAAGATTTTATATAATATATTAATAATTACCATTAATATAATTAATAAATTATTTTAATTTTATTAAACAAATTATTTAAAATTGTTTTATTAATTTAATTAATTTTTTAAATAATATTTTATAGTTTTAAAATTATAAAAAAAGTGGATGTTATACGATTAACTTATTTAAACACATACCATTAATCTGCCATTAATTTAATTGGTCCGTGCCTTAGAATCAATTGTTTCTTAGTGGATGCGGTAGGTTATTCCAAATGAAACTTCCAGATAAAAAGATAGTTGAACACCTAGAGAGGGGACTGGTGACTAGATCTATAAAGGGGGTATCGCCTTTATGTCTTAGCCGAAGACGGTATCATATAATTGCTTCGAACCTACCCCCTTTTAACGTATACCAACAACATAAAATACCAACATCCTGAACTAGACTAAAGATGTAACAAGTTAATGCTAAAGCCTTTTAAAACACGAGATTTACTAACACTTCTGCTCCAAGCTAAATTACATGTAGTTGATACACCGCATGGTAGCCAGAAGTAAGTCAACATGACCTGCGCGCGAACGCCCACTAAGTCGAGAAGTTAAGGTATCGGACTAAGTGATGGTTTGACTATTTGTGCGATTGGGAATCTGCTCAAGGCGAAACTCGTGCCCCGATGATCTATGAGGTATGCATATAACATGCAAAACCCAAAAGGGTTTTTATCTTGTATCTCTAACCCTCTTCAAGAATTATCTTGAAAGTCATGGTCCATCCTGGCCCCCTGTTCTAGCTAATTACACAAGATGCCAAACTTGGCCATGACCACTGTCTACTTTGGTCGTCTGCAGAAAAAAGCAAAATACAAGAGATTCCTTCGCTATGGTTCGCAAACGCCATTTTCATGCAATCATCTCCCAAAAACATCTCGAAGGGGAATATTAGAATTGCAAAAATGTTCTACATAATGTATCATTAGGACCTTCCACCACCAAGGAATTTCGGTATTGTCTTCCAAGCCTGTTGGTCGGGGAGTTGGACGCGGCCGAAGTTCTCATCAAGGTCGAGGATGATCTTGAGGGCGTTTCGGCTGCGAGCGTGGGGCGAGGTGACATCCTTCTCTCTGATGGTGTCCATGACTTCTGCGACGCCAGTGTGGATTTGGTCTGGTTTTGGTTTTCCAGGGAATGGCAAGACGTTCTGAAGAACTTCGTAGGACGCAAGCGTGAAGCCGAATTGAGGGGATGATCGAAGGATACGAGCAGGGCCACCCTTGAAGAAAGCTCGGAAGCCTTCCTCCTTCATAATTGTAACTGCTGCGTGTCGGAGGCCAGTATAGCTTGTGTCGCCTTTACGTGCTTCAACCTGCAGGCGTGTCTTGATCACATCACACGGTGTAGTTAGGTAAGCAGCAGGCATACCAGCAATGGCACCGGCTGTGAGAAGCTGGACGATTCCAAGCTTCTTGGTGCGAGATTCACCAAAGACATCCTTCTTGAGGTGGTTGTATGTTGGGAAGTAGATTGCCGAGAACGGCACATCTCGAAGTAAGCAAGCCGAAGCACCTTTATAAAGCCCTGCAAGACCCAAGTTCTTAACAATCCACATTGCAGAGCGCTTCGGTGCACCTTGAGTGGTTTTCGCAACCTCTCCCTGAACTTGCAGTCGAATCTTAACAATCTCGAGAGGATTGGTGAAGACCTATTGATTATATATTAGTAAAACTTAATGTAAGGCACCGGGAAAGGTAGCAGGATTAAATAAGGAAGACTCACAACTTGGCAAGCACCAGCAGTACCACCTGCTAGAACTTCGTATCCCCAAGGAATATGGTGCGTCTTTGGGTCCGTGAAAAAGCCGCGGACGAGATCATTTACTGTAAGCTTGATAGCCTTTTCCGGAGCAACACCGACTAGCTGAGGCAGGACTCCAGAGTAGAGACCGCGGAAACCCTCGTTGGCGATAACCTTTCTGAAACAGTCGACCGAATTCTTGTAAAGCCTTTGTCCTGGATCAGCACCTCGTTGGTTCTGCATTCGGGTCTTGACTAGATCAATAGGATACACCATAAAGGCGCCAAAAGCACCGGCCGCACTTCCTAAGAGAAAGTTATAGCCAGACTCAGCAGCTCGTAGGAGGAAGCTTTGCGCAGTGCTCTTGGCCTTTTCCGATCCTAGACCATGCTGAGCCTGTTCCGCGATATTACGATATCTCCATAATGGATCTAGAACCTTAGCAAAGTCGATCAAACTCAATCGGCCAGACGGTTCATCCAAACTAGCGAAGTGGAAGAGAATATCTGCCTCCATCGGAGTGAACAATGAGAACCGAGTGATTTTTGCTGCCTCGTTCAAGAACTCAGATCTGGTAATCTTCCCATCGCCGCTCTTCTTGCAAGCTTGACGTATAATTAACTCCACCAAGTCCATCTGCATGATCACGTTCTGAAAAGCTCGAACATTCGCGTATGAAATCCTGCTGCCAGTGGATATATTGCAGAGGGAGGTAAGGTTGTCTAAGAGATGATCAGACAATTTGTGTTTTGCCGTCTCCAGGATAATTCTCGCGAAGTCTTCAGGCTCGATGTATCCATCTCTGTCCTTGTCGAGAAGCTGGAAGGCTTGTCTAATTCTCTCACCCTGAAGGCCACGGAGCATTTGCGAGAACTCGGAGTATGAGAGGGTATGTCGCTTGGATTTGTCACCAATGTAGAGCTTTGCCCACTCACAATCCCAGTTGAAGGGAATGCTGTCAGGGCCTTTGTTGTTTTCATATAGACGCCGAAAGTCCTCATACTTAACACCCCCAGTGCGGTCAACATCAAAGAGGCGGAATGCAATCTCATACTCGGCGTCGGGCTTCGTCAACAGGTTCTCAAAGGCGGCCCAGTCGTTAATCGTCACTTTGCCAGTGTCTTTGCGATCGGCTACGTGGAAGAGGAGTCCGTATTGATCACGGCTAATCTTGTGCTATAGAGAAGAACAATAGATTAGCAATTGAGAGTTGGCTACCAGCCTAGAATATTTAAGAACTTACGTAGTCTTCGCTCGGCGGCGCAATAGCCTCAATGAACTCCTCTGGTCCCATATACAGCTCTCCTGTATGCTCATCCTTCTTTGCATTCTTTAGGAATAAGGCGCGGTGCGATGCAGAAAGGTTGGAATGCTCCTCAGAGCCGAGGAGGCTCTCCTTGACCGCCTCCTTCACAATTGTAGTTTTGGACATTTTGTCCGTAGTTGGTTTGCGACACAAAAAGCACACCTATCGGTAGGGGCAAAGCACTTGACCAAGGAATAAGGAAGGATGTGGCTTATCGATTAGCGCGCGAAATCGATAGATTGGCCAGGTCTCTAAGTAATAATAAGTAATAATTCACAATCGTCGATTGTGGAGCGCCGATGTAAGGAGCGGACGGCACGGTCAATCCGGAGAACCTGGGGTTCGGACAGGCGGAAGTATTAAAGTAAAATAACGAGAGTGAAAGAAACGACGGAGAGAAACGTTAACATTGACAAGGCGAGGAACGCAGTTAATTGGTACGAGGCCGAGGAGGACGAAGTAATTTTTGTCGTAAAAACGTGAGGATTGCAGTGTCGTCTAGGGAAAAAAAAAAGTTCGCAGAGTGATTAAATTTTTCTAGATGGCGCGTGAGATCTGCTAACACGGGGGTAGTTACCAATGGACAAACGTGGGTAATAGGTAACATGACTAGCGGCACCTACCCCAAAACTTAAACTTAGGTGCTTTAGGCATTGTTCCTGACCGTAACTTCAGGTACCTAAAGTATGGTCCTGATCGGCTCGGATTGCCGCTGTAGGTAAATTCCCGTCCTGTATGTAAGTTCCTATTCGCTTCATTGTTCCTCCGATCGATAAGCCATGTCCACGGGTGCTTATCGCCGAAACTCCCCTAACTCCCATAACATCCTTCTGCCCTACGGCAACGCTAACGCTGATTCCAGTTAGGTCTTTCTTAGTCCCGCATCTTACAAAGAATGCACCAAGCCGAGAGAAGGCAAGGAAGGATTCTCAACCTTCATTATCCATGGCAGCTTATGGACAAACTTTCGTTCCTGACGATCACCCCTAGTTCCCTAGGAACCTCCTCTGGCCCGATCGAATGAACGGGTTGCTTCTAATGGGTAATGGGGTCAGCGCCATAGTGAGCCTTCGGATCTAAGGATGAGTTCAAGTTTGTTGGGTGACATGTTAAGAATAAGTTATCGCGAGTCACCGCGTGGAAATCCAGTACGCCAACATCCCTTATTATGGTTTGTTGTATTGACTGTAGAAAGCTGTAAGATAGATTCCCGACCGAGCGACATGGTCGGCTGGGTATATATATATATATATATATACAAGATTAATTGATTGATTAAATAAGCCGGGGCTGATGTCAATCCTTCCTATGATGGTCGGTGGAAATTGTCAGTATGCATTTGATACAATAGTTTGTTGAGAGGTATGGAGCTAGAACCCGTTGGGAGAAGAGCGCTGCCAGCAGCCTCCGAAATAAATCTCAATAATCCAATAATCCCCGCACACCTTCTCGCATTGAATGTATCGGATTCTACATCGGACTTTGTGAATCCTCCGAGGCGGGACCAAAAAAAAGGAGGTAAACTCACCAGGACAAGATATTAAGCTATACGCAGTGATATTTCGAAGCTTTTCCTTAACTAGTCCAATTTCTAAAGAATTAAGTTTAAGGAACTTGCTATTTTCAATGCTACGCGGCTGGTTCATATATCAAGTAGCCCATGTTACATTTCCTAAGAACCTCTTGGCGGGGGACCCCGTGTGTCCTCGGCAAAATACAACCGTCCCCAAGTCTCACGAGCAATGCATATCACATATGACATGCATACGATCCTCGAGCGGTTAACGGCAAATTAGCCATAGCATACAGCACGTATAAGGTGATTTAATATATACACAACGGCATATACCTATGGAACGTGGTCGTCAATTCGGTTATTATGACCTACGAATGGACGTAACCCCTTTTTGTATTTTAGAAAGCTTCATCAGCTGACATGTGAACGGAAATGACGATTTAGAGAGGAGATAGATGAGCGGCAATACAATCCGATAATATCGTCGCTAAGCTTTTCAATCCATTCGACAGTGCATATATCGCATAAGATAGGTAAATATTATTAGGTAGATGTAGCATACAATATGTCTTGAATATTTTAGGTAACTTGGTTTATAAGGCAGGCCGCAAGTTGTTCAACCAATGACTTACAGCCGCCATAGCTGGACTTCACCGAAGAGACATATGCAATTAAAATTTTCCTACCTCGCTTTTACTGTAGTGTTTTCTACTAGAAGCATTGACAATAGGCAAGGTATACTCCTATAGTCTACGATGCTGATCAGTAAGCTTTGGGAAATCATTATAACGTTCGTCATCAGCTAAGTTCTAACTAATATAATTTCATACAATAGATAAACGTAGACTCCCTAAGTCAAATAGGCGAGGACTGAAAGTCTTATTCAACTAGTTTCGAAGTGTTTATTACGTAACAGTTTAGTTCTTATAGCAGCCTTCAACTACTGAACACAAGTAGTATCAACGGCCTAGCAGGAGCTCACATAGGCAATACCGCTTAAATAGGAACAAATTATCTATATGGGTATTTTAATATGAAAAGAGGGTAGTTAATATTTTCCCTAGTGCCAGCAATGATGATAATTACCTAATGAGAAACTTTACAGTCATTACCTATCAAGGTCAATTACTCTCAACCTTCACTTCATCCAACGGTATGCCTATTTTTGATGCTAACGGTCAATACTAGGGCAGCATGGTCCGGCACAAGAATTATTCTACGCCAGGTCTCCCCAGAATCTATTGGGATCTTTGAATTTATAATGGAGCTTCACAGATCATGCGGTGGCGACTGGAATCAATTTTCAGAAGATTATGGAGTAGATGTAGAGGACCTTGAAGCATTTCTCGAATTTGCAGCTACTTTCCTATCTAATGTCGGGAATTATTGTGTAGGTTGTTCCCAAATCTCTAGATAATGACCCCAGATAAGAACTAACTACGTGAAGGGGTCAGGAGACCAGAAGTTCATTCCACAGCTACGTCCCGGTACAATGGAGAAACTTGCCTCTCGATCACCCAAGCTCTTGAACCTCTATAGGGACATACAAGATTCTATCGTGGCCATTCCGCCTGTCACTCTTGGATATCCCAGCACCTTAGCTCAAAGCTCTTATTATCTAGGAGATTGAATGAGCAAAGAAGAAATTGCTCTCGTTTCGAGGCATATGGATGCCCATTCCATACTACCCGAAAATACCAGAGTACGGAAAACTGGTGAAACTTCATTCGAGGTCCTTCAGGCTTCAATCATATCAACGGATCAAACAGAGCCCTTGGACATTACGAACTCATCTGCCAGTGTAAGGTTGGTCCGTGGTGATCATGCCGAATACCTAGAGAATATTTGCGAAAGCCTGGCAAGAGCTACGGAGTACGCTGCGAACGATACCCAGAAGAAATTCCCAACTCAATACATTGAAAGCTTCCAAACTGGCAACCTTGAGGCGTATCGGGATTCTCAACGGACATGGATTGCAGACAAAGCACCTAAAGTTGAGAATATATTCGGCTTTGTGGAGCCATATCGAGACCCAGCTGGTATTCGCGCTGAGTTTGAAGGCTTGGTTGCGATCGCGGATGCCAATGAGACAAAGCTCTTGTCGAAATTGGTCAAGAACTCTGATAAATTTATTCGGCGACTACCTTGGGCGGCCGCCGAGAACAATGGAAAGGGGCTATTTTAAAAATCTCTCTTTGAACCGCCCGATTTCTCCAGCATTCATGGTAGGAATTATCTACTTTTACCCTTAGTAATGTTGAAGCCTAACAACCACAGCGCTCGCGTATTGTTCGTGTATAATTTTCCCTGGAATTAACCTTCCCAGTGTAGGCCTTTCCTCACCAGTTCCTAGCCCGTGTGCACTAAATTTTTAATTTTCAACAGTATAACGATATCCGTCAAGGTGTGGGATTCAAAAATGTCATCATCGCAAATCGTATGATAGCTGAAAGTACTGCGATGCAATGGCCGTTCATCGACGATTCTGAAGTCGAGGTATTTAGGAAGCACAAGCACCCCGCGTACTACTGGTGGGTTGTGCTCCACGAGTTGCTGGGCCACGGCACAGGTAAGATGATGATTGAAGAAGCTACTAACAAGTTCAACTTCGACTCCAAGAACCCGCCGATCAACCCTCTTGACGGGAAACCTATAAGAACTTGGTACAAACCAGGTCAAACATGGACTGGCCAATTTGGCGACTTGGCAACGACATTAGATGAGTGTAGAGCCGAGCTTGTGGGGGCTTATCTTATGGATGATCCAGAGCTACTGGCTCTCTTCGGCTTCACAGATGAATCGGCTATTCGATCTAGGGATTGTGGTTATACCCATGCCTGCGCTTCTCTGGGTTGGTTAACCACTAACATCATTAAGTAACCTATAATCTCTACCAACAGCTCGGGGTTGATGGTCTTCGAGCTCTCTCCAATTATAATGTCGATGGCATGGTGAGTTATCAATGCAGCAGAGAGGTTCTTCGTTAACTTGACTTTGCAGAAATGGGGACAAGCTCATAGCCCGGTATGAGGATAGCTGAAATTTGACCTTGGGAGAAAACTAATAGGTCGCAGGCTCATTTCGCTATACTTAAATGCTTGCTCCGGTTCGGTCACGGATGCATCAATATTCATCATGATATGGCTACCAAAAAGCTGAGAGTACAAGTCGACAGATCAAAGATAGCCAGTCATGGAAAGAAGGCGCTTGGCGAGATGCTATTGCGCCTTCACGTATATCGCTGTACGGCCAATGTTGAAGAGTGTAGGGAATACTATGAAGAACTGTCTCATGTAGACGGGGAATATCTAACGTGGAGAGAAACGGTTGTTAAAAACAAACTACCCCCTTTATTGAATGTACAATCCAATACTTTTATCGAGAAGGGCATAGTTGTGTTGAGAGAATACGAGCCCACTATTGAGGGTATCATTAAGAGCTGGTACGAGCGCGGAGTTTAATTTAATATATAATAGAATAAGTAGAAGTTGTGTTATTGTGAAGATACTACGAGCCAGCTTGCCGTAGGTTTATTACTGGGCAAATATGCATGATAGCTTCCTATGGCTTGCTTTTAACTATTGTAATAGTAGAGGCGTAGAAATTCCTTTAGCCACATGAAATGGATCACACCGGTTATATATTGGTAGAAAAATACTTAACGAACGGGTGTCTCATCCGTAGCTCTAGTATTTAAACCACGCGTAGTTTGGTGGATGCTAAGGACCCGACTTCGGGGATATCACCGCTACCAATTCCTATATTTCGTGGAGTAGACCGTGTTATAGGCTGCGCTGATCAATGAGACAATGGAGCAATCAGTAGTTACCGCGCACTGGTTGATCTATTCTGCTGCTTTTCGCAGATAATCCAGCCGAGATCAGTCAAAATATCCCGGTACAGTCATTTAACTCCTCTAGCTATCTTGTACCTCTTCGCTAGAATGAGAGCTAAAGGGGTAGCTGGTATCTACATATGAGTTAAAGATGAGGTATCGCACGAAATACATTAGATATTAGATGCCGTAGTTCGTATATCCGAGGATAAACCAAATAAAGGTGAGTGCTTTTGACCCAAATGGGCTGACTGATCTGGTCACCACTCGCGATATGATTATTTAAGGAAGCTTTAGGAATTCGCAAGGGAAAAGTCAGATCAGACGAGCCGTTCACTGTTTCTGGTCGGAATGACCTAGCAGTTGCGGACATTGTGATGGAGAGGCTAGAGGTATATTCTATCACACCATAAAGCTATGGAAATCCAGCTTTGTACTTCCAGTAATGGAATCAGCAAAGCAGCAAATTGGCCAGCTTGCTAATCCAAATGGGCAAATTGGAAAATACCGAAGAAATGATAGGGGCCTGTCCCTTTTAGAAGACTTTATAGATGAGGATTTCTTGAATCCGAGTAACACAAGCTTGGCGCTATCTTATTAAACTCAAATAAAAGCCTGTAAACGACTCCCTACGACTAGCACCGAAAGCATTCGCGACCCTTCGGGAGCTTTTAGGTGACCGATCGAAGATCTGCGACTTAGTTTACGATGTAACGTGTATCCTGTACCTTTGGGGATATTCTACCTTAGTATGTAAGTGTTAAGCCTCCGCTTCCCGACTTGAGCACGCTCGTTAGCTAATCTCGCTGAAGCGAGTTTCTAAGGCAACTGATAGATACTTCAGAGTCTCTAAAACATATTTCAAGGTCCGATCGCTCATATCTTGTACAAAATGCAAGTCTTATACATAGAAATAGGGACGGTAGCAGAGAACTATGCTTGTAAAGTGTGAGCTGCCCCTTCGAAGACAGCATGGTATTAAACATACGGTTCAACCATATGGAAATATTAGATATATTGCCAAAGCCATGATAAATTAGCGTATAAACATGGCCGAGTTTAGGGAAAAGGGTAGTTGCTGAAGGTATGATAATTATGGGGCGGTATACCCCTATATTTGCTTGGATCGCACAGATTAGGTACCTCTTATATTTCTTTCAGCTGAAAAAAAATGAAGATAAAAAACGAAAATTACGGTCAGTCTCCCATAATCAACTTTGGATACTAACTCAATTATATTAATGAGCATAGATGAAGACTATTGAATTCCATTGCTTGGAAAGAAAAATCCTAGGACCCAGCGTTGAGATACTGTCTCATAGTTAAGGGTTTATACCAATTTCCAGAGGCCATCCTTGATTTCAATCTTAATCTCCCTGTCCTCGTCTATACTACGCCGGCCGGCCTCTAGGATGGCTGTCGTAGCAATTGTGTTGTTTAGAGTTGGAAGTCCTCTCGCATCCAGGTCAGCGGGCTTGAGTGCCCCTGAGTTCAGCGCTCGGCATCCATCTACAAACTTCTCGAAGGAGATATAACCGTATCCGGTCTGGCCTCCGAAGTTACCCTCTTCGTCGGGTGCGTATTTCATGTAGAATGGGTTGTACCACACAAGCTGACCGGCACTATCGTCCGCGACGTCGTACCCACGCTTAGCCTGATTAATACGAACCTCGCCACTTGATCCCATGTAGTGGAAGTATTGGTTGGAGTGTACGCCGGCCTTCTGTGGTGCAGTCCACGAGGCCGTGTAAACCCCCGTGGCAACTTTGCTTGTGTCACCTTGTTTCTGCCAGGTAACCATAACCGTGATGGTGTCCTCGGTGGCCTCATTGCATCCAAGACTAGTAGCAATACCTTTCGCAGCTGAGGCCGTGACCTTTATTGGAACAAATCCGAGCTGTGAGACCATCGAGTCGCAAACATCTATGTGGTGGCTGTTAAGATAGTACGAGATATCCGAGTCGACACCAGCCCAGGCCTTGAAGGTTTCCAGTTGAGACTTTGGTTGCGACATGTAACTATAAAAATAGTTGAAGTCGCCGAGCTTCTGCGCCTTGAATCTGGCGTCTGAGTACGCTGGATCAAATCGCTTATGATGCTCGATGTAAACATATACATTGTGCTTCTTAGCAGCCTCTATTAGGCCTTGGTGGTGTTCTAATGTCTTCACAGCAGGCTTGGTTATCAAGACATGTATTCCGCGCTCAATTGCGTATAGAGCGATTGGATAGTGCGTCGTGTCTGGGGTGAATATAGTAATGGCGTCACCTGGTTTCAAGGCATCAATAGCAGCCTTGTAAGCATCGGGGTCCTTGACTTCGTTCGCCGGGTAAGAGTCGAAGGAGCAGTCCAAGCCATTGTAGATTTTAGAGATATTAGCATCAAGATGTTGTCCTACTCATATTAGTGTCCATTCAACTTATTGATAGCCCCTTTACACTCAGCCTAGGATTAAAAGGTGAGCTCACTGATAGCTGGGAATTTAGTCCCATTTGTTCCCACCATGCTCAGTTTAGCCACCTTTCCCCTCCTTCGGAGATCAAATAGAGTCAAGCCGACGACTCCTACCTTCTTATCCGACCCTGAAGCACCACCACCGACAAACCCAGTGGTATATTCCCCTGTTCCGACCTTAGGGCACGTCAGTTTCGAGCAACGATCTGCTAAGTATATGCTATAGTGATACGCACCATCAACACATTTAGTGGCGAAGGGGAGTTTGTCGGTGCAATAGCCGACTTGATTACTTCTGCTGCCATTTTGATGGTTTGTCCTGCAGGTCAGAGGAGGTTGAATAAAGGTGTGCAGTTATGAGATACCCAGAGATCCAAGAGAAACCTTGGGACAGCCAAATAAAATAAGAAGACAGATCAAGATGAGAAGGGGCGGATTCTTGTATAATTCACACAGCCTTATAAACTTGGGTTCATGTAACTACCTCCTACTTCGGTATCTTAGTTACGAATGTCTTGTTAAGCTTAAGATACCATACCTACCCCAACCTAAAGAGAAACCATGGACGGAAAAATTGAGGGGCAGTTGGAGAAATAAATGTTTAGGGTCCGACGTAGTGCTAGTACCTAATGTAACCGTCCGAGGTGTATCAAATTGAGAATGAATAGGAAAGGTAGGCCGTCATTGCAGGGTATTAGGTAACTACGTCTATTTACTAGAACTTGGGAAGGAAGTAAACTGCACTTGCACAGGTTTTAAGTAACGAGTGGTATCATTATATAATCTACCACCTAAGTACCTTAGGTACCTAACCTAGTTCACCATGTATAGATAAATTAAATGTCCTCATCATAGTAAATAGGTAAGTATAAAGTAGATGTGAGCAGTCAACATCTTTCTAAACTACCCAAGTCAAACACACGTAGAAACTTGGACGAACTTTGAAAGTTTACGGCTAAGAGGCTTTTTAACCTTCAAATTATAACAGTTGAAGCAAATCCTATTTCATATCGGACATTCCATCTGTTAATACCTATAATACCTACTTGAAGGTACCCCGCCCCCACTCGCTTGGCGACACGAGCAACAGCCCCGCCTCCCCCACTAAACATTTGCCCACCGGCTACCTGAAATTTGATTGCCCCGCGTTTGGTGGGGCAGTTTCCATTCAAGACAGAAGACCAGCGGGCGTCGGTCCATCATTGGCAGATTCAGCGAAGTATTATGTCCTAACAAATTTGTCCTCTTTTCAAATTCAAAAACTCAAACGTCGAGATAACAATGTAGGATTATCTAAAACCAAAGCATCATTTATTTGGTTAAATATAATAGACCGCATTTCTTATAAAGCAAGAGAAAAGCACGAAAGGATATAAGCAAAAATATTGCCTAGGTCGTCAGGAACTGTTGGGTCCGTAAGGTACGCAGAGTCACATCCCTACATCGTTACATCACACAAAGATCACCGACGACAGCAAACGTGGATTCTGGAATATTGCCCGAATGTGGGAGAGACAGAAGCTTTCTAGCGTCAGTCTTGGCTACATCGAAGCGTCCTCCTACCTCTTCACTGGTGGAAAAACTACTAATATGATTATTCCGTCGTATCTATACCATATTCAGCCTGGCCTGCAGAAGAAGCCAAATCGAGTACATGTAGATGGCTACCCCAGGAAGTCCAGGGAATGGAAATCAGCAGTTTTACCTTCGAACTGCTTGTTCATCCAACGGGCCAACAGGTCAACAGGTCAACAGCTATCACTGTCGCCCCCCAACCTGAGGTACTACCTACCTCATACTGGGAAGGTCAGTGGCCTTTAGTCCGAGGGGATTATCCAACGACCTATTCACTTACATACACATATACCTACCTTGTACGAAGTAGGTACCAATTGCCCATCTCAGGAACCTATCCAACCCTACCCATGTCCGGGATCTAGAGACGACTTCGTGAGCTCCACAATGCGGCAACCCTGAGCTCTCTTCTCCCTAACCTATGTAGGGCGAGCTACTTCACATATCGACTAGGCCCCGCAATGGTTACCCTCCAACAATCCCTCGGTCCTGCCAAGTGGACGGCATACCTCGACCCATCTTCTATCTGTTGTCTTCTCCAAAACCTCGAAGCTCCCTCCCGGGGCATTCCTTTGGAGGGTCACAAGACGAGTTGGCAAGCACAAATGACGTCTTCATCAACTATGTCAGCTCTCAAGCACAACCACGATCACCTCGACAACTCATCATCTGTCATAACTCATTTTTGCTTTTGGTTTTTCTTCCTTTTTTTCTGACGCGCAAGACGTGGCTTTCTCGGCTCTCTTAGTTACATGTAATCATGTGCTCTTGGTGACGGCAATGCCATTCATCAACCACTCTCAATTTCTACCGGGTCCTGATCGACCCTACTGCAGATCCTCTCGATTCCCATCAGCCCAGTTTCTAAACCCATTTGGACATGCTGCTTAGGTTTATCCAATCATAACATGGCTATTCAATGCCACCGCAGCTAATCTCGCACAACACATGAAGTTACCTAGCTGTCTCTCAACTTATTCTTTGCATGAGCAGCTGCCGAATAGAGCGCAATCTCTCTTCGAGCAAGCATTCAACCGTCTTTAGTTCCTTGCCTTTTCCCCAAGTTCCCAATTGCACCTTTGTGAGCCATGCGGCCGAAATTCGTTGGGTAGCTTCATAACAGCCCGACGAATTTTATGTGTGGAACTGTATAATTCATGGCTGTGGATTATCTGCATGACTCCCATGATCTATTTACGATATATTACCTTTGATATAACCCCGAGGCGCGTATGACCCGCCTGTCCTAGGGCCGTTGAAGAATTCGGCTCATCCACAATCCACTTCATGGCTTTTCGATCCCGTAGACATGGGCTCTTTCACTACACTGTACCTGTCCGTTTCCATTAGCTCCTTTTTCTAAGGGGCATCCCGGGTCCAAGAGGCAACCAGTGTCGCCTTCTTCGGACCAATGTCGTTGCGAGCAAAACACTAGGAGCTAGTAAGACGTTGCTGACCCACACCCTACAAGGTATTGATTGCATGCAACTTAGAAGATAGAAGCCATTATGTTATGAGAAGGAAAAAAAAAGGAGAGCATTCCGTTGCCGTCCATCGAGTATTATTCTTCGAATGCTATAAATATAGCTACGCGTCCCCTTTTCTTTGCTGTTGTTCTTCTTTTCTCGGCGCCCCTTTTCGTGGTTATCCTCTCTCTCTCTCTCTAAGCTATCTATACTCGGTATATATCGGTCCGTAAATCTAATAGCGATATTATCGTTACTTTTGCTCCTGTCTTTTGCTATTCGATCCTACAACATGACTGCCTCCAACAGCGCCGAGGTCAATGGTCACACGACCACGAGACGACCACTACCATGTGGTATCTATGCTCCCACTATGACCTTTTTCGATCCCGAGACCGAAGAGCTCGATATCCCTACTATCAAAAAGCACGCCGAGCGTTTAGTTAGAGATGGACTAGCTGGCTTGGTGACTATGGGTTCCAACGGGGAAGCTATTCACTGCACACGCGATGAAAAGGTAGCCGTGACACGTGCCACCAGAGAAGTTCTGGATGCCGCGGGTTTCACCACAACGCCAATCATCGTCGGAGCTACGGAGGGTAGCGTAAAGGGGACCATCGAACTCTGCAAGGAGTCTGCAGCAGCTGGTGGGGATTACGTATTGCTACTACCCCCAAGCTACTTTCGTGCGCAAATGGACGAGGAGGCTATAGTCGGTTATTTTACCGCTGTGGCAGATGGGAGTCCATTACCAATTGTCTTATACAACTATCCCGGCGCAGTTGCCGGTATCGACATGGACTCGGATCTCCTCATCAAGCTTGCCGAACACCCCAACATCATTGGAACAAAGTTCACATGCGGCAGCACCGGCAAACTTACTCGTGTAGCACTGGCCACCAACGCGAAAACCCCTACCTCAGAGGGTAGTGGATATATGGCGTTCGGCGGCATATGCGACTTCACAGTCCAGACATTGGTATCGGGAGGAAGCGGAATCATTGCAGGCGGTGCAAATGTCATGCCCAAGCTTTGCGTTAAGGTATGGAATCTATACGTCGAGGGGAAGATAGACGAGGCCATTGCATTACAAAAAGTACTCTCCCGGGGTGACTGGTTCTTGACCAAGGCGGCGATCGCGGGCACGAAACAAGCGATTCAGACCTATTTCGGTTACGGCGGTTACCCCCGGCGCCCACTCAAGCGTCTCGAAAAGGCTAGAATCGAGTCCATAGCGGAGGGAATAAGGGAAGCGATGGAAGTCGAAAAGTCATTGTAATGACAGGAAACGGGTTACCGGGATCTTGGTCTGAAACCCGCAGGAACCGGCTATAAACCGTCAATATTAGCCGCGTGGCCGTTGATCCCCTATTCTTGGAAAGTGCGGGGTTCGAATCCCGGGGTGACGGATGAGGCTCTTGGAGGGTAGAAACCCCTTGAATTCCTAATTCTCTCTCGGCCGACTAGGCCACTGACCACTGACCACTGACGTAGGTGTGATTACACGTACGCACACACATGCAAAACACATGATACGTTTCACAGAACTGAACGTCTCTATATACCGCTTTTTCGGACATTGATCAAAGCCCTGGGAACGTTCTTTAGTCCTAACGACCCTGTTTCTGATAAGAACCACTGGCTCTCTCTCCATGTTACTAGGTATTTAGCAACCGTACCCTATCGCGAAACAGGGAGGAGGAAAGCAGCTGGTGGTGACCAGCTGATCAATCCTACTCTTGTCCTGCTACTACTAGCTTCAAGTCGGTCTCGCTGGCCGTAGGGCCAAGCGAGACGTCTCTTCTATATATTCGTTAGCATAGCAAATGCAATATCAAACATATTAAACCGTCGTAATAACGAACGTCTTCGGCGAGGAGACGGGATAATCATAAATCTACCGTATATGCTCCCAACTCCGTTGAGCAACCATTTGGAAGCGGGAAGCGAAAAGCTCACGTCACAATTTCCATTTTCCATCCTCCATTCTCCATTTCCCATGGAACTTTGTAAAAACCGCCTACGTATGTACGTATTAGCCTCGGGAGGGCGTAATCTGCGTAGCATCTTGCATCTCTCGCTAGGACGTATGGCATGTGCGCACGTATCACATATATTATTCGAAGAGTGACGTATGACACCCCCTTGCCTTAGGTAGCTTTTATTTTTCCCGGGGTCCCATCCCTTCATGCGCCTAGGGTCCTAAGGGTCCCAAGGGTCCTCGGGGCAAGTAAGGAGGAGGAGGAGCTAAGGTTGCATGTACTTTGGGCACCACGCGCGATTATACCTCGCGGCGATCCGTAAGGCATTAATCCCTGGAAACGTCACCTACCTACCCCACGGGGGTTGTTGTTTGTTTTCCCACGATAGGGGGTAGGTACGGGGGCCCCCTCCCCTCCCCTCCCCTCACCTGCGCTCCCCGCGTTGCCAGCTTGTCCAGGTGTACATGTACCTCTCCTTTCGCGGCTCGGTCCGTCCCCTTCGTCTAGATAAGGTCGGTCACCTGCCCCTATGAGTCTTTCGTCTTGGCGGCGACGGCGGCAACGAAGTAAAATAATAATGGCCTCCTCAATACATGGGGGTGCTGAGGGTAGTGCTACACGCGCGAAGCTCTAATAATACGTACGTAGCCTTTTCTCCAGGTCCTAGGTCGGGAGCCACATACTTTTCCCCCCTCTCCCCCTCTCCCCCTCTCCCCTCCTCCAAACCCCACACATGCAAGCGAGATAAGCTAAGCATGATGTACGTCTTAAAGTTGTTCAGCCTCTCCCGAAGATATGGTGTGTACGTAGGTAGATTCAACGTATCATGCGGGATATGTACGAATGTTATCCCTCCGTTTAGGTAGTCTCTCGCTTCGTGCCGGTCCTTACACACATCCACACACCTACTTCCACGCACGAGCCCAGGGACGAGGGAAACACAAACCCCTCCCCCTCAACCACAATGCCATCATCCCACGCGTCTTGTCGTCATAGTCGTCCCACGTGTTTCTTTTCAAGTTGTCCTATTGATATTTTCCTCTTTCCTCCATATCCCGCGCCGTCCTATCACACCTTGAATTTCCTCGGATCCAGCTCTGCAATATCAGCACTCCTAGCCTCTCCATCAAAGATAAACTCGCTCATGAGCTTGCCTGTTGCCGGACCGTTCTGAATTCCCCAGCAGGTATGACCCGACGCTATCCATAGCCGGTGGACCGAGGTACCACCGATAAGCGGCGCGCTCTCCTTGCCAAAGCGCATATGCCGCGGTAGGTAGCAGGCTTGTTTTGCAGCGATAGACGCAGAACCTAGCAAGGGGCTCACGGTACCAACATACGAGATAAGATCATCACACTGCGATTCGTCGCATTCAACCTGGTCGGCGGTTGCCGGCAACGGTATTATCGAGTCCGGCTCGCCGCATGCGTATACTTCTCCGCCCGGTCGCGCGTAGATCTCGGGGTCTACGTTACCCTTGTGCTTCCGCTTCTCACCCCGCGCCGCTCTGTGCGCCGGTACCCAGTCGTTCGGCAGCGAGATATCGGTGAAGACAGCGTACGGGCTTACGTCCGCCGCGAACACGACGCTATGCGCCCTTAGACCCTCTACTTTGGTCTTTGGCCAAAGCCGCCCCGTCCACGGACCCGCGGCCACTATAACATCTGTCACACCTTCCAATATCCGCGTCTCGCCCGTAACACGATCTAGGTATTCAACACTCGAGACAGCCATCTCGGACTTATTCAGACCGATGCTCGTAACCATACTATTAACGCGTATTTCAGCCCCATACTCACGCGCCAAAGCTGCCATCGAAGTCGTGAATTGGTAAGGGTGCACTTGAGCCGTCTCGGTGAAACCCGGCAGTCCCATTTGGGCGTATTCGTGCACCAAACTAGCATTAATCCAGTCGAGATCTTTAGGTAGAATGGAATCGTGGAGTAAAGAGGTTGCCTTCTCGTCCTGTTTAGGTAACTTTTGCCATTCTACCTGGGCATCCGCTATAGGGCCGTCTTGTCCGTCTTGTCCGTCTTGCTCCTTGATGACGCCGCGACTAGTCCTTTTCCTCGTCTTAGTGGAGCCGTTAGGAGGCTTCTTGTTCCCCACCCTCGCCGTGAGTTGTCCGCATCCGAGTCGCCTATATCCCCATCTGTCGATCCCACCGTGTTCGGCTGCGAGCTCGGCATGAAGGCGATAGGAAAGTGGGACTAGACATGTTGGGTAAGCCCAAAGACCAAGGAGACCTCCAGCCTTCCCAGATGCAGCAGATGCTATTGATGTAGCCTCGAGAAGAGTAATGTGATGAATCGAAGGGATGTAGGAAGGATGTCGGGTTAGATAGTAGGCCGTCGTCGTGCCAATAACGCCACCACCTTAGAAATATAAATTAGTCATTAGGTACTACGATATGATATGCAGTATGTATGTAGTAGTGCGTCTCTCCAACGTTGATCATGAACCAATCAAGCTAGGATGTTTGCGTGTGTAGTGTGTATCGAAGGGTCCAACCCTGGGGCACGGATCCAAACCCGAAACTGTAGAAAAGTATTCGAGCAGGGTGAGACAGACTCACCTATGATCACGACATGTCGCGGTTGAGGTATACGAGTGTCCATAATAGTAAGGTATTTAACATGACCAAGCCAATGGTCATTCGAGAACTAGGAAAGTTGATGAAAGCAGGAATTAGACTTTCCTAAGTGACCAGGATTCACATGCTAGGTAGGGTTACTATATGGGTAACTATATGTAGAATAGAGGATAAGAGTGTTACCCTCAAATAAACTCGCAGCCTGTAGGCTATAGACTGTAGATTGTAGACTTTAGACGTGGAGCTTCTTCGGATCTACCCGTCGATTGGCAGCGGCTGCTACCCGGGTTCTAATAGACGCAGCACGTAGTATATGCAATACATTCGACTAACGAGTATTAATTCCTTAGCTTTTATCAGGTAAAGGTTTAATAGACAAGGTGGCTTGAGCGAAGATTGGTCTAATGCTCTAGCGACGGGAAACATATGTATGATGTTAATGATTAATTTGATAGAGAATGTAGCCTAGCATACAACTTAAGACGACATTGGACAATCGCTCCTTACTGATCAGAACGTAGGTACCTCCTACTTAAGATAGTGTACTTAGGTATCTAAAGTGGACCTTGATGAGACCACCGGGAAAACAGCAGCTCCGAAATACGAGGCCCAAGCTCCCAAAACTCTCAATTCTATATTTGATTGGCCCCGCAAGCTTGTAAGACCCGCCGCATTAACCCGCATTGACTTCCTGCCGAGGCTCCAAACCGTAACTGTTACGTCAATTGCATGAGCTTTTGTCATCGTCAGAAACAACTTTCAACAAACCGAGGATTAAAAAGTCACTAGCTCAATACATAGTTGCTATCTACTAGCAAAAGGAGAAGAATGAACAACTTACAATATTAAATAAAACAACTAACCTAACCGTTAGAGTATTCATGAGACAAATCATTATAAGGAACTGGTTTCCAATTCATCCATCATTTAGTAATCATATCTGCAAAGTGACCTCATCACCATCACCATCATCTGGACTACACGTACAGAGAAGAGCTTTGTCATCTATCGTCCAATTAGTGAATCTCAGATACCCCGCCAAAGCAGCTACTATCACGAGTCGCGCCATCTCAACTTCGGCTTCGTCGGCCAATATCCCGCAACTACAGAAAAAACAATTTTCCAAAGTCAACATCAACTCAATCACCACAATGACTTCCGCTACGACATTCTACGACTTCAAGGTCAAGGACAGTGCGTAAACTCATAAATTACAACTTACAACTTAACGAGAATATAAGCTAACCATTGTTACTTTATTCCAACAGAGAAGGGTGCCGAACTGCCCCTAGCCGACTACAAGGGCAAAGTTGTCCTAGTCGTCAACACGGCGTCCAAATGTGGTTTCACCCCGCAGTACGCCGGGCTCGAGAAGCTATACAAGGACATCACTGCGAAGCACCCGGATGACTTCATCATCCTCGGCTTCCCCTGCAACCAGTTCGGCGGCCAGGAGCCCGGCACCGACGACGACATCCAGAGCTTCTGCCAGGTCAACTACGGCGTCACCTTCCCCATCCTGGGCAAGACGGACGTGAACGGCGACAAGGCCGAGCCGTTGTTCGAGTGGATGAAAGCCGAGAAGCCCGGCCTCCTCGGCATGAAGCGGGTCAAGTGGAACTTTGAGAAGTTCCTGATCGGCAGGGATGGCAAGGTCAAGGAGAGGTGGGCTAGTACCACGAAGCCCGAGAGCTTGGAGTCGCCCATCCTGGCGGAGCTCGAGAAGAAGGCGTAAGTCTCTGCTTGTGCTTAGAAACCTGGGTACCTTTCTAGCGTCTTGCGGCTGTTCTATATATACCTATGTATGTACGTGTTGACGATTCGCCCTTATGGTGGCTATGATATAAAATGAGACGATCTCCCATTTTGGGGAAACATGAATGAATACGACTCCCTTGCAAGTGAAAATCCTGTTGTTCCTGTTTTATCAAGCGTGTAGGTGGTAGAAACGCATATATTTGGAAAGCACTTTTAGAAAATCCAGTATCTACTTACCCTACACCACTAGAACATCCGGAGTTGTCCTAGTAAAAGCTTTTTCATATAATAACAATAGAACACTAACGCTCGTATAAATCACGAACCAACATTTTTCGTTCTAGATATTAGGTACCCAGGTATATATATGAACCCATTTCCGTTTATTAAACCACCTAAATCATGCTAGTTCATAAGTCTGTCTGCGTGAAGCAATTCTACCTGCCCATCCCCATGGCATCTGAGAGTGATTCCACGCTACGGCCTCTCGACCACGCGCCTAAAACACTCTTGTGGTTTGATCTTGTTATACTGGAGAGTAGCTGCGAAGTTAACATCTCTGAGATATCTCTAATATTGTTCATACGTCTAGATACCTACATTAGGTAGTTTATATTTGCACCACAATTGAACTAAAATATACAATGATACGTAAACAAAATTAAAGTACAATATCTCTATGAGTGTTATTCCTAATAAAATTCCATATAATTATCATAAATGAACCTACCGAATTAAAGAAATATCATACCTACCTACTTAAATCTATAGTTAGGTACTCCAGCGGAAATACAGCTAATTAACAGTAGCCTTGAAGGTCTAGCTTGCTTGTATGAGTTATAAACGAAGCATGCATGTTAGCTTTTGATTATTTCTATGTCTTTTTACGTCAGGTACCTAAGATACTTACGGCCTGGATTACACCTGTTGCTACCTAGGCTAAGTATTGCGAACAGGCTGTTGTCAAGTGGCACGTCCCGTTTCCCGGTTGCTAGGCATCCATGATAGACATAAGTAAGGTTTTAACAACCCATTCTTCCATCTCTAATACAGTTTGCTGCGAAACCAAATGGCCATGGTGCAACAGTCATTCTGAAGTAGGGCCATGAAATAATTCCTCGATGAGTTTTTCGTAGGGCTTGGGTTCGATTCACTCGCAGGGCGGCAGGCAGGCCAACTGTTCAGGTCAAATGCGGCGATGTATCGATTCTCATTGTTCCGAGCTTTTTTGTTTTTCTTTTCCATTTTACTTTACTTATTTTTATTTTATTCCTTCTCGTCTGAAAGTTTTCATTTTTACTACTTCATATCTCTCTCTCATCGAACTTGATGTTGTCAAAGAAGTAATGGCTATTTCAGCTTTTATTCATAAATTCTTTCTACCTTATCTTTGCATGTTTAAAATGACATTGCATATAGGCTGGCAACGTATGGATTTTAGTAGAAAAACATTTTTAAAATAAGGTATTATCCAGTAAATAGATGAACCACAATAAGCAGATTATATTTCGTAACCCTTATGACTAATGAGATTCTTCGGATATACGGACGGGAAAACAAGATTCAGCATGACTTCGGGTCTACCATCCCAATGACAATAACTCAAGAAGTAGCTAGTCCTATTTGACAATTACTCCAGCACGATACGATTATGTTATATACGAATATTTGGTATGATAGCATTTATATTCGTGAACTGGTAGTTTCGCTACAATCAACAAGCTGAAAAAGCCATGAGGCCTGGTAAACATCTGGCTTATATCTGAGACGAATAGACACATAATCATACATAATCTTTAGGTACCATAGACCTCGATTGCGGTTTCTTTTCGTCACTCAAGAAGCATTCATTGTCTATGGCATTATTTTTACTACCGACTGTCGTTGTCATAAACGAGCTAATCACACTTCTCGCGAATATCACCTCTATCAGATAATAGCAGGACGCGAGCTGGATCCGGTGGCCCTAATAGCCTAGTAATCTCCCAGTTAATATTAGGGCTACCATTATCGTTGTGATATATCTAATCATACATAGGTCTATGCTGGGCACGATACACTACTTGGTTGCTATGTTCGGTTTTTCTACAAGTTGAGGACCATCCTGTCAGTCAAGAGGTTAGGAAAGCAAGGAAGTATAAGATCTATCTTGTCGTGTTTGTTCAATTGGATGTAACAAAATCGCGTGATGACTTCTTGCCAAGTGCTTTCGTTATCCCGCGGTAGACATAGCATAATGGCATTGGCATTCAGTGCAGGATGATTAGACCTAGCAAAGCCTTTTAGCCAAGAGAGCACGAGTTAACTAAGGCAGATGCTCGGAGGCAAGGTACTACACCTTGTCGAAAGTCAATTGACATATATTCCTAAACGCTACTCTAACAGCAATACAAAGCCGCATCCTTTCTTCCTCACAGCCATCACGCGCAACCAATTTCTAGGGGAGTCGCCAACAAAGACAAGGAAAGAGAACCAGAACTAGGATAACAGAAACATCGTCGTCGTCACCAACTTCTATCTCTCGGACTTAGGTAGACGCGAAGAGCACTCGACTATGCGCGAACCGCAGCTCCACAGGCGCTCGGACAATACCTACCAACCGACGAAGCTCCAGAATAAAAAAAAGGCTCAGCAATGTCTTCTTCCTCCCCCGCCGCGACGATGACAAGGGATCCGGCAAAAAGTACCTAAACAAAATGCATCGTACCTAAATCTATTTCTCCTCGTAGGCGCCAACCCATCCCTCCCCTGCAGGAAACCACGAGGGACAACGGAAAAGAAAGAAACAAAAGAACATGGCATCGTAGTCTGCGCAGTAGAGAGAGAGAGAGAGAGAGAGAGCTATTTTTGGGAGTTGCAGCGAGCGGCGGACCGCATTTGAAACCCCCCTAGAGGGAGCCTCAATTCATCCTTCGAGCCTCCCAACCCCAACCCATCAGCCGGCGTCAGCACCGGCGAAAGGGGAAAAAACAAGCAAGACAAAAATGGAAATGTGGCCAGCGTCATGCAATTTCGAGCCGCCCTTCGAAATCCGCCGTCGAGATGCTTTCTCGCTAGGTAGGTTAGATCCTTCAGGCCCGTCCGACGGCACGAAGAAGAAAAAAAAAAGAAAAAAAAAAAAGATCACGGTGTGGTTCGGTCAATCCATCCATCGTCGTCGTTGTTGCCCAAGTGGAGTCTCTTCTAGCGAAATATTCCAGGGGGGTTGGTTGAAGCGGCCGCAAGAAAAAAAAAAAATCCCAAAAAAACATACGGTACCATTCCCCTTCTCCGATCCAAGACTTTCTTTTTGATCCTATCCGGGCTTTTCTCCGCCTGTTTTAGACCACCTTGTGCGCGTATCGGTAGCACGACAGTTGATCTGCACGAGCACGCGCATGCCCACGAGCCCCCCAGAATTTTCCGAGCAGGTCAGGGACCGCAAAGAAAAAACAGACCGTGAGGGAATGAATGATGCCGTTTTGCCGTTGTTGGTTTGTCGAGAGTGCCAAGACCTTTAGCGGTCTTATATATTATTATATTTTAGTGTTATTATTGTTATTATTATTATTGATACTCGCTAAAAAGCCTGTACGGCTGCGGCACGCCTGAAGGATCAATAAGCAGAGGATGGCGAAAACGACTTTTCGAAGGAATGAGGTACTGCGCCACCCTGATTGGTGCGTTTTCGCGATGCCGCATCTCCATCTCTTTATCTAATCTGCTTTCAGCTAACGGTGCCATATTAGTACATAGTAGTAGATATATAGGCTCCATCGTCTTAGGCAATGCGGCGTGGTAGGAATTAACATGGTCAAATTCGGCAAGGGGAGTGGAAATAATAAAAGACGACCCTCGACAATAGCAGAGAAGCTCCAGTTATTTGAAAGTATATCGATCCTACGGCTATTGTTTAGATAAGCTTCGGCATACAGAAACGTGGCAGCTGTCTGTGCTGTGCTGTCGAACATCGAGCCCCTCATTGTGATGTCAACACGCCTTCATCAAAAAGTGCCCCTTTTTCGACGGGTAAGCTTATGGCGTATAACGGACACGAAGATGACAGACGCCATCGTATGGTCCAGATGAGTTGCTGCCTCCCAAGCTAACTTCCTCATCCTCATCCTCTTTATAAAGCGGTTGGCTTACAAGCTACTAAGATTTGGGTGTGTTGGTACTATGAGTAGAGAACTACAAATTGACAACCCCTGAAAAAGTGTTGCCAAGATATCAAGAGAGAGCCTTCTCCGTCTTGTCCGGTGATGGTTCTAAATATTCTCAATATCGGATGGAGCGAGGTCGTCAGATGAACTCCTGAGGGTGGATCTCACGAGAGATGCTCTTCAATGAGCCTCTGCTCTCCGAGGCCTGAAACATTGAGATAGCTGCCAAGTTCCCCTAGAAGGAGTGGAATAATAGTCTCTTCGGTGACTACATAAGAGATACAAGCTGGCCAGGATTGAAGTCGAGGTACTTTACTGATACTTGTGGAGTTAAATGTTGGTATTCACTTCCTAACGGTATATGGATCTTGTTGCGAGGATGGACACAGATGATAATTTAACCTTGGTTTGGAGTCAGGTAGAATAGCGTCTATCCCATCTACTTCGCCACTAGATCCATGTCTCGGGGCTCCCTTACAACATAGCTAGCCTAATGCGTGGCGTCCATCACGGATCTATACTGACTTCAGGTCGGCCGTAGAGTTTGACATACCCGGTCTAGATAGCCTCGATGCTAGGGGTTTTTACAGATCAGACCCGACGATGCGCTGGGTAGGTAGGAGGAGGGCAGCAAGAAATCCACCGAAATGAAGAGACGCTATTTGCGCCTCGAGCTTGGTCGATATCGCGAGCACGCAAAAGTCGCGGCTAGTGGATTATACCTAGGGATCCCTGTATGGTTCGTTAACTATCGTATCCCGTGGGCTTGAAACATGCTTCTGCAGAGGCGTGCTAGATAGTCTCTCTGTGAAGTTCTTGATTTTGAACTTCGGGC